AGCCTCCCTTCATGTAGCGACTGAGCCTCCCTTCATGTAGCGACTGAGCCTCCCTTCATGTAGCGACTGAGCCTCCCTTCATGTAGCGACTGAGCGTCTAATTTGATGAACGAATCTATGGAATTAGTACTCTCCAGAGGAATGATGCAGTTCGCCATCAACATTGTATGCGGTGACTTAAACAATGGCACCGAGGGTCATCTAGCTCTACAAAAATGGCCACCCACCCACCCAAAATCAATTTAATACAGGTTAAAAGGCTTACAGGTATCTATGGACCGTCATTGCATGCATCACGAAAGATGATTCACTTCGGGAAGTGGGAATAATGAAGGTCTGATTCATCTTCAACCCAGCATTTTGCATAATAGTTCGCCGCAGAAATTACCAAATCAACACCACCAATTGCTCTTGCTTAAATATTGCTCTACACAATTCGAAATATATACAAATCACCACCTAATCTTTACGAACCACCATCTTCGGACCTTAAATATGCTCGCCAAATCCTCAATACCGACTGCCCACCGCCTCCAACACGACAGCAAAACTCACACCTTCTCATTTTCCACGCCCGCAACCGTCTGCACGAGATCAACCTCCGCCTTCGAGAAGTGGCGAGCAGGCGTCCTCTTCTCATACAAGATATCCATCTCGGCCGTCGTCTTCCCCTTCGGCTCCGGAACATAAAAGAACGCAAACACAATCGAAATCAGACACCCACCCGCCCAAAAGAACCCCGTCTTCGCGCCCCAATTCCACGCCGTCGGGTTCAGTTGATAGGGCGTCAGGATTCCCGCGATGATAGTCGAGACGGCGTACGACCAGCGGGCTATGACTAAGGATTTGCTGCGGAGCAGGGCGGACGGGATCTCAGAGCAGAGGGTGTTGGTTAGGGGTCCGATGGAGCAGTTGTAGAGGAAGGAGGAGATGATGAGGAGGGAGCCGATGGCCCAGGGGTAGGTCGTCTTTGCGGATTCGGCTTGCGGGATGCCGAGGCCGCCGACGAGGATCATGAGAATGAACATGAGGACGAGGCTGTTGACGTAGATGGTTCGTCGGCCGAAGAGGGGGAGTAGTACCCACTAGATTAAAGTAAGCGGGCAATTACGGAGGGAGGGTTGAATAGTAAACATACCGAGAAGAAGCCACCAAGAATAGCTACGCCGAAACCTACGATGGTCATGTTGAATGCTTGCGAAGTTGGCAGACCAGCTTGTTGCAGGAAGTAAGTGGAGAAACCGCGTAGAGGGTTGCCGTTGAGAGTCTGGATGCAGTAGATGCCGATCATTGTGAGGGTTCGTCGGAGATTCACACCCTCAAAGCATCCCTTGTACGATGTTGTTGAGCTGACCATTCGTTCGTACTCGGTTGTGACTACCATCAAGGCGACATTCTTGTCAACATCGAAATTGACATTTGCAGGAGAGGTAAGTTTCTGGACGACAGCGCGAGCCTCTTCGACTCGATCCTTGCGTACGAGCCACCATGGGGATTCCGGCGCGAAGTAGATGATCGGTATCATGATTACAGGCCAAACCCATCTGTAGTCAGTTCGGTCAGCGGGGCATGCCTTTGAAATGTACTTGGGGATTGGAGGTCTTACTGTACACCGAAGGGGATTCGATAGGCCCACTCGTCGGTTCGGCTTAGGACGCCTCGCATCAGTCCCGTCGCGATAATTTGACCGAAGGCCTACAGATAATCAGTCCTGTCCAATCTGCAGCATGTCTATGAACTTACCCAGCAAAAGTTGACATAGTTGGTCAAGTATGCACGAAGACACATTGGCGAGATCTCGAGTGCGTAAATCACCGGTGTTGTCTGGAACAGTCCAAGTGGTATTCCTATTCAACGCATTAGACTTTAGAATAAACACGGACGGAAGACAACTCACCGAACAGAATTTGTCCAACCACGAGGACAATGAGGTTCGGAGCAAAGAATTGGATGAATATAAGACCGATGATTGACACCATACCGCAGAGTAACGTTCGACGGAACCCAAATCGTTCACTCAGATATCCTGCTAGAAGGAGACCCATGAGCTGTCCAACAGTGGATCCATTGCCCAATCCAGTCTGCCATGCGGCCGTGATTTGATACGAATTGCCTTTGACATGCACGCCGTATTGCTTTTGGAATGTGGGTTGGGCAAACAGTGTTCCAATCAACTTTGTGTCGTAGCCTTCCATTATGACAGCCGAGGACATGGCAATGCTCCAGAACACTCCTTTGGGATAGAGCCTGAGGGCTTCCCAAAAGGTTAGGTCGTGCTCTTGAGCGTTGGCATCTTGGGCATCTTCGAGCGGTACACTCTCATGGATGATGGCACCGTCACCTAGCTGATCTTTCGATTTCGGGTTCGACGGTACGGATGTGAGTGTGGAGGCCATTGTAACCGGCTGTGAAAAGATGAAGAATTTGAGAAATGAGACTCTCCAGAGCAATGTTAATTTGAGTCGCTGTCCACAATTGAGCTGCTATCTCTATCCCAAAGCTGGTCAGGGTGTCATATATGTATTTCGATATATCTGCGCCATAGCGTAACTTCAAGTCGGGTTCGATATTCGAGGTCGTGGAATGCATGCAGACTCGTGTGCGGCCTACAGTACGGCATCTCAAGATCGCGGATCATTCTAGCCAATGACGATCTCGACCCCGGCAGCGTGGTCACGTTGCGGCAGACTGGGAATTAGTTCAGACTCAAAAGCCTTTAAATTAGTTCGAATAGTTTCGCCTTCTACACGAGTCAACACTTCGAGACGACGTTGCCGATGCTATCTGGAAGCGATCGCTTATCTATTAGCGACGACCAATCACTGGCCTTTAATTGTCTTTCCAACAATGGACTTTCAGCGTGGATAGTATATCCATTCCTCTGGAAGGCGCGAAGAAATCCAATCAACAATTGTATACAGACATATGCTTGCTTCCAACCTCTTCATTGGCGTGCACTGAAAGGAGATCTCGGAGGCCACTTGAATTGAACGCGAGTAATTGATCTCTTTGGCCCTTCGCTAATCACATAATTGAATCGATTTTTGGAATCCACTCACAGCATGTAGCTGGTCATTATCACGCTGCCGTCGTTATTCAGACAATTGGATCACCATGGTTGAAGAGATGTGCATAAAATTGAATTTTTACGATGCCTCGGGAAGTACGTCGATTAGAACAAAACAGGCATGTTATTAGATTGCTCATAAAACCTTCCAGCAAGAAAAGTCGATGATCAAATGTCCAAAATTCTATATCGTATTGAAATCTATATGTATTCCACTGCAGGTAAATTCAGGCTCTAACAGCAAGTCCTGGTCATCTCATGCCCCTAAGTAAAACAATCTCGTAAACAGATACATGTCGTCAAAAGTGCAAAACTCCACTGCTCCAAGCTCAAACACCTCATCAAAGATCTTCAGCTGCTCCGCGAGAAACCTATTCATCTCCTCCCTATCCTCTCCATCGATATGTCTAAGCAAATACGCAACCGAGAGATGGAACTCATAAACGTCGTGATTCGGCGCCTTGAACCCAACCGCATCCGCAAGCCGATCTCTCAACCTCCTCATGCGCTTCTCTTCTTCCGCAGTCGCGCCCTCAACTCTGAGACCGATGCCGACCAGCGTGTCGCCGAAACCGACAGCACGCATGCGATACGGAGGCGCCAGACCGTCCTTTTCGAGCTCTCGGCCCAGCTTCTGGACTTCTTCTGCGAACTCTTTCGTGCAGTCGGCGAGGGGCGCTTTTTCCTTCCCCGCGGGCCACATTCCAGGTTCGCACTCCTTCTCGCGGACGCCGTCTAGGACGGTCATGTGCCATGAGGAAGGAGGGAGGAGTTGGATTCGCTTGGAGATCATGGGGTGGGATTGGAGAGCATTGTATAGCTTTTGTAGGCGAGGTATCAATGGCGACTTGGGAGGAACGTGGCATAGAGTTGTGTTGCCAGGATAATATTGGACGACGCCTTCTGGGGAGAATTTGTCTGGAACGCCGATGGGATATTGTGGACGCTCAGTCGTCGTTACAGTGGTTGTGGTACCCATGTTGTGGTCTGCTCGTGCAATCGTAGAATGCGTAGATAATGAGACTCGAAAGAATACAATGGGGTTCTTATTGATGTCGCCGTCTGCACTCAGGCAGTGTTTATGTATCTGGTTATATAGAAATCAATGCAAGTCCAATGCGACTTCGGCAGACGACTAGCCTTCTCCGTATCATCGGCTCGAACCGATCGCTTTGCTCGGTACGGACGAATGTGGCAAGATCTGAACAAAACAACTAGGGAGTTTAGAGCGAGGCTACTGCAGCGCTACCAACGGCAAGCTATGTATGTCAGGTACTCCCAGCAGTGCGGGTAATTACAGGCTGATATGACTTTGAAGCCACCATATGTAGGGGCATACAGGCATGAGTATGGGGTACTGGACCGAGGAGAGTTGCACGCGGGGTAAATTCAAGTAGTTGCAGGTAGTCTTTACCAATGACGTTCAAGCTTGACATGCGGAGATGGGCTGACCGTACTGGTTGGAAGTTGCATTGATTGAATGATGTGCGAATGCAACATCCTATCTGGGATTCGATCTAGCAATGTCTACCAATCCTGACGACATCCATACTGGTTCAATGTGTAACCTATCATATATACTACGACATTAGACATGCTTGTCAGCGAGACATCACCGATCAATAATCAAACTATCTTGTGGTCAGTACTGTCCAAAGAAGAAAGATGCGACCAGAAGAGAAGGAGATAGAATGGTGTCAGACAGCAGTTGGATCAATTTGAGTCCACATAGAATTCAGAACAGGTCTGTGAATAATTGTGATATCATCATTGCAGAGAATGGAGATATGAAAAATTTGTAGGTGAACTTACGAGTAAGGAATAAACAGTGGATCTCCAACTTGATTCACGTGTCAGTATTTGCATGTCTCATTCAGCTTTTCGACGCTTGAAAAAGCCGTCCAGTTTCTTTTGCGAAGTGTCATGTTTGGCGCTCCCGATGCCGCCTCGTGTCCGCTTGAGACCACCAAGATGATCTTTTGCATCGATCGCTTGGACAAGAGTCACCCAGCCAGATGACAATGGTCCTGACGGTGTCTGTGCTTGATTGGGTTGCTTCTCGATCGCATTTGTATCGATGGGCTTTTGTTCCTCATTTGAACAATCAATGGACTGCGACTGAGAAGAACGGAGTACCGAACGTTTTACGACAGATGGAGTCGGGTCTGAGTCCTTCGTGTCTTTCGACATGTGCAAATCAAGATAGCCGGTGTTTGACCATCCACCCAGGTGCTCAAGCGAGAACCTGGGCGATTTGACTACTACCTCAGGGGACAGAGTCACGCTTTGCGGGGGCAAGCGAAGGAGAATACGCTTCCACAGCGTGGAGAGCATAATCCCATGCGAAACAATGGCAACCACGCAGTCTCCAGGCTCAACCGCGTCATCAAAGATGGGTAGCAGATGTGCATCCAGGAACGCGTCGGCTCGCTTTGCCAGTGAGTCTTTCGACTCAACGTCAACGAAGCCGGCCTGATCTTTATGTGATTGGCGGTGCGCATCTTTACCAGTCGTGCGAGTAGGTTCTTGTCTTTCAAAGAACTTCTTGCCCTCATAAAATCCAAAGTCTTGCTCCATAAGAGCAGGGACTTGTGTGACCTCAGGTATCTTACTCACATCGGAGGCATCGCTGGTAGTGAGCTGCGCCTGGCGTATAAGGGACGCTGTCTTCGCGGCGCGCTGTAGGTGGGAGGAAAAAAAGTGGGTGAAACGGAGACCTAGAGCTTCGAAGTGAAGACCTAGACGCGTAGCTTGGTGGAAGCCATGGTTGGTCAGAGCAGAGTCTCTACTACCGGCGCTGCGGACAACAGTGTTAGGAAGAGAAGCAGAAGGGTGTGTACGCGAGCACTTACTATACCTGGGCGACATTATCCACGGTTTCTCCATGTCTAATGAGAAACAATCTCACTTTTCGCACCATGGTGCCCAAAAATGGGCATAACTGGTGTTGTGAAGATGCATTGGAGCTGGGTGCCGATGATGATAATGAGAAAAGAGACGAAGAGGCACCGTCGAAATTTGTACCACGAACACTACACGCTAGCTGACTAAGCACGCGACCTCAACTCATCAGATCGCTAAGTAAAAGCATCACCACAAGTCCAACGAACATGAGATACCATTATATTGTCTATCTCTTTCGTACAAATTTTGGTATACTCCGAAATATCATCTGCGTAAATATATCCATACGCCCAGTAGTCGCATTCCTAATGAGAAGACCGATGACTTCATAGGCCATTGTCATGAACAACATCTCCACAGGAGTTCTGAGCTTACTTTCAGCATCCTTCACAAAGTCAACCCTAAGTAAAGTCGTCACTAATCGATTTATATGAGGTGATTGCATGGTACTCATTTTTCAGTTCGATCTACAGTTCCTACCATAGTCAACTCGTGAAATCCTTAACCTCATCTCCCTCGTCTCTTTGCTCATCAGAACCTCACTCACTTTCCACTTAGAGATACTTCAATGCTATCAGTCTACTCGGCCTCACGATCTCATCTAAACTTTTCTCACGGACAAACGCTGCTCGAACAAACTTCACTTCACTGCTAAACTAGGATCATCAGCATTTTTCAACATCCGTCGTCAGATGCCATTGCAACAAACGCCCATCTCGGCAGACTGCCCCCACCAATATCACAACCATTAGGCTCACCGCTATATATGATAGCTATGCCTCTGCTTTGAAAGGGAAATCTTACCACCAATAGCCAACGTTCACTCACCGATATGTTCATCCGTTCAACGAACCGATGCTCAAGATCTAACAGCTCGACCCTCATTTCCAATCACCCTTCTCCTTGACTGACTCAACCTGACTTACCAGTTCACTTCCACTCTCCCTAGTCTCCAGCAAACTAACACTACACCACCTCATCTATCACCCCAACCTTCCGCCTCTTGAAGGACGATTATGATGTGAACGCACGCAGGATCATGTCTAGCAACATCCTAAATCCACCCCCACTATGGGCATTCCCACCCCATCCCGACGACCAAGACACCCAAGCTCCTCTCCCGCAGCACCACCACTCGGGCTCTCCCGAAGCGGACCCAAACCGTCCATCCATCTTCGGCGGTGGGACTTCTCTTCTCGGCCAAGGTAGTCCACAGCCCAACACATCACTCACCCTCCCACCCCAAGACGACAATACCACCAGACCCATCCCCGCACACCTACGCTTCGCAGCCGGTCTCTCCGACGAAGAAGACGGCGCCGCTTCGTCCGCGGCACTGCGGTCCTTCGCGAACGTGAGAAAAGCGTCGAAGACGCTGCATTCCAAGATCTCGCCCAAGCGCGCTAGCAGTGAGGAACATGATGATAGGTCGGCGAAGCGGGAGAAGCGGCTGCGGGATTCTTTGTTCGGTGGTGATGATTTGTTTGGGGATGTGCAGGAAGCGGTGCCGAATGCGACGGGGAGGAAGAAGAAGAGTGGCCCTTTTGAGATGTCTTCGGACGAGGAAGATGAGAATGTCGATGCGGATGACGAGGCGGATGATGAGTATCAAGACACTTCGGTTCGTCCGACGGCGCCGCAGCCGCCGCGGAATGGCGGCATCCAGCATCACCTCTCAAGTCTGCATCTGAACGGGGACGAACCCGATAATGTCATCATGAACGCGACAAACTACATTTCGAACGACCTAGGTCTCGGCTTGTCGGACGACGATGACGACGAAGTGGGCTCGAGGGTCCGATCTCGCGAGGCGTCTATTGACAGTGTCGGCATACCACGAGCGGTTCGCAACGAGATTGACAGTAATCCTTACGACTTCCGCAAGAATGTGAATAGGGCAGTCGCAAGCACCTGGGTGGACATCGATCAAAGCGGGACATATGACCCCGAAGCTGAGCGCGAGTTGGCGAGGATAAAGAAGATGAAGATGAGAGCTGCTGCGAAGAAGAGGAATGCCGCTGCCGTAAAGCCTGAGAAGTTTATTGTGGTCTTGCAATTTCCTACTCGAATCACTACTGTCCTGAACCTCGTGGACGGTGAGGAGAATTGGCCGGACGGATGGTCTGAAGTGGACTCGGAGGAGGAGAGAGTGCGAGAGGAACGCAGGGCAGCGAGAAAGTCCTTAGCAAAGAAGCAGCCGAAGCGAATCAGGGATCCGGCGAACATTGTGGACGACTTGACTGGGCATCCTGCAGCGCGAGGATGCACAGAGTGCCGCAAGGCTGGAGAAGATTGCAGTCTCGTCCATGGGCAAACCTGGCCTTGCCAAATATGCAAAGAGCAGGATATTGAATGCAACCTCATTATTCCCCCAGTCGAGAAAGATAAATGCAGACGCTGCGAAGACGACGATGAGCCTTGTTCGTTTACGGATCCGCGAGCGAAGAATAAGAACAACAGAGGCGTCTGCGATCGTTGCCATTATGGTGGTCATCTCGGCTGCGCCATACGTCCGCCAAAGGGATACAAGATTCCCCGCATCGATCTCGCAGAGCTGAGCTACGGTCCAAACAGGGAATACGTCAATTGTTCTCACTGCCGCGCGAGCAAACGGCGCTGCTCCGTAAAGTCCAAGAAGGACCGCGGGCCCTGCAACCAGTGCAAAAAGGCCAAAATCGGCTGCACCTTCTTCGAATTCCCACCTACGCCGCCTATATTCCTAGAGGACGAACCTACAAAAGTCCGCAGGAAGGAGAACAGGGTTGAAAGGCCACCAGAGCGAGTCCCACTCTTCACTGACGAAGAGATCGCCGAGTACGACAGGCAGGCGAGGGCCGTCCGGAAGCGAGAGCCGACTCCGGAATTCGAGATGGAGGACACGCTGGGTCGCAAGGGGAGGTTCACCCATCTCTGGACATCCTTCGCCCATCCGATTGATTTCCAAATACACTCGCAGTCGATTCAGGGTCAGTGTGATTTCTGCGCGAGCCCCTGTTTCGGGATATTAGGACATTGCGAGAAACGAGTGTATACCATCCGCTGGCACAATGACATGGGATACACTGAGATAGGCGGAGGTCATCGCGATCAGCATGATGCTACAGTTATGTGTCAGCGCTGCACAATGGGTCGTGTCCAGATGATCATTTGTGATCACGGAATGCGCTCTCTTGGCGATGCTCAGAATCTCGACTTCGAAGCGGCAGCGGACGACCTCGCGGAATCCGAGCCCGGGCCTGACCGGTCACATCAGCTTCAGCGATGGTGTTCGCTATGCTTTACTCCTGCGTCTTTCCGATGCGGTGTCCAGCAGCCGAACCTGTTCGATTCTTTCGCTGACACGGGAGAGGAGACTATAATCGACGGGTGTGGATTTCGTCTGTGCACTAAATGCGAAGGGAGGTTGAGATGCGACTTCCAGGGAGACTATGAAGCATTGATCGCGACCATGGACAAAGATCCTAAGTTCAGAGACGAAGAAGAGGAGAATGAGGATGCTACAGCGACGGTGACAAGGGCAGATGTGGGGCTTCTTTTGAAGCAGGGAATCCTCATGAGAACGGTAGAGAATAGCATCGGCCCGTAAGGAATCTCACTTCCTCCAAGGATGCGAGCGCTTGAAGACAATGTCGCTTGGCGAAGTCGGAGCTTGAACCTGGTCTTCTTCGAGTCGTGCCGAATAAGCCTTCGTCGAGGGGTCACGGTGTGGCGATATTTCCTTGCATATTGCATGGGGATCTCAATTGCGTATTTCGGGTGGCCAATTTTCAAGACATCATCTACTTCTTCAAGCCACTTATATCCACAATCTTCCATAGCATCTGATCCGTATTTTGCAGATAAAAAAAGTCATTCATTTACTTCAATCGCACATCGCATTATGTATGCATTTGGTATCTACTCCTTTCCCTCCATTCTCATCACACATATATCACTCCTACTCAAAAGGAGTCTCATAAGGCCTCTCAGCCTGCGGTGTGATTCTAGCTAAGTGCCTCCTAGCACCATCATCCCAGTCCAACAACGCAGAGTGCGCCGTGACTCTGTTGTCCCAGACGACGACGGTCTTCGGCGCCCACTTGACTCTGGCCTGGAAGTCCTGGCCCTTGGCAATGTGGTCGTAGAGGAAGTTGAGGAGGAAGTCGGACTCCTCCTTCTTGTAGCCGATGATCCGGCGGGTGAACTGTGGGTTGACGAAGAGGGCCTTCTCGCCGGTGACGGGGTGCGTGCGGACGAGAGGGTGGACGGAGGTGACGGGCTCGCGGCGAACGATGCCGCCCCGGTTGCGAGAGTTCTCAGCTTGCTCGATGCCTAGGGATTTGTAAGTCAAGAGTAAAAAGAATATGATTGCTGTGATACGAACCGGAGTGAACAGCCTTTAGGCCGTGAAGCCTCTTCTGGAATTCGGGTGACAGCCTTCGGTAAGCAGCAGCTTGGTTGGCGAAGAGAGTGTCACCGCCAGCGAGGGGTCCGTCAAGGAGATACAAGAACGTGGTGCCTGGGGGCTGCTTCTCATATGTGACATCGGAGTGCCATGTGATCGAATTTGTGCGCTCCTCGAAGAAGTCTCGTGCGGTGGTATCGTCGGTTCCTCGATGGACGAGATGGATCTCTGGGTGGCCCTCGGGTCCTCCTGAGGTAGGATGAATGTGGTGACGTCCGAAGTAACCACCGAAGTCTAGGGCCTCTTGGATGGGAAGGTCTGCGAAGTCCTGGTCACGGAAGGCTACAACCTTCTTCTCGGCGACGAATCGAGCGAGCTCATCCTTGCCCTGCTGGTTGAGCTTGCTGAGTTGAACTCCGTGGACTTCGGCACCAATGTTGGCAGTGAGGTCGGCGACCTTTGCGTCGGCTCCAAAGAGGTTCTTGAATGATGCGTCGGCGTCCTTGCCGTGGTCGTAGTGCTCGAATGGCTCAAGAGGGGGGTAGCTATGTTGTATCAGTATCTGATGTCCTTACAGTAAGATAAGATTGCATCGTTCCACCTACGTCTTGGATGGCCATGTTGGAAGGTAGTTGGGGTAACTTGAACCGGCGTGCTTGTCGGTTCCCTTCAATTCGAGCTCCTTGCTGTATGCCTTGGGTCCACTGAAAGGAACCTTCTCATCATTAGTCCCATAGTTCGAGACAACGAATTCAAGAAACGTACCTTATACTCTCCAGTGCCAGACTTGGTGTAGTTGATATCTGAGCGCTCAATCTCAGTGGGAGGGTCAACGAGAGCGGGAGCCATGATGATGGTAGTTGATTAAAGTCACTGGTGGAAGAATGAAACGGATATTGGAAAAAGCAATGTTCGGGCTTCTTATCCGATAATGGGCTAACTATATCTTTCCAGAAAGCCGATCCATTAGATAGGACGAGTGTTTATATATCTAGCAACAATGGATGGCTCCGAATAGCGGACTGTAACCCCTCGGTTGGTGCGGCATGATATTAGAAAGCAGAATTCGCAACCCCTCATTAAAACCTCGTGACATTTCATGCAAAGTCAGTGTAGATACGAGAGAAATGATAGTAGTTGAGAGGGTAGATATCCGTCATCGAAGGTGTTGATCCCCTCATCGACTGGTGGTTTACTCGTTTAGGCATAAGGAGGGGTTGAATGGATGGGATGGAGGTGGGAAGAAGAGATGCTTTGCCACTCGGTAATACCATTCCACTTATGCCCGGAGCAATCACGGCAGCATAAAATGGCATCAAATGTGCATCTATGGTATCATTCAGGTATGCCGCTAAACCTAAACACGACTGATGGTGAGGTTATCCGAGATTCTACCTCAGTACAAGTATAACTACGGCAGATGCATGCTCATCCCATTTCCATAGCGTTACCACTGTCAGTGCTCCATAAAGTGGAGGATGCCAGCCTTGCCTAGCATTGGCATGGTAGTTAAGGAGATCCCATGTCTTATGCTCCATACGGGTATGATGTTAGTTCAATTCCTCATGTCCACTATTTTTGGAATCGCATAAGTATACGATCGTTCCCACACATGAAGGAAAGCATTACTTTCAATCTAGACATGATACCTACATATTCAATAGAAATGCTCGGCCTAGCCTTTTTTTCTCCTATCTCGACGTTCCCAATAGTGACATTCTTGATGATGTACAATTGTCCCGTCCACGTTCGTCAACGAGCCATCCAATCACGCAATTCCCCACCAAACCCAGCTTCTCCACCTCGACCAGCGAATCAACCTCAGGCATTCCATTCATATCATTTCTCCCCATCTCGCATCATCCTCACCACCATAAACATCATCGCACCTTTTCTTTGCGTGCTCTCCCATCTCGTCACCCATTCAACTCCCCTAACCACCTCTCTTCCACGCCGTTGTCGCCCGATGAATATGCGCTGTCAGTATAGTGTCGGTGCATCAACCAATTCTCACGTCCTTCCCATGTCACTCCCACGTATCTCTTCATATCAAACACCCCTGCTATTACTGGACGCCCTGGCTTCTTGCACCATGTCGACTACGTACGCCTCCTCCGATGCATAGAACTCGGCCAAACTCAACACTTCCACGCGATGTCGCGGTCGCCGGCATGTCTATCAACCTAGGTTACCAGGTAGCTGGCACAGGGGCAAAGGTTTGCTCGACGCAAGCCCATGGCGAAAGCTTGTGATCGTCGTATAAGAAGTACAGAGTAGAAGCTACAGCAGCCACATTCAAAGCCAAAAAGTCTTGAACTCTTGTGTTTGCTTGTCCCCCAGCATTGGCATTTAACGACGACTTGCATCTTCGTGACAAGCCTTGGGCACAGTGACTTGCAGCCATGTCTGAGAAACACGTGAACGCTAGATCACCCGTTGGCATTGAACCTGAGCTCGCCAAGTCTGACCCCGATGTGAGTGGCAGCAACAGCAGCACCAGCGACGCCGAGGGGACCAAGTCTGGCTTTCGCATCCGCGGAAGGGAACGACAGGGTGTCACTTTCGCTGGCAAAGGTCTGGCCGAGGACCACTACAGGCCAATCGACAGCTATGAAGGCATTCATCGATATGATCCCAAATTCGACTGGGAGCCAGAAGAGGAGCGAAGAGTCGTTCGCAAGGTATGAACTGACCTATACAATGTACTACTCCAGACAAGCAAAGCTGACATTTGCATCTTAATAGATCGACTACAGGATCTGTAGCTGGGTGTGCCTGATGTTCTTCGCCCTCCAGCTGGATCGAGGAAACATCTCCCAAGCACTGTCGGATGACATGCTTCCCGATCTGGGTCTTAACACCAACGACTACAACTATGGTCAAACCATCTTCCTGGTCTCCTTCCTATGTGCTGAGCTGCCGTCTCAGCTGATCAGTAAGAAACTTGGGCCTGATAACTGGATTCCAATCCAGATGTAAGTTTCCGAAGCACTCCAAAAAATCATTGAAACTGACATCTTGGCAAGGGTGTCTTGGAGTCTTGTCGCCAGTATGCAAGCCTTCCTCAGTGGTCGTAAATCCTTCTTCGCCTGCAGAGCTCTCCTTGGACTTATTGAAGGTGGATTTATTGTATGTCTCCCTTATCTCCGTGACGGAGCAACCCCGATTTCGGCATCACATCCATTCTGACTCGATTTCTAGCCTGACAACATCCTCTACCTAAGCTACTTCTACACGGGCTGGGAATTGCCGGTAAGGCTGAGTTGGTTCTGGGTGTCCTACCAGTCTACGCAGATCATCTCGGCCTTCATGGCCTATGGTATTCTACGACTTGGCGGCCACAATGGCATGGAAGGATGGGTATGTTCCTATCTCCAAGACTATACGTGGGACAGTCACTGACCAATCAACCAGCGCTGGCTCTTCGCTCTTGAAGGCATGTTGACCGGCATCATCGGAATAATCTCCTACTTCTACCTCCCACCATCGCCCACGCAGACAGCCAGTAAATTCCGCGGGAAAGATGGCTGGTTCAACGAGCGTGAGGAGAAGATCAGTATGTCGACCGCTCTCCCCGTTCCCGTTCCATTCACTAACTTTCATACTCAGTGGTCAACCGCATTCTTCGCGACGACCCTTCCAAGGGCGACATGCACAACCGACAAGCCCTCTCTCTAACAATGATCTGGGAGTGCCTGACTGACTACCACATGTGGCCCATCTACGGCCTCGGACTGACCTGGCTCATCCCCACACAACCCATGTCCGCCTACCTGACGCTTCAAATCCGCTCTCTCGGCTTCGACACCTTCCAAACGAATCTTCTAACCGTAAGTCCCATCTCCACCCCCTCACAACCAGCCAACCAACTAAACCCCCTCCCCCAGATCCCCGCCTACGTAATCTTCATCCTCCAACTCCTCTTCTGGACGCGCCTCTCCGAGAAAATCAACGAACGCTTCCTGCTGGCCCTGGCCTCGCAACTCTGGGCGCTCCCTCTCCTCATCGCCCTGTACCTCCTCCCCGCCGGCGCCTCCCACTGGGCCCGCTACACCATCTGCATCCTGATGGTCGGGCACCCGTACTTCCACGCCATCATCGTCGCCGTCACGAGCCGCAACGCGGGATCCGTGCGCACCCGCACTGTCGCTTCCGCGCTGTACAACATGTTTGTGCAGACGAGCGGCATCGCGAGTCAGAATGTGTACAGGAATGACGACAAGCCGCTGTATCGGAGGGGTAATAAGACGTTGATTGGTATTGCGTGTATGAATATCGTGCTGTTTATACTGACGAAGGTGTACTATGTTTCGGTGAATAGGAGTAGGGATAAGAGGTGGAATGCGATGTCGGCGGAGGAGAAGGAGCATTATTTGGCGACAACGACGGATAAGGGGAATAAGCGGTTAGATTTCAGGTTTGCGCACTAAGTGGATTCAAGATCGTGTCGTGTTGGATTAGAGAATCGCGTGTTAGAAGACGGTCAATGATTTCTACTGAAGACTGGAGGTGGGATCTTTGAAAACTTAATCGCTACATGCCTTGTCCAGGACAAAAGTCCACAGTTTAGGAGGCACAGTAGCATTACGTCCAAAACCACATCGACCAAATAGAATCATAGATGTAAAAAAGCCTGTTCAAGAAGAGAAGCGACAAAAATGGAACAGTAATGTATTTCTTGTTTCTCAAATTTCGAATTCTGCACGGTTAGTCAACTAACTACATACGGCTCTTGATGTCTCTCGCAGCACTCTATCGAAGGGTGCAGTCTCTGGGCTACTCTGACTGCCCGAGGCCTTCTAGAAGGGTTCTCTTCTAGCATGGACATGACTATATTTGATCCAACTTGTGAAGATTCTGGGCATGCGAATACTTGCATCTGCAACCATTCAGTCGTTTTCGGGATGCAAGCGTGATAGGAGTCCGTATCTCCCTCTCCCTGACGAAACTCCGCAAAGAGCTGAACCTCCTTGTGGCAGATTACTGTCAGCATCTCTGCAAATACGCAACCAAGAGAGAATATATCTGCAGCTCGACCCCAAGGCTCGCGGTTATATACTTCGGGGGCGCAATAGCGTGGAGTTCGAGCAGTGGCTCGATCGGTCTGGCTGTGGCCCGTCTCCTCAAACGATGTTGACAAGCCGAAATCGGCCAGATAAATGCGCCAATGAGGTTCATGATGAATTCGTTTCATACCACTTGGTATCCATCTCACAAGAATGTTCGCGGGTTTAATATCCATGTGCCTAACAGTATTTCGATGAACGTAGTCCACCGCATGAGCAATGCATCCCATGCTAGAGTTCAGAAACTCTACTCGATCAGTGTATGCTGTATCCAGAAAAAAGCCTTCCGCTGGCTTCAAATCCTCGGTCTCCTCCATGAATCGTCTAAGGTCGTGTTCAGCCGCTGGATACATGAGTAGTGCAAAGTGACGACCTTGCAAATAAGTCCCTACCAATTGAACAATATGGAAATGCCGTAATTTCTGAAGGTGCTCTACCTCCTGTAGAGCATCAGAAACATTCGAATTCCTAGTGAGTTTCATAGTCTTCCTAGCTAAATAGATGCGGCGGCACTTGACTTTGTCTACAGTGGCAGTTATGGATGATCCAAGATGGCATAGTGTTTCAAGTGGAATCTTCTCGAAAGGCTCAAAAACCACATGCTGGCCCTGGCCTGACCAGTTGAGTTCTTTATCAGGAGGTAGAAGTAGATTCCTTCGAATGAGATTTTTATTGTAATCCTCTCTGATCCCAATTATCGGGCCGCCACGCTGTTGTCGTCTGATAGGTATGGGCTCCGATACGGGCTCAGGCTTAAGATTACCTCGAAAGTTCCTACCGGGACTGGAGCAGGTAGACTTCGCAGAAAAGAAGGTACCAGGAGTACTGGCAGTCATAAAGGTTGAAGGGGTATCCCAGCTCCCAAAGGGTGTTACGGGAGGTTGACATATAAGTTTCGCATTCTTTTTAAGATGTTGGTCCCCAGTGGATGTCCTTGTAAGAGAATTATCGTTACCCCATTCAAATGCACTTGTGCCCATTTTGGTGAGACAATGCGATGGAGCGAAAACCGCGCTGGTAACATCAATCGATGCCATCTCTGGCATTAAGTTGTCATTTGAGTAAAGAGCTTCTACCCAGGGGTTGGATGATTGTCCCTGACCATCTTTGTTGCTGTCTGGTAGCATTTCAACGCTGTCTGGACTGCCGTGATGAACATTGCTGTGCTCTGGTGAGATGATAGGGTAATCAGTATGAATGAATGAACTTTAAACTTACGAGGATGGTACTACTACATTCACATAAGGGCCCCAGAACTTCTGTATATCTTCCCAGTTCCACTTCTGCTCCATAGCTGCCTGGTAAGGGAAACACGTTGACGAAGTAGTATTCTTGAGTACAGATGTTGATTTGAACCACGATGAGGAGTAATGTGAATAGTTGAATGAAGATGTGTTTGGTCATGGCCCGAAAACCGAAGTGACAATCTCGAAGCTGATGTGTTGATGCGATCGAGACACAAGGCTGAAATAGCCCCTCCATCGTATGCCCTGCACGTGAGGGGCTGATGCAAGAGTTTCCAAAATGAGCTGCATTCATCCTGTTTCTCTGATGAGCCAAGGCCCATTAATTACATGTAAATGCGATTTCGTTCGTGTCAGGATAGGTGGCTCCAACGTCGTAGTCCGAACAGATGAAGTAATGAGATTGAGAGTTTTCTCATCGCTTTTTTGTTGGAACCTTGCTTGGGATGAAGGCAAGTGCATTGCAATGTTGTTGACTAGACATGTTACTCCGTATTGTGTTACCTATGAACAATTCGGGAAGCTGCTCTCCGCAACAACACAGAAAAGTATTAACACCAAAACTAATCGTTACTTCAACCATCATCCCTCTATCCCCACCACCACGATTAGATACCAGTTTCTCATTCTAGTGCCCGTCATTTTAGTCGTACATGCGATGATTGCGCGGGAAGTGGACCAGGCCCTCGTTCAGGCCCGCGTGGGGTCCGTTTTCTGATGGATTCATTGGAAGGATGCGATCAAGCGACTAGTGTGTGGCGTCCCAAGGCTGAACTTATACTCGTAGACAGATGGACAACCCGGTAGCCGGACGACAACCTCCAACGTCTGTCTGAATTCTCTCCTGGCGATCACGCATATCCTGTTGTTCTTCATGATACCTCTACACTGATCCCGGATCAGCAGCCAACTCGCCATGTCCCATCTGTCCGCTTCGACATTCACATCCGGATCGGGACATGGGAGGAATTCGTACGCGACTGTCGGACAGGACCAGGCTGAGAAGGATGATTATCGAAGCAGCACTGGTGGGACGATGAAGGGGATAGAAGACGTAGACTTCAGAACAGCCGCCTCCTTGTCGCACATCCATCTTCTCGGCCTACTTGTCGATGTTCTTTTGTCGCTGGTATCGATTGCCGTCATCATATTCGTCTGTCTTGGTTATCGCGCAAGTGGTAATGCTTTGGGGGCTCATGAACAGAGCCTGATCGACATTGCTCAGATTGTATGTGCAAGAAATCGCAAGTTGCTTTTTCGTACGCGATGCTCACATGTTGTTCTAGGTCGCAACAGCTTTTCCGTTCGTTTTCGCCTTGATACTCGGCAGAGCCTTGACGAATGTCCTTTCCTACTGTCTGGAAAAGGGCATAAATTGTCTCAGCTTCGCATACCTGAGCCGGAGTCTCACCTTGGGCGGCGCATACACAGCTCCCTTCCAGATCCGCCTACGCCACTGGTTGCCCGCTGTGCTTTTGGTATACTGGACCTTCTCGCCCATAGGCAGTCAGGCATTTTTGAGGTTCATAGTCGCACGGTATGGACGGGTGACAACGCAGCTCCAAGAACCTGCGCATTACATCGTTCCATCGGCCACTCTGACTTCATCGACACCGATGAAAAATTTCTACCCATCAGGGACGTCTAATGCGACATGTGATCACTTCGAGAACAACGGTCAGAACTTGGTCTTCACGTCCTTCCTTTCGCTTGGTAGTATGGTACGAGAGCCACTGGATAACATGGGTAACTTGAAAATACCCGTCTTAGACGACTCGAATTTCAAAGGCAAGAAAAGCGACTGGAGACAAGTGTCAGTGGAAGACGAGGAATTGTCGCATCCCGAGTTCGCCGCACTTACAGGCATTCCATTTTCTCTGCCAAACGCCACCCGGTTGGAACCGCAAAATCCAGGTAACATTACATTTCGCGTGCAATCGTGGTATTGGCAGCTTGAAGATCCCATCCTTCACGATACTTCATCTCCTGGAAGTCTTCTCCAGGGACGTGAATACAATGGATCCAAGGAGCTTGTCCAGTTCGGCGGATCGAGCCGCAGATGGCAATTCGGACTTCCATCGCGGCTGAATACGCTGCAGGTAACTTCGATCCCCATAACCTTCGATGCCAGCCACACGGACTTTCTCAACAACTCCCTCGACCTCCCTTGGTTCATGAATGCCAAAAATTGCACAGGAAAATTCTGTGCTGTCCGCCTCGAAGCCACCCTCGTTCAGAAGCCCGTAGAACTCAACGTGACATGCATCAAGTCCAGGCTCTGCACCGTTATTTCACTCCGCCCGAGCACGATGCCAATGGACTACGACGTCACGACCGACATGATCAAAGTCGCCGAATCGTTCCTCCAAGACTTCGGCCGCGCCTTTGCCTGCCTTCCCTACGTCTCCGGCGTCCTGGAAGCCTACCTATTCGACCCGATGCAAAACCCATACAGCCTTCTCGAGGCCGAAAGAGGTATAATCAGCCTCTTCCACCTTGACGCCGAAACACTAGGCCTACGCCTCTCACAAATCCTCAACACATACTGGATGGTACAAAACTTCTTCTTGCACATCTCCGGTTCCTTCAACGCCAGCGACCCAGCCCTCACCCTCAAGCGCGCACTGCAGAACGCCACCGTCACAGAAACGAAACGCCAGGACGTACTCCACTACGACCCGGAATGGGGCACCCTGCTCTTCATATCGACGACCCTCATGCTCTTCGCTGCAGTCGCATCCACAGTGCTCCGAATTTTCAGAACCGGGCCCGACGTCCTGGATTTCATCTCCGCGCTCTCGCTGCACAACGGGACCGCGCTGCTCGACGATGGATCCTACCTGGATTCCGACGAGAGGATACGCTTGCTGAAAGACGTAAGGCTGAAGATCGGCGACGCTGACGTGCGGGAGCCGGTCGGTAGGATCGTCGTTGGGAGGGAGGAGGCTGTGGGTGATTTGAGGAAAGGAAGGTTGTATATTTAATGAGTGTAGGCGCATATCATATCTAGATAGTTAGCTAGCTCGGTCATGATTTTCGGATATTAGTAGATAGTTAATAATGATTACAATGAGAAAAATCACAACGACAATAGAGGTTCTTATCCAACGTGATGCTGTAAGATTGCGGCGAGGGCGGCGAGGTCGTAACACGTGAGGTCATCATCAATCCATTCCTCCATCTTCTACCCACTCAGCCCCCGAATTCATTCGTGCCAAAAGGAGAATAGATCGACATGTCTCCGATAAATTTGTGTTCAGTCAAAGGGGATGAGGAGGCAAACGACGAAGATGATATCAAGATTACGCATAAGATTCCCCGTTTGCATATTTCGAGTACAACAATTCAAATATAAAAAAAAGGTTTGGTTTGCGCGACCTTAGCATAGAATTTCTATATCACCTTCCGATTCCAATTCCTTCGATTCCATCTTTCCATCGTTCCTTCTGTTGCTTCTTTACATGGGGGCGAGCGCGCGGGTGTGTGGGTGGGTTTATGTATGTATGTGTGGGAGAGAGACGGGGGGATGGAGAGACCTTTAAACGTCGATGAGGTTCTCGCCCTGCTCGCCGGAGTTGTCCTTCGCGTCCTTGGTTGCAGGCTTCTTCTTGCGCTCACCCTCGTCGCGCTTGCGCTGGTAGTACTGGTCGAGGACCTTTGCGGGGATGCGGTTGAGGAGTTCCTTGGGGTAGATGCGGAGGAGGGACCAGGCGAGGTCGAGGGACTCGTGGATCGATCTGCTCTCGTAGGGGCTCTGTGCGATGAACGTCTTCTCGAACTTCTCGAGGAACTCGAGCGACAGCTTGTCTTCGGAGGAGAGGGCCTCCTCGCCGACGACGGCTTTCATGGCGGCTGCGTCGCGGCCGATGGCGTACTTGGCGTAGAGCTGGTTGGAGACGTCGCCGTGGTCCTTGCGCGTGCGGCCCTCGCCGATGGCGGACTTCATGAGTCGGGAGAGGGAGGGGAGGACGTTGATGGGCGGGTAGATGCCCTTGTTGTCGAGCTGACGGTCGATGAAGATCTGGCCCTCCGTGATGTAGCCGGTCAAATCGGGGATGGGATGTGTGATATCTGTTGAGTAGTTAGCGAATGTATGAATAAATAGCGATGAAGATGCAGAAGATACGCACCATCGTTAGGCATAGTGAGAATGGGGATCTGGGTAATGGAACCGTTTCGGCCCTCAACACGTCCGGCACGCTCGTAGATGGTCGACAAATCCGTGTACATGTAACCGGGGTAACCACGGCGACCTGGCACTTCTTCACGGGCAGCTGAGACCTCACGAAGAGCGTCGCAGTAGGACGACAAATCAGTAAGAATGACGAGAACGTGCTTCTCGAGCTGGTAGGCGTAGTATTCGGCCGTGGTAAGGGCAAGACGAGGTGTGATGATACGCTCGATACTGCGGAAGATGTTAGCCAATGCAGAATACCTCGATACATTCAATACTCACGTAGGATCGTTGGCCAAGTTCAAGAACAAAGTGACACGTTCCATACTGCCGTTCTCCTCGAAATCACGTGTGAAGAATCGGCTGGTCTCCAAATTGACACCCATGGCACCGAAAACGATGGAGAAGTTCTCATCGTGGTCATCGTGCACACCCTTCGTAGGCTTTCCGACCAAGCCAGCCTGTCGACAAATCTGCGCAGCGATTTCGTTGTGGGGGAGACCGGAGGCGGAGAAGATGGGGATCTTCTGACCACGAGCGATGGAGTTCATGGTATCAATGGCGGAGATACCGGTCGAGATCATTTCCTCGGGGTACACCTTGTCGCTATCAGTCCAAAGTTCAAGTCTGTCTTGCCTGTATTGCTTACACGAGAGTATGGGTTGATGGGACTACCGTTGATATCCAAGTAGTCCTCCGCAAGGACCTTGGGTCCCTTATCAATAGCCCTACCAGATCCGTCGAAGATACGACCCAACATGTCCTCGGACACACCGAGCTTCAAACTGTGACCGGTGAACTCGACTTTTGTCTGTGGCCGTCAGCTGTGTTCGTCGGGGTGGAAATGGGATCGCGCACCTTCTTGACATCGATACCGGAGGTGCCCTCGAAGACCTAGAGCATCATCAGAACACAAACTCTTCCTAATTGAAACGTCCTTCAAGTACCTGTACAACGGCCTTGTTTCCTAATGTCCTTGTCAGTGCTGCCAACAAATGGAGAGGTTGCTTATCCTACCTCGGGCCTCCAAGACTTGACCAGACCGCTCCGTTCCATCAGGAAGCGTCAAGGACACAATCTCGTTGAACTTGGGGAATTTGACCTGTCACGCATTCTTGTAAGCTTCTCCGTATCCCTTCTTCGACTTCCAAAGCTACGCACGCTCTCGAGAATGACCAATGGTCCGTTGATGCCACCAATGGTGTTGTACCGTAACCTGGGGGTTACGGACATCATGCGGGGGTCGACAGTCTCAGACATGACGGCGGATAATTGAGCGACTTCGGTCTATGTTGGGGTCGCTCGAGATGCTGGATGGGGGGCCGCGGTGGCAGTAATCGTTCGCGGGGTGGTCGTTCGTGAAGCTGTGCAGGCGAAGTGACGTTCGTCGGAGCTCTGCCTACCGCTAACTATCTCATAACCCTGGTCACAGCTCTGCCACATGACATGACTAAGCCGAGACTGATCGGCAGGACGAGCAACGTCGTGAGACTTTCATCGTTGGGAACTTGGAAAAGAACGCGCAGGTAAGAAGTCGAAAACATTTGTATTCATCGTTGCACAAGGTATATACAGGATTCTAGTGCGACTACAATAGACATTGTGTCTGTCAAGGGACGGCTACACGGATAAATGCAGTGTCTTCACGTTGCTGGATAGATCCCGCTTGATGATTACAACGTATGACACACGGGATTGGGCAAGGTAAAGATCTTTCCAAATACTATTGATACTATTTCTATAGAACTGACCAGGTCGTCATCTGAAGTTACCTGCACCCCATCATCGTCAATGTGGTGGTTCAACCACCATGTAGATTCTACTGATCCAGAACCCTTCAGCCAGCAATTGCGCAACATGCGTGACGCAATGAGATAGACCTGTTTTTCCATGTCAGTGTGATGACTACCAATGAGCTCTGATAAAAGAAGACAGTTGGTGGAATGTAGTCAGACATCCAAGGAAGGTTATTACGCTCATCGTCCATCTATGTAGGGATTACGGCGATGGCTAGCGTGGAAACTGCGAATGTGGAAAAGTTTTCATCATGAAATAGGGGTGAGGTGAAATAAAAATGTTGTACTGACCATTGAGTAGGAGTAAAGCAATGAGAGCCTGGTTAGAGAAGTGAATAAGTCAATCAGCATCACCAAATTCACCACCATCGTGATGGTCTCCTTTCCTGCCATCTAGGTCTTTCTCTCCGTGCCATGAATATCCCCAAGCGTACGAAGTCACGTTTATAGAGCGAGTTGATACGATTGAGGATTCCTGGTACGTGTGGAGGACTCTAAGATGGAGGTCGGAAATGCAACATTGCATTGGATCTGAATCTGCTTGTTTGCGGTCAGCAATCTATTGATGGCCATGCTGATGATGAACAAGACGTGATAGTGTGAGGGAGGTCAGACGAAATTACTGGCAAGTAGCAGGCGCCCTGCGAAAGGCGCCCGGACAGACTGATTTTCTTCAAGGTCGAATCGGTTGGGAAAAGAAGAACAAGTTAAACTAGCATCACTCCAGGTGATCCTAAGAAAGGAGATGAAGATAAAACTAGAGCAGGACTTACTGAGATCTAAAACGCGCCGCCAGCCTGATACGTTGGCGGCGCAAATTGTTGACGTCGCGGCAGCAGCAACAGTAACTGGCCAGCAGGCGCATAACGATTGAGCTACATCACGAATGATGCTACTAGGCGAACAAGAAGAGGGAGAAGGGAAGAGGGAAATGCAAGTTGGAGTGATGGAAGAAGAGGGAGAGGAAGGTATTTAAAGGGAAAGGGAGGAAGATGGAGATGATGGTTGACGGAGTGAATGGATCAAAAGATTTGAAGCTGGCGAGGTCAGAAATCACAAAGCTTGCTGGGTTTTTAGGTGGCACGTGGGGCGGGGCTTGGCAGACCAATCAACATCCGGGCAAGCGGTAATTAATTTCAACCACCTCATATTCTATCAGATCGATCCGGACAAGTTGGGTTAAGAACAGAGAAAACCACCTCAACAACCCGAGGAACAACAGACAACTCATCATTTTTCCATCGTCATCTGGGGTATAGGTGCATCGTTGTGGTGCAGCCATGTGCTTTCCCCTGGTTCTGGAGTCGAGTTGAGACTGGTAGTGAAGATGGATGAGGTTAGTCAGTGATATGTGTCAGTTGAATCCGTTCCCAACAGGTGCAGACCCGTGGTAGATTACACCAATCCACGGTTCACGCCAATGTTGAGAAAAGGAGAAGACTGAGAATATTCTCACCCACCATATCGGATTGGGAAATAAAGATAATAGATTACGATAATTACCAAAAAAAAACAAAACAGCACCCAACCAACAGTGAACACCCAATCCAATCTATCGTCCTCCCAACTTGCTTTTCTTCCTCCTCCTCTTCATCCTCCTTTTTTCCTCCTCTTCCCGTCTTCCTCGTCTCCACTCCTTCGTGGATATCTGACAGTCGACAGATAGAGAGGCACAAGATCGAGAGTGTGAGTTGAGTGAGGTGAGTCGGAAAGAAAAGCCCACTTGTGCACACTTTATTATTACCTTTTACGGGGCCTGACGATCGAACGTCCACTCCCGGCCGCCACATCCCCCATCCCCCATCCCAAATCCCAAATCCCAATAATCCGACTCCCCAATCCCAATCCCATCCCAATAATCCCAATCCCATCGCGCGCCGCTTTCCTGCCATCATACTCGTACACTTTGTCACTTCACTCTCTATTTCCTTTATCTTGCTTCGCTCTTCTTCTTCATCGTCACTGTCGTTGTCTTCTTCTTCTTCTTCTTCTTCTTCTTCTTCTTCTTCTTCTTCTTCTTCTATTCCTACGGCCACGGACACGACCACGCCGTACACGCTACGGTACGCTACACCAGCATTACTCTTAAGTCTTTTAAGGGTACACTACGGAGTACAGAGTACACTACTCGTACAGTCGTACTTTATTACCCTATTCCTATCTCTACCACAGTATCTGTATCTTCGAGGTACTAGAACTAGAGGACTAGGAAGCCCGCCCCCATTATTATTGCACACCCGAGCCTGGCTCTGTCCCTGTTGCCCATCTGCTCGTACCCTACCCTGCCCTGCCCTGCCCTGCCCTGCCTTACCCTATCCTCCTCTTCCTCCTGCTCCTCCTCGTCTCTCTCACGCGGCCGAATCTCGCTCGCTCGCTCGCTCCCCATCCGACGCCGCGCGACTCTCCACCGACACGCATGCGCGACAACACCACCAACACCACTACTTCCACCACCGCCTCCACCGCGACCCATCATCCTTAACTCCCATCGACACACGGAGTTCTCTCTCGTCGCCTCATCCATCGCTGGTTGATCGCGCGCGCAGTCGTCTTCGCGATCGCGCATCCTCCTCGTTCGACTCTTCGCGGCCCCGGCACTTGCCGGTGGGCACTCCACCACTTCATCCTCCCATCATCATCATCGTCACCATCACTAACACCACCAACCCCATCTCCATCATCTCACGCCTAGCCATCAACGACAGGCTCGACTCCGTCTCCATCGCTTTCATCTCCCAGTCGCTGGGTAGACTCCTCTAATAACGCGCACGCCTGTAATAGTTGGTCGAGAACGATATCTCGTCGGGTTCGCAAACTGGGAAGGCTTCCCATCGCACCCTCATCTTACGCCTAGCGATATTCCACGCTTCATAGATCCCCTATTGGGCATGCATGTTCTGTAGTATATTTGGATTCCTTCTCGCCATCGACCCTTCCCCGGCGACGTCGACCCTTGGATAGTACCTCCCCTGTTTCGCGCCTCCGCGACAAGTTGGAAGTAACCACGAATCGCCTCGATCGAAAGCTCGCAGGACCTCCCCAGGTCGCGGTTCGCTGTTGGTTATTGCGAACAAGATGATGACCACAAGCTATCCCGGCATGCAAAATCCGGGAATGCCACATGCCCATCCCATGGGTGCGCCAGGTCCGAATCCTGGCCATCCGGGCATGCCTCAGGGCATGCAGATGCACCCAGGAGCATCGGGTCCAGGTGGACCAGCTGCTCATGCCGGCCCCATGATGGCAGGAATGCCACCGGGCGTCGGTCCGAGTGCGCATGCACTTTCACATCTGCAGCCGCAGCAGGCGCACATGTTCCAGCAACAGCAGCAGCAGCAACATGGACACATGCAGAGTAAGAACAACCCTCTTCCGTACCCAATCCACACATCACAATGCTAACATAATGGCCATCACCAGTGAACCCCCAGCAACTCATGCAACAGAGAACTCACAATGCCCAACAAGCATATATACGACAGCAGCAGATGATGGCACAACAACAGCAGCAGCAGCAGCAACAGCAGCAGCAGCAACAACAACAACATAACGGTATGGGTATGGGTTTCCCAAACATGGGCGGAATGAATCCGCAACAGCTCATGCAGCAGAACATGGGCGCGCCTTTTGTCAATCTGCCTGCGCATCTTCGTCAGCAAATGCAAATATCGCAGATGCAACATCAGCAGCAAACCCAGCAGGCACAACAAGCACAGCAAGCACAGCAACAACATGCACAGCAACAGCAACAGCAGCAGGCTCAGCAGGCACAACAGGCACAACAGGCTACGGGAAATCCCCAAGCGCAAGCTATGGCAGCTGCCCAGGCCCAAGCTCAGCAGGCTGCTCATGCTCAACAAGCGCAGATGCAGCAACACGCCATTGCCATGCAGCACGCCCAGTCGCAGTCGAGCAATCACAGTCAGTCCGGCAGCCAAGGGCCCCCTACGACAACACAACCTCAGCAAACCCCTCTTCGCCCTCCCTCGGCCGTCGGGAGTCATCAAGGACAAGCATCTCCTGCCCCTCAATCCACACCCCAACAACAGCCTCAACCGGGTCCTCAACCTCCGCAACCAACACCCGCTCAAAACCAGCCACCAAACGGACCTCAGCAACCAAATCAACAACCGCCAAATCCGCAGATGCAGCAACGAAATCCCAGCATGCCTCAAGGTCAGCCAGGCCAGCAAGGTCAACAAGGCCAGCAGGCACCTCAAGGTCCGCCGCAGGCCCAAGCCCAGGCACAAGCTCAAGCTCAAGCCCAGGCACAAGCGCAAGCGCAAGCTCAGGCGCAGGCACATGCTCACGCTCAAGCTCAAGCTCAAGCTCAAGCATCACAGGCACGTCTGGCCATGATGCCTAGATCATCCAACGGGCAAGGAACCCTCAAGTTGTTGAACTTTGTCGATCAATTATCCCGATTCAGTGTAAGTTTTATCGCAACAACACGAAGGTCTTGCGACTAACAGAGGACTAGACTTCCCGAGGTGTCAATTCAATTGAATACTGGCAAAACTTTGTAGCTCGATTCTTCACCGAAAGCGGCTCGTTCCTCCATACGCTATGGTCAGACCACACTCACGGAACTAAGATGTTTGAGATTGTGTATGGCTCATTACCCCGATACCTCTATACACAGTTCAATACCGAAGTAGAGAATCTGCAGATCACTATCGACGGAGCGAACGAGAAGACCATACAGTCAGAAGTCAAGGTCACTTGCGATCGGGCCAAATTCATCTACACGTACAAGGGGGCTTGTCCGATCCAGGTTGTCTGCCGGGGCAAATTGACCGCTTTCTGGACAGGCTCTGACAAGATGGAATGGCTACAGTTCGACATGGAAGAGCACTCCCAGTATCTTCACCGTTCATCCCTGGAGTCACTCTTCGCTCAGCCATCACCAAGTCAATTGAGTCAGACGGCCTCTCCCAAGATGAATAAGTCATCCAAGGCGAGGCAGCAGCAACAACAACGTCTTCTCAGCGAAAGCATGGAGCCCATTTTGAAGAAGTCCGACATCCCCATGGTCAAGATATCCGAATTCGGGATCCCCGCCGCCCTCCAGAACTACCTTGAAGTATGTCAAAGAGAATCTGCCTCTACTAGGTGGTTTACTGACACAACGTAGATCAACGAGACCATGAACAATATGACCAACGTCATGACCCACTACCAGGAGAACCCTCAGTTCGACCCCATACAGGCCATGTCACATTGGGTTCAGGCCATGTCGGTTTCCAACCCAACAATGGCGCAACAAGCTGGGCCGGGCGCGCATCCTCAGATGGTCAACATGCCCCCGAACCAAGGAATGCAACCTCCCCAGCCCGGCATGGCTCCCGGTGCACGAACGCCATCAGGCCCAGGTCAACCAGGAGGCCCTCAATTCATGTCCCCAGCCATGTCCAACTCTCTCTTGCCCAACGGGATGACGGGTTCGCCTCATCTGATGAATTCGAGCCACACCCCGTCTCCGGCATCGCATCCCATGCAAAGCTCGCTCAGCCAACAAGGCAACGCCGTCGGCCAGAATACGTCTCCAAGCGCCGGCAACAAGAGGCGGAGGAGTACCGTGAAGGTGGACGTCGATGACGGTGGCGGAGCCGAAGTGAACGGTGCCCAGAAGGTCAAACCAAGCCCTCGAATGGGCGGAAACAAGAGGATAAAGGGCAGCAACAACTGAGGCTGACGTCCTGAGCGATGTATCCAACTCCCTGGCCCGGATCTCGACCACTCAGCCATCCGCGCACCCTGGGCGACTCGTCCCCATCCTGTCTTGCATTTTTTTCCATATAGCGCGGCGTTTCCTCCTATTACTAAATATCCAGAGGCTTCTCCATCGTGTCCTATTCATATATATCTGGAGCTCGTATGTTTCAATCTCCAAAGTTGACGGTTTCGGGCGGACACTCTGATTTATTCTTTCCCCGGCGGTTCTCCTCCGACCAGGCGTCTGTTGGGCAGGGTTTCAAATTCTTACTGCCGTTGCTTCCTTGCTTTTGTTGTCGAATTTTCCAGGGGCATTTGCGCATCATCATCATCTTCATCCGTCATTCTTCTATCTATTCCCACTCAGCTTTCCAAATCTCGTTTGCCGCCTTTCTGGTTATTCGGCTCTCTATTTTCTGGACAGGAGAGAGAATGAAGAGTGTCTGTTGCGTCTTCCTCTCTGCTGGTTACATAATTTCTTGTACATTACGCGCTGGACACAAAAGAGAGGGGAGAGGGAGAGGAAGTGGGAAAGACTTTTGTGACCAAATGTCTCGCCCCGTGAATCCCCCCAAAGTTGGATATTGGGGCAGCGATAGTGGCGCAGATATCAAAAAGTTCAAAGTACCCTTCTTCTCCATGTTGTTCCTCCCCACTCACACCAGCCCATTTCCTGGTCATCGCTACTGCTGTCACACTGTCTCCTTCCTCTCCTGTTTATTCGAGGTTCCGCTCGACAAATCTGCCGTTTGCTGCTTTTGTCCCTTTCCATTCCTCTTTTCCTTGCCCAAATGTTTTTCTTACCACGCGCTCTAGAGAGAACGGTTTTTTTTCCTTTGTATGGGTTTGATGATGCGAAATCGCCACCCCCCTCCCTTTCGGCCTTTTTTCCAAGATGGCGGGAATGGGAAAAACGCGGGATTCTGGGTCCGGGACGGATGATGTGTTAATTCAAGAAGGCCACTTCTACTACTCCCGCCACGACTGACGAGCGCCTCATAAGGGCTGCTGTCTGTTTGTGCGTGACTGTGTGTGTGTGAGCGAGGTCCCGACGGACGGAAGGAATCCCTGCGTTACTTTACCTGTTCGAGTTGTTTAACTAGGGGAGAAAATTTAAAGACGTTATGACTTGTTCAATAAAACATGAAATGGCTGTGAATGTTGGGTTTGTGTGCTTTGATGTTTTGATGTTCTTATCGATGATGAGGGGTTGTTTTGACGATCCTCCGTCGCTGCTACGACTACCTGCTTTATTATTTGAATGAACGAGTAAGTCTTTTAAGGTGCTTATTGATATTTATATCCCATCGTAAAACCTACTTGCCCTTGTCAATGGGTGGTTTTTATTCCGCTTTATTTTCCGTCTTAAACACCTACCTATTATCTATTTATTTTCCACATTTCGACTTAGCGTCTTCGAACATCTCTGACATCGACCTCCTTGAAAGGGAAGAGGGGACTTAATCAATTAATTAAATTGCCCTTAACCTAACACAGCAGCGACCCCCAGGCCTGCCTTTCCACCGACGATCTTTGCCTGTAGATTCATAATACATGTACCCCCTCTCTCAGTTGGAGAGATCCCTGGACCACGTTACAGTTACATGCAGCGGGCGGTGCCGCTCAGTCGATATACAACGAGAGAAAAGTGGGACGGCGTGGTATGGTATGCTTTTATCTCCGCACGGCGATGACGTCGTGGGGTTCTCTTGTGGGGTTTTTTACTTACTGGGGTGTAGAGTGACGGGGAATGGATGCATGGGTGTGGTGGTGGTGTGTATATGAACTACTGTCTGCGCTGCTCGCGATGTCGGGCTATGCATGCGCCTGGGAACAGAGAGTTTGGAGTGAAAAGGGATACATTCACGTCAATTGAGAAACAAGGGACTGGGAGAAATTGGACGAAAATAAAAAAAGGGATCTAGAACGGTATGACGGTGAGGCTAAAGAACTTTTGGTTGTGGTTGGGAATCTTTGTGGCGGCGACGGTGGTGCGAGGTGAGTGTGATTCCTCGAGAATCGTATGTAGATGTTAACGGCTGACTGTTTGATTGAAGCGAGATCGGTGGGGATACCGACTATACCACTTGTTCCTGCCGCAGGTCGATTTTCCCTGAGCAATGTGGAGGCCATTGTCGTCGACGGACGGTATGCGGATTCGGTGAACGACAAGGGCGAGACGCTCATCCCACCGACGTTGGAGGAATTCGCGAAGACTTTTTCTTCTGATCTAGAAGAGCTGAATTGGAGTATTCCAATCAAGCAAGGCGGTGTCAACGAGTCGACGAGCACAATTTTTCTCACACTGGGCGATCCAGCCGATTATCACGACGCAGCTGGTCGCGAATCCTCCGAGGGCTACACTCTATCGACATCATCGTCTGGCATCACAGTCACGGGCGCAAGTCCCCTAGGAGTATGGTGGGGCACCCGTACGATCATCCAGCAAGCCGTCCTGAATAACGGGTCTCTCCCCTTTGGCACCGTCAACGACACTCCGGGATGGGGTCTCCGAGGCATGATGCTGGACGCCGGACGGCATTACTACCCTCCTGACTTCCTGATCGAGATGTGTGCGTACATGTCGTTCTTCAAGCAGAACACCTTCCACCTCCACCTCAGCGACAACCTGTACAACAATGAGAACTACACGCGAGAACAGTCGCTGGCGTTATACGCAAGATTCCGCCTATGGTCCGACGCCAAAGAACTCGAAGGCTTGAACCAATACAAGAACGAGTCGTACACGGAGGACCAGTTCCACGATATCCAGACGTCCTGTGCGGCCCGCGGCGTCACCATCATCCCCGAGATAGAAGCACCAGGCCACGCGCTCGTTTTCGTGCAGTGGAAACCTGAACTGGGTCTTGCGGACGACCTCAGTTTGCTTAACATCTCGCATCCGGATACGATTCCTACAATCAAGGGCGTCTGGAGTACATTTTTGCCGTGGTTCAAGAGTAAGACGGTGCATATTGGTGCGGATGAGTATACCGCGGAGGTTAATGATTATAATGTCTTTGTTAATGCTATGGCGGACCATGTACGCACGACGGCTGATAAGTCTATTAGGATATGGGGCACGTTTCCTCCGAATTATACGGAGCCTGGGTACGTCAACATTTATAAGAATGTCACGATACAGCATTGGGCGTTCTTTGAGGATAACCCGCTGTACGATTACATCTTGAATGACTACTCGGTAGTCAATTCGGATGATACATTCTACGCTGTTCAGAAGTGGCCGGTTCCATATCCAACTTCTCCCAACGTCTCTGCTACGTTCTTGGGAAACCCGGAGAACGGAGGAAGTCTTTGGTACCCAAATATTTTCGACCGATTCAACGCGTCCAACAATCCCGCCCGTGACGAGCCTCGCGTTCTGGGCCATACAGCTCCACTCTGGAACGACCACGGACCGACTGCCACCGTCTACTCTGAAGCATACTACGCATGGCGTGAAGCAATCCCCGCCCTCGCCGACAAGCAATGGGGCGGAGACATTACCTCCGCAGAGTTCTACACCACACTCTCATCCCTCCACGCCTCCATCCCCGGCCAAAACCTCGAACGCAAAATCCCTTCGAAGTCACCCACAATCCTCAACTATACTCTCTCCACACCACCCACAAAGCACACTTCCCCAAGCAACGTCGTCCCAGACACCTCTGGCAACGCCTACGACGGGACCACAGACTGCCCCCTCACGCCCTCCGGCTCCCTCAACATCACCTCCACCTGCTCCCTCGATACCCCCCTCTCCTCAAAGGGCAGAAACTACACCCTCACCCTCTCCCTCCTCATCTCCGCCCTCACGAACCCTGAAAACGCAACACTCATCTCCGGCCGGGACTCCACGCTCCTTCTCACGCCCAACATCACGTTCTTCGCCAGCGGGTACTACTACAGCCTCAATTCCACCCTGCCCCTCGACACGAAGATCGATCTTGAGGTCGTGGGGAGGGGAAATAGGACGTTTGCGAGGGTGGACGGAGGGACGGAGGAGGAGTTCACGGTGAGGTTGGGGATTTATGGGAGGGAGGTGGCGTGGGCGGGTATGCCGTTTGAGGCGCCGGTGAGGAGGGTGGGAGGGAGGGATGCTGGGTGGGAGGGTGAGGTTTTTGGGGTTGCGTTGGTTGATGGGTCGTAAGTGGAACTGCTGGTCGTATCTTTAAGGGATATGGTGGTGTGAGGGGGTGTTAAGTTTGTTTGGAAATTAATGTCTACTGGCAGTGTGATAGAGATAGGGCTCTTGTTGATGGAGGAGAAATATATAGTCATTCTTGGTTCGGCTAGGGGTTGTGAATTGGATTAATGTGTGATTTATATTGTGGTTCATATCATTGGTCTTTATCAAAAGCTTCCAAATTGTAATCGCCGTTTGATGTCGATTGAATAGATGGACAAAACTTGAGGAAAATTGCGGTATTTGAGTTTCGGATAGTATTGTTGTTAGGCAGTCTGGAACGATATAAAAAATCTCACCCAAAATCCATTTGGCACAATGGACATTGGATTGCTGCAATAACGTGGCGTAGATGCATCAACATCGGAGCCCCAATGATGGAACAACCCGCATCCCATACCCCGGGAATACTTCGTAAACACCCTAAGCTTTGGAAACAACAACCCAACGCTTCACCACTTCGCGAGTCACCATTCACGAACACAACGCCGCCGTGGAATAACACAATGTGAACTTCCATTCAAAGTCCTCAAAGACAGACTCACGACCTTTTGCAAAGCCACACTGCCCATCCCCTCCAACACCCTAATCCTACCCCCAACCCCACCATCAACCTTACATACCCAATCCATCAACCTCAAAAATACCACAAACCCCCATACAATGACCCGCAACAAACCCCGCCTAGCCCTCGCCCTCTACGCCCGCCCCAAGCACCCAACAACCTACCACTACGCCCTCCTCCTCATTCCCAAACCCACCCCCAACTCCCCCTTCACCCCCGCAGCGACAAAATACCACGTCAAGAACACTCTGCAAGTGCTCCCCGGCGACTCGTCCTTCTCGCAGCCCTGGCGCTTTGAGCGAGACGAATTGGACGACGTGAGCCGTGATCCTCGGTTGTTGGTCTGCGTGGTTGTCGCGAAGGTTTTGAAGGTGGGTAGGCTGGAGGAGGTGGTTAAGGGGGTATCGGTTGATGGGGATGGGGGGTTTTCGTGCAGGTCGTGGGTGAGGGATGTGATTGGGGGTTTGAGGAGGGGAGAGGGCGTGGTTAGGGGGTTGGGGGAGTGGGAGGAGGTTGATGGGAAGGCGAGGGAGTATGTGGAGAGGAAGAAGGAGGAGGGGAGGTGGGATGGGGGTGGGAAAGGGGAGATTGGGGTGCCGGTGTTGTGTTTGGTTAGTGGGGAGGAGGTTGTGAGGTGATATAGAATGGTTTAGATCGAGGTTGAGGTGATGGTGATGCAGTGGTTGGGTAGGGTTATGGTCATTTTGGGTAGTTTTGTGATTGGTGGTGGAGATGACATGGTCTTTCTGCACTTTAGATGCGTTTTGGCATGTCTGCCGAACTCTTTGATTTGATTTTACTTATTGTACATTTCCTTTGTTTTACATATACCAATATTTACAAGAAGAAGACTGGCAACTCCTTCGAGACCTGGCTGGATATAGTGAAGAACGCTGTCGTTAACTCTTGCTTGGTTTCGTTCCTGGAGGCGCCCAGTTTGTTGTCTCCGCGATAGCATGTCATGAACACCTTAGGGCTCGTGGCATGTAACGTCCAGGGAGCCGCCTAGGTATTGCTTTGCAACGGTGGAAGATTGTCGCAGTGATATCCAGGGTACGCTGGTCGTGTCATGTTTCTGACATTGGCAGAAGGCCACAATATCGATATGTTCGATTCCAGAAAACATAGCGAGGTGCCCGACTTCCGGTCGATGGGTATCATTGTCTCAAATCTGCTCATGTTCCTCGCCTTTTTCCTACAGCTTCCTCATATCCAGCCGGCAGAACATCCCCCTCTTTCCTCACTTCCAACTCCTCCTCCAACACTCTCCTCTGCCCTCTCTCCCCTATCGTCGAACTCCCACTCCCCACCGACCAAACGCCCCCCAACTTCTCCCTCGTCCACGCCCTCAACCAATCAAACGGCTGCTCCCCAGGTCTCGGATTCATAGGATCCTTCCTGAAATCATAGAAGAAGACCGCATACACCGTGACCCCGCCAATCAGACTCCACTGCACGATCTTCACCCACTTATTCCACGTCGGCTTTATCGACTTCAGACGCAGTCGGCGCTTGAACTTGCGCTCGAAGCGGAACTGCTGCTTCTCGGTGAGCTCGCGCAGGTTCGGCGGCCACTTCTTGATCGCGGGGTACCGGTTCCGTTTGAAGTCGAAGGGAGGGAGGGTGTTTTTGGGCGCGCGGCCGAGGAGCCGGAGGAGGGATTGGAACATGGTGTGTGGGTTTGTGTATGGTTGAATGTGCGGAGTTTGGGGTGTGTTATGTGCGGAGGTGGATGGGAGTGTCCTTAGGATGAAAGGTTGGTGGTGATCAATTGTTCTGCCATGCAATTGCGGCGTGAGATTTCGATTGTGCTATGTCTCTTTCATTCGATAGTTATGTTTGGTATTGTGCGGGCATGTCTGCCTTTCCGCCGATTGAATTGTAGATTGTGAACATGACATTAGAAAGTCGTGCAAAAGCTCGTGCACGGACACCTTGGCGCAGATCCCGCTTATGCCGACCAAGCGGAATCGTCGGCAATTGGCTGGGTGAAGATCTTCAATGGTGAAAGTTGTGAAATTATCTGAATCAAATGTTGTCTTCACGCGTGGAAGGGATACTGAGTTGAACATATTATGCACAGTCATAAGGCAATGCAGACCTGTTCAGTTCACAATATTTTCCGTAGTTTGGGTAGGTGCATGGACGGTCTGTCAACAACTACGTCATACTGGTCATGATATTTTCAAAGTTGTCAAATATTTCAATCGCTCTAACAATGCTTTTGACATTAAAATCTAACTGATATCTATATGATATGTTTCAAGAGTCGTAAACTTCAGGGGCATAACGAATCGGGGGAATATACTTCTTACAACCTGGCCTTTGCCTGGCCATCCTGGTCAACACGCTTACCCTCGCGGTCGAACCAGATCTTCTTTCCAGACCTGAGCGACTCCTGGAGAGCGACACCGATGCGGACAGCCTCGACGCTGCTCTCGAGATCAATGGGGAGCTGCTTGTTCTCAAGGACGGCATCGGTGAATTCACGTGCCTCCTCGACGAAAGCCTGCTCGAAGCGCTCGTAGTAGTTCTGGGGAATGTCCCTTTGGATACCATCGGGCCTGTGAGACTCGAGGAGACCAGTGGTAGGGTTGGAGTTGACGGCGAGCTTGCCGGTGGTGCCGATGATCTCGGTCATGTCGTGCTGACCAGGTGCGTTCATGCGGGAGCTGTAGAAGTATGCGATCTGTCCGTCGAAGAACTCAACAACACCGACACCGTTGTCAACATCGCCATGCTTGGCTAGGTCAGGCTCGAGAGCGGTGACACCGAAAGCGACGACACTCTTGACCTTGGGAAGGTTGCCATCAATGGAGAAGAACCAGAGGGCAAGGTCGATATCGTGGATGTTGCAGTCCACAAAGATACCGCCGGAGAACTCGGCGTAGGCAACGAAGAAACCGGAGGGGTCATACTTGTCGCAAGTCTGCGAGCGAAGGATGGTGGGCCTTCCGATGTCACCCTTCTTTGTGATCTCGTACGCATTGCGGTAGGAGGCGTCGAATCGGCGGGAGAAACCGCACATGACCTTGACGTCGGGGTAGCGACGGGCAGTGTCGAAAACTTTTTGAGACTGTGGATTATTAGTTGAGAATGACATGGTCGATTAGAGGTGTACGTAAAATATCGTGCTTGGTGCTCAGAGGCTTCTCGCAAAGGACGTGCTTGTGGGCCTCAATGGCCTTGATGGTCTGCTCAGCGTGCACCGTGGTGGCGGTTGCGACGCAGACGGCCTCGAGACCCTCGTGCTTGAGCATCTCATCGTAGTCGGTGTAGAGCTTCACGCCCCATGGCTCAAGGTGCTCCCTTGCCCACTCAATCTCCCTTGGCTCGGGAGAGAAAGCAGCAACGAGCTCCGCCTTGGGGGTTCGGTGGAGGAAGTGGTTTGCGTGACGAGCGCCCATGCGGCCAAGGCCGGAAACGGCAACTTGGAGACGACGGATGGTAGGGGCCATGGTGGATGAGAACAATTGAATCAACAAGGAGCAATTGAGAAAGATGGAACGAGAGTGGTGTGAGATTTGAGAGAGCTTGACAGGAAGATGTGAACAGCGAGCTTCGAGCTTGAAATAGGCAGAGCTGTACGGCTCCAGAAAAGTTTATGGTGTGTGCGTAGCACGTACAGGGTCCACTCAGGCACTCTGTCCAGGTACTCGTCGGTGTGGATGCAAGCTCAAGGGCGATCAAAAGCCGGCGCTGACATAGAATCCTCTTGCCCACGTTGTGCAAGGCCGCACGAAATCTGTCTAGTCGGCCGTCAATGGATTGCCATGTTCTACGCGTGGGTCGGGTAGCGTACCTCCATGTCTGCAATGGAGCAGCGCCGACAATCTCCAGATTCCTCTGATCCGGGGAAAACTGTAGCTTCATTTTTGGTACACTCCAGAGCCCCATCACCCGAATTGAGGAGGATGCCCCAGCATCGAGATCAATTCCGTCGTTGGCGCGCGATAGTGGACGATAGTGGACGATAGTGGATGATGGTGAGCAGGCGGTGTGGAGCCGATGCGGTGGTGTCTTGTCGAGTGCAGGGATGGCGTGGGATCCGTTCGCATCATATTCTGCACCTCCGGGGTAAATTTCCCCTTCCGCCACGACTCTCCACGACTCCCCACGTCTCTCTTGGGGCAAAGAAGCAAAACGCTCCTCAGGCGCAATGTCTGGCGGCTCTGGCCTGGGACAAATAGTGGATCAAACGGGTACACTTGCGGCTCCGGATACCATTACAGCCTCACACGTGCAGGCTTGTGGCGGCGAAAGACATAGTTGAGAAAATAGAACGACGGCTTCGGCATGCGGTATACCTGCTTAGATCCACAGTTCGCATACAGTCTCTTTCATTAACCGTCAGCAATTTGCACGATACTATGCCGTTCTAAGAGAAGTTTTCAAGCCTTTGCAGAAGACTATGGGTGTGATCAATTTGGATATTTCCCTCCAATCACGGTCAAAATTCATTGAAATGATACCGGCAACATTCAGTCTATGCCGAGTTTTCTGCGATGCGAACGCGATGCGAAATGTGGGATTGGTGTCTCAATCTCAAAGAACTGGCTATGTGCCTATAGATTAAAGATTGGCGCTCCAGAACAGTATAAGATATTGCGTTCCATGCATGGCATCCTCTTTCTTGTATTGTATATGCTTTGTATTTCCGTTACTTCTGAAGTGTGTAGTATTAGCTTTTAGTATATTTTACCATATGCCCATATTCTAGAATAGATGTTCAATGTTATGGCCACATTGGAAGAACCCCACGCCTCCCTGCTACTGCTATCGAGGCGACCATAACAAACACGTGAAGGTCATCGCGGCTGTTACCAAGGAAAGTGATCTTCTGCATTTCAAGTCCTCCTCTCATCGCCGCTGCTAAGACCTATCCACTAGTCTAGCATGTGTCAAAGTTGGCGTGGGGATCACTGTGATTGATTGATGTACTGTGTAGTCACTCTCAAGTCCTGAATAGGATAGCTTTGGATCAATCTGTGTTTGGATCTATCCCCGGATTTCGGTCAAATTTCCAATCGCCGAGGTTGTCGTTCCGAAGGAACTGGTGGGACAGCTGCTGGTCGGATTTCCTATGGCACTGACGGCCGTCAGAAAGCCGCACTGACATGGGTAGGATATATTGCGAGCCCCAATTGGATCTGTTCCGATTATTCAATGTCGTTCCATTGGACGTTTTTCTGCTTAGAGCAAGAAACTTTGTGAGTTCCGGCTTCAATGACTTCTAGAAGGTGTTTTGGTTCTGCGCGTCTTCTACAGCAGCGATTGATACTGCGGGAAGACCCATGATAGCCGCCCACTTTCCACCTTATGGCCATACGCATGTGATAGGTAGTAGACATGTTCGTGCTGAAAACCTTCGAAGCTCAGTCACTGACGAGCGATCTCTTGATGTGGATGGTTCGATACGGTACTGGCTCTATTGATGCAGCTCATAAGATTGACACTTCTATTTGTCTACAGATTCTTTACTACCACTTCGATCCATTTATACTCTTCCTATCGCTGATGCAGTTCATTGTGATTGTTGTTTCATTACCTGTGCTCTGATCTTTGCTGTTGAGTTTGCTCGGAAAAGGCCTCCGAGACCGCCTACCCCCTGGCCAGTGCTTGAATTCTGCTTCTTCAGGTTAGACACGACGAGATAGTCTTTGTGTATCATCTTAACCTAAGATAGCCATTCAACCAAGAGGAAATTCTAATTAGTTGATAGTAGAATGGTTTTGCTAATGTCCGATTGTAGGTATAAATTCCATACTAGCAGCAGGCTACTAATGTGCCTGCCCTCTGTAGGAGTGGATTAGTACAGGAAACGTTGGCATCTGTACGGCTCGGCAATTTAATTATACGATAGCAAGTTACAGCATTGCTGAACCAAGACGATATCTCTCAACCTAAGGGGGAAGTCGGAAATAGTCCTGGCCACCCACTGTCGTCATGATCATCACCCAAGCACCTTTGTATCCATAATATTATATTAATTAGTATTGAAATTTAATAGTAATATTGCGAAGTCTTAAAAAGTGTTCTTAATATAATCCTATTCTACCCTCTGTAGTGTCACTGTAGTCAGTTAAATAACCTCACGAGCCTTCCTACGACTATTTCCGGCTTCCCCCTTCGACTGAGAGGATATCTCCTCAAACCTTAAATATGATACCTTTGAATGGATCTATATTTGGATCACTACTCCATACCCCACATCTCTTAATAGAGCCATCTTCCCCTCAATCTGTGCGGTATGCTAATCCGTAGATTCTGGAGCTACACCTGCAAATGTTGGTACGGTAACGTTAGCTGCCGTCTTTTTCTCTATCTCGTATATTACCAAGTCGATTGGGCTCATGTACGAGATATCTTCGTTGCTGCTCAACCCAATTCCAACAATCTGTGCATTTGTTTTGCCGCCCTGGTCAAGCAAGACCATCGCCCCAGAATCGCCAGGCTCTAAGAATGGCCTTCCTTTGTGACCTACAACATGATGGCACAAACTCCATCTCCCACTCCATCCCCCACTCCATCTCTCATGGGTTGCTGTTGTATTCGTGTAAAGTTTTATCACAGAACGAACTGCGGATACCACGCCGATTGTCCAACCTGACGTCCGCCCATATTTTACGACCTTATAACTCTTTGTAGGGTCCATCTTGCAATACTCAATTGCAGGAGCACCAGTCTGCAATCTCACTCCATTTTCGACGGGGGTGCGAACAGAATTTATGTAAATTCGTGCCTTATCTAATTGAACTAGGCACCAGTCGAGCGCCCAGGGCAAGTTTTCGTGGAAAGATTCAGGGCCAAACAAGTGCTGGTATCGTTGATTGAATTTCTCATTTGGCGCTGTTGTTAACTGTGAAGTAAAGACATGGCCCAGTTTTCTGTCAAAGTTCGCCACTGTATTTTGGTCGCCTTGGGTCCTAGAAACTTGGTTCCGCAACAGCTCCAAGGCTCGCATTTTGCTGGGATTGTATTGTGTAGTTTCCACATGATCTCCAATAATCTGGAGAGTGGAATTGACGGAATTTTCCAGCATTCGTTCGGTCTTCTCGTGATCTATATCGGCAGGGCTAACAACTGGCGATTCTCCTGGCAAGCTGTGGTCAAGGTCTCCGCACAAGACATGGTGGTTAGTAAGTCCGAAGAGACCTAGGGCCTCTCCATCTCTCTCTAATTCCATAAATCCGCCTAAGGTCCCTGCACCCGTTTGGCCCTGGCTGCCGCATGATTGTCCCATAGACACAATAGGGTAGTCCATAACAGAAACAGCTTTGGCAGTACTGTCTTCGTTGCAAATTGGGTGAACTGGATCTGCAAAGCGGAGCTCCAGAGCGATATCGACTGGAATTATGCGGCGTAGCATAGGGAGCTTGGTGTTCCACCATGAAGGGTCGTTTGCATCCCTTGCGCTAATAAGGACGGTGGGCTGTTTCTCTTCTCCACGCCTCACTAGGTCCAGAGATACCCAGTCACGATCAGGCTCAATCTCGTTCACGAGCGTAGGGAATAACGAATTCCATATTAGAATCAGGTAGTCCTCTGAAAGTATAGGGAATGTGGGGAATCCAACGTATGCATCATAGCGAATAATCTCAACCGCTACCTCTGCATTCTCTTGCTCAAAGAGAGACTTGATAGCCATGACTGCTTCAATCCTAGTGTCTTCCCTGTCGGACTCCACGGAGCATGCGATACGCATAGTAGGTCTCTGCCTATTGCGTGAGACGCCTTTATTAAGACGGTAACAAAGGCCTATTGTTCGTTCATGTAGACGGCATTCGTCCAATATACGGAAGATCGTAGTCATTATGAGATCTGGATGGTGGAAATGATGACGCATGACCGCGGGTGTCTCTTGGACTGGAAGGACGGGAAGAATTGGCCATCCTGTGCGATACGGCACGCGTGTGTCGATATTGTGAGTGCGTTTAGAGGAGACTTGTGACGGCGGCATATTGAGTGGCGTAAGGATGCAGGTAGTTACGAAGTAAAGGCGAGTGAAAGTGTTGTGTAGGCGAGTGAAAGTCTTTTGTAGGCGAGTGAAAGTCTTTTGTAGGCGAGTGAAAGTCTTTTGTAGGCGAGTGAAAGTGTTGGGTAAGTGAGTGAAAGTGTTGGGTCATTTTTGTGCGGCACTGCCAAAAGTAGATATTGTTTTCTCTGGAATGGGCAGGCACGACAGGCTAACAGACACCACGATCTGGTCTTCATGATTCTTCCTTCTTCCGTACCTGACATAGTCATTCAACCAAGAGGAAATTCCAATTAGTTGACAGTGGAATGGCTTCGCTAATGTACAGCTGTGGAGATGAAATACTACAGAGGGTTGGCACGTCGGGCTGGCCCCTCACTAGCATTTCATGCCTACAACAGTGCGTTAGCCAGATTTTATCGCAAGGAGTTAAGACTGGTTATTGGCTACAATACACTATTGATTTCGGTGCTGGTATCGTTCATTTAAGTTCTCATTTGACGTTGTTGTCAACTGTGAATTAAAGACATGTCCTCAGTCGACAGTGGAAGGGCTTCGTTAATGTACAGTTGTGGGTACAAACTACGAGCAGCGGGCCATCCCGATATGCCCTCCCTCTGTAGGAGTGGACTATTACAGGTAACTTCGGCGTCTGTATGGCTCGGTAATTCAATTATACGGCACTGGTTTCGCAAGAATTCCATATAAGTGACTACAAGCATAATTGAGAAATAATAGAGGCTCATTTGTTGAGAAAACTGCTCGGTTTCGCGGACTAGGCAGAAAGAAACCAATGTAAAATACGATATGGAATGAACAGACTACCGGTAATACTTCTAGAAGGATCTACCTATTTTTCTTTGTTATACGGAGGCCTGAGCATGGGACAGCGGAAGTATTGACTTTCTTGAGAGTAGTCCTGCAGTACTTCGTATGCAGTTTCTCACTCAACAATCGAAGAGGCCACGAAGCAATTGAGCAAATTGACAAGTACACACTGCTGATCTCAACCCAGCGTGCGGAAGTGTTTCTTTCATCATCTGTTGGAACCCGTCTAGGCTTTGAGCAAGGGCGAAAAGGGTAGGAGACCACACCGCTGATAGGATGGTCGTGTTACACAGAAGCAGGATGCAAACATACCTTTTCGTCGCATATGCACCAGAACGCTATCTTTTACTGTTGCCTAATTTGCGTTTGTTTATGGCCTGCACAGCATTTGAGGACATGGAAGGCACTCTTGACCACCTAAAATCTTGGTACCTGTAGCTCTTCCCCAAACAACTGCTTCAACTCAATTCGGACACTGTCTTCACCACAATCATCATGAGCGAATCAAGATCCTCGGAGATCAATGGCCATTCCAAAGCAGCGGACATGCCAGGCGCTTCTCTTCAATCAAGTGAGACGAGAGGTCTCCTTGATGTCGTTGACAATCTTCGATCCCAAGGAATTAGCCGCTACATTGACTTGCCCGAAATCATTGTCTGCGGAGAACAGTCCTCAGGCAAAAGTTCAGTCCTGGAGGCGATATCTGGCGTGACCTTTCCGAGCAAAGACAACCTCTGTACTAGATTCGCCACTGAACTGGTGCTTCGAAAGGGTGAGGCCACCGATGTGAAGATCCGCATCGTTCCAGGATCTACCGAGGAGAGATCAGAGTCCGAGAAGGAGAGACTCCTTCAGTACAATGTCTCCAGCAAGCTCAACGATCTCAATCTCGAAGAGATTATCGAGTCGGCAAAAGAGCTCATGGGCATCAACGATTCTGGGAAGGTCTTCAGTTCGGACATACTGAGGCTGGAGGTTTCCGGCCCTGATCAGCCTCACCTTACTCTCGTCGACCTTCCTGGTTTGTTCCAAGCTGGGAGCAGATCGCAGACAGATGCAGATAGTGACAGCGTGAAATCGCTGGTGCTGTCATATATGCAACGCCCGAGAAGCATCATTCTTGCCGTCGTATCGGCAAAGAACGACTTCAATAACCAATCGATCACCCGATATGCGCGAGAGATCGACCCAAAAGGCATGCGCACACTTGGTCTCATCACCAAGCCTGATACCCTTGACGAAGGATCCGACAGTGAGCGATTCTACATCGAATTGGCCCAGAACAAGGAGGTCAACTTCAGACTTGGTTGGCACGTCCTTCGTAACAGAGACTACAACACAAGAAACTGTTCCCTACAGGAGAGGAATAGACTCGAAGAGCAATTCTTCTCCAAGGGCGTTTGGGCAACCCTTCTCTCCACGCAAGTTGGTGTACACAGCCTGAAACCGAGGCTCAGCAAGATCCTCAAGGAGCAGATTGTTGCACAGTTACCTGCCGTTATTGCTCAAATCCAAGATGGCCTTCAAGACTGCTCTCGAAGATTGGAGATACTTGGCGAATCAAGGAGCAGCATTGCCGAACAAAGACGATATCTCCTCCGGGTTAGTCAACAATTCACCAACTTGATCAAGGATGCCTGCGATGGCCGATATTCGAATTCGTTCTTCGGAGATGCAGCCACAGAAGAGGGCCATCAGAGGCGCTTGAGAGCTGCCATACAGAACACCTTGATGGACTACGCAGAAAAGATGCGAACCCGGGGAAGTACATATGTGATCGTTGACGACGACCAAGAGGAAAGGGAAAGAATGATCTCGAGAAAGGACTATGTTGCAAAGGTCAACAAACTTCTCCAACGAAGTAGAGGTCGCGAGCTTCCAGGAACCTTTGATCCTCTCGTCATCGGCGAATTGTTCCGCGAACAGCGGCAGTCCTGGGAGGAATTGACAACATTCTACGTCGACAAAGTAATCCAGAGCGTTCACAATGTGATTCGTGCGGTTCTGCTGCATGTCTCAGATATGTCTACTATGAATGGATTACTGGAGTACTTCATCTTCCCACGGCTAGAGGAACTCATTGCGGATCTGAAAGAGAAGGTTGGCGAGGTCTTGAGGCCGTATGACGTCGGGCATCCGATTACATACAACCACTATCTAACAGAAAATGTCCAGAAGGCACAACATGGACGCCGCACTAAGGAGATCAAAAGATCACTGCAGGAATTCCTTGGGGCTCACCCCACTGACGAAGGGGACGTTACAGCCAACCTGAATATCGCAAACTTGACCCAACTCATGGTATCCAAGACAGAAGCAGATATGAACAATTATGCTAGTTCGACAGCAACGGATTTCATGGAAGCTTACTATAAGGTGAGAATGGTTGACTTTGTAGATGCTTTTATGCGAGCTAATCACTGAAACAATACAGGTTGCACTGAAAAAGGCTGTCGATAATATCAGCATTCTTGCCATCGAGGCGCGCCTCATCGAAAAATTGCCGACTCTACTCAATCCTGAGACCGTACTTGAGATAGGTGATGAAACTGTGGTTGGGCTAGCTGCCGAAGATGAGGAGTCCATGACGGAGAGAAGGCGCTGCGTCGAAAAGAAGGGGATTTTGGAAGAAGGACTGAAGATGCTGAAGAGCCAGCAACATCATTTCGTGAATTATGAACGAACGATACCCAGTAAAGCACCTTGTGTTTCCAATGGAAACCCTTCAGAAAGTCCCCCTGAAGAGCTGCCCGTGGATGTTCCTATGGAAGAGCCGGCGGAGCCTGACTATGAGGGCGGTCCACTCGCCGAGGTGGATGAGGCACCCGACGAGGAGAAGGATCCGCCCGCCGTGGACAACTGGCTCCACTTCCAAAATGTGCCGAGTGCCGAGCCTATTCACCGATCTAAGAAATCCAAGAAGGGACGATGAGATTCCTGACGGAGGCGTGAGTTTATGTCGCTGGAAGAATATTATCTTTCATTCAACATCTTTGTGTGATGTGAAACTAGGCGGACTGGAATAATTGTGCAAGATGTAGATGACGAGACCATATCTAGGCCTAGAATTAAATATAGAGGTTCATGGCAGTAACTTGGGAAATTCAACGATATCTTGTTCTGTGTTCTTCTTTCTGTGTTTGGATATCAATCGATTGTACCCTCGTATGTTCTCGAACATTAGCCCAAACCATGCCCTTGTTACACTGTCCATGCTGCGCTGTCTGATGTTATGTGCAATGTTATCTTGGAATTCAAATAAAGAGCATCTGCAGTTATCAAGACTGTCTCATTCTGTTCCTCATTGCCTTATCAATGTCCAGATGAACTCCGACGACAAACGCGAGCGAGCGTACGGCATTTTCACCAGCACAATCACCATTCCATCACTTTTGCTTCTAGTTCTAGTTCTTTATAACTTTTTTGATTGCTATTTTGACTAATGGAATGTATAATCATCATCAACCTGCTGTAATTTTCGGTCATCCAAAAACGTCGAATGCACCATTCAATATGCACACTTCGCCACCCGAAACTCCTATGATAAAGAACCCACGACCGCCCTCATGACCAACCTCAGCTTAAAATACAATCCCCACAATTACTCCTCAGTCTCAAGCACAACCTTAATGACCAAATTGCCCTTATCATCCTTCGTCTTCCCCGCCATCTCAAACGCCTCGACAGCGGCATCAAGCCCCTTGTACCTGTGCGTCACGAGCTTCGAGAAGTCAGGGTAATCGGGTCCAGTCTTCGACACGACCTCCACACCAGTAGGGTAGGTATTCGCATATCGGAACACACCCAAGATATCGACCTCACGCAGCGCCGCCGCAGAAATAGGCAGCGTCTGGATCGGCGTACCCATACCGATCAACAGCACCTTACCACCCGGCCTGGTCGCATAAATCGACGCCTGAACGCACGACGGCACGCCCGTGCACTCAAACACCGCATCGACCTCACCGACCAGCTCCCCAGCGCCAGTTCCCTTCTCGACCTTGGCAATGGCAGCCGCCGTCTCCTTCGCGATCTCAAGGTTCTCCTCGATGGAGGCGCCGCGCTTCAGCGGCACAGTGAACGCCTTGTGCGCGAACTTGTTCTCGACGGCGAAGTTGACGCGGCCGGCGTCGATGTCGGCGATGACGACGGTGGAGGCACCCGAGATCTTGGCCATGGCGGCGACGAGGAGGCCGACGGCGCCGGCGCCGAAGACGAGGACCGTGGAGCCTGGGGTGAGGTTTGCGCGCTTGAGGGCCTGGATGGCGACGCCGAGGGGCTCGAGAATCGCGCCTAGGTCGAGGGATACGTTCTCTGGGAGTCTGTAGGGTCACTTTGTTAGCCGCTTGATTGTAGAATGAAAGAGGAGAAGAGAGAGGGGGGATACGTACTTATGACACCAAGCAGCGGGATGGTTAATCCTCTCCTGCAGCGTTCCCTGGGCGTGAGGAAACGCCTTCGCACTGCTCCTGAACTTCATCTGCTTGCAGATGTTGTACCTCCCCTCCTTGCAGCGATCGCAGCTCTCGCAGGGCAAACCGACCTCGAGCGCGACCTTGTCGCCGACTGAGAAGCCCGTGACGTCGGAGCCCACGGCGACGACGACGCCCGCGGACTCGTGGCCCAGGGACATGGGCTCCTGGACGAGGATGTCGCCATTGCGGTAGTGGCGGTAGTAGTGGAGGTCGGAGCCGCAGAGGCCGGTGCTGCGGATGGAGATTTGGAGGTCGGAGGGGCCCGGGGCGGTGATTGTGCGTTCTTCCTGTGAGATGTTAGTTCTGGGTTTCTCGTGCAAAGGGGGATGTGGACGTTGAGGATTGCAGTGTTCAGGACGTACGATTCTAAGGTCGCCGGCGCCGTGGAGGACGGAGGCGCGGATGTGGGATTGACACATGATTGCTTTTGGTTGTGGTATCTAGTATGCAAAGAACGGGAACAGGAAAGGAGGATAATAGAAGAGAGACCAATGTGAGTGTTCAATTGATTTGAATTGAGGAGGAATGGTGTGAGTATATTGAGGGGAATGATGATATAGTCTAAGTCATACAAGAAGGACTTAGAGTTTTAACAACAGTCAGTATCGGGATAAGAATCCGACCTAAATCACAAGAGAAGAAAAGAAAGAGAGAGCCCCTCCAAGAACGACAACAAAACCCGCAACAACAATAACGTCGGCAATTCAAAACAGCTCGTCGAACTAGGAAGCTCTCTTTTGTCTTTATCCGTTAGTTGGTTATTGTGGTCGTTGGTCGTTGGTCGTTGGTCGTCGGCGTTTGAAAAATTGCGGGACAAAACATCGAACCCCCCACCAACTCCACCACAAGACGAAGTCAGTCATTGGGAAAAGTCATACGCCACTTGGACTACGACTGCATCTAGTTGGCGTAGTTGAAGCCATTAGTTGCAATGAGTTAGCCACTGTGAAACTTACTCTATCCGTACTAGACGAGTCGTGTTCCGAACGTCTTCCGAGTCAGGAGGAATTAGCCATTCCTGGGGTTGGGGAGGGATGCCGGGAGGGGTTCAAACGACGTAATTTCTTGGTTTTCCATTTCCATTTCCATTTCAAACGCCGACGGACGAGGCATTTCTCCATCTCAATTGCACCCCGCCCTTCCTTTGTATCCAGTCAGTAGTCCATTATTCGTTCTACTTGCTACGAGTTAGTACCGATTTCGCTCACCTGGGAGGAGCTCTCACATACTCTTAAAAACTTCCCTCTACCGTCGTCTTGTCTTGTAGATTATCAATTCCCATCTCCAATTGACTTACCTCTCCCCCTCTTCATATTGTCAATCTCTCTATATTCCCTTTCAATTGATTGATTGTGGATACACCTAGCTTTATAAATACAACTATTCCGAATATCCTATCGGAATTGCTCTACATTGTCACCTCATCGGCTTGACAATTCCTGCTCTCTCCCATCCGTAATTCCGAACAAACGCAATCATGCCATCCGTTCAAGAATTGTTCAGCCTGTCTGGCCAGACAGCTCTCGTCACAGGCGGAACGCGAGGAATCGGCCAGGCCATGGCCCTCGCCCTCGCTGAAGCCGGTGCAGACATCCTCCTCGTCCAGGTACGTACCTCTCACAACTCCCCTACTACCCGCAACCCCAACATCACGAGAATCCCAACTAATCTCGCCCCCAGCGCGACACCAGCAACCAAACCACAAAACAGCAAATCGAAGCCCTGGGCCGCAAAGCCACAATCTACACAGCCGACCTCTCCTCCACCACCTCCGTCGCCTCGCTCGTGCCCGCCATCCTCGCCGACGGCCACCGCATCCACATCCTCCTCAACTGCGGCGGCATCCAGCGTCGCCACCCCTCCCACCAATTCCCCGACTCCGACTGGCAGGCCGTCCTCCAAGTCAACCTCACCTCCGTCTTCACTCTCTGCCGCGACGTCGGCGCGCACATGCTCGAGCAGCCCGCCGACCTCCCGCTCTCCCGCCGCGGCGCAATCATAAACGTCGCGTCGCTGCTGTCCTTCCAGGGCGGGATCACGGTGCCCGCGTACGCGGCGTCCAAGGGGGGTGTCGCGCAGTTGACGAAGGCGCTGTCGAATGAGTGGTCCGCGAAGGGGGTGACCGTCAATGCGATTGCGCCTGGCTACATTGCGACGGAGATGAACACGGCGCTGATGAATGATGAGGCGAGGGCGACGGGGATCTTGGCGAGGATTCCAGCGGGGAGGTGGGGGAGCCCGGACGATTTCAAGGGCGCGGTCGTGTATTTGGGGAGTGCGGCGAGTGCGTATGTTAGTGGGGAGATTGTGGTTGTTGATGGGGGGTGGATGGGTAGGTAGATTGGTGTAGATGGAGAGAGGGGGAGAGAGGGGGAGAGATAGATTAGAGATTTAGAATAGATATACAAATGTTTATGGTTTCTTAACACTTTAAGTTTTGATATTTTTGCTACGGTTTGAAGGGAGAACGTGGCCCATTTAAGACTTTGAAAAGGTTAATTGAGTTGAACTGAGCTAAGATTGATCATGATCATGATCAAAATAGAATGAGGAATAATGATCAAGTAGAAAAATATCAGCAAGTACCTAGGTAGTTAAGTAATTAAATAGAATAGTAGCAACAACATTGGCGAGACAATCGTCACATTTATTAAGATTCACATCACATGGCGAGAGCATCAGAGAGTTCGTCCGTTGTGTTTTTGTGGTTCATGTTTAGTTGTATTCATTTTTTCTCCTCCTATCTATTCCAATCATATACTCAAAAATTCTTTCTACAATTGGTGAAAGGCGAAGTGGGGTATACACCATCATAAAAACATTCCATCCCAACAAATCATTACCTTCTCTTCTATTTTTAAACGTAATTTGACACTTAACCGCTGAGGTCGATGCCATCGGGCTTGTCTGGGAATCCAGCATTGACGCCAAAGGGAGGGTACACGAAGCGGGTGACACCGTTGGCAGAGAGACCCTTGAGCTTCTGGAGGTCCTCAGAGTCGAGGGTGATGAGCTTGCGGTTCTCGTCGATGCGAGCCGGGGTGACGGACTTGGCGAGGACGGAAGAGTTGCGTGCGACTGTTTTGTTTTGTTAGTGGTGTTCAATATTATAACTATCACGTGGGATGTTAAGGAACTTACGATGGTAGCTGAGGAGGACGGTTCCGGCGCCGACGCTGTGCTTCTTCGCGACCTCGAGGACGGTCTCGTCCTTGAAGAGCGGCGATCCCGTGCTGCCGAGCGGGCTGTACGCGGTGATGTGGATGCCCTTCTCGTTGCAGAAGTCGACGACCTCCTGCTGGGGGAGGAGAGGGTGGTTCTCGATCTGGTTGGCGGCGGGCACGATGGTGGCCTGCGCGAGGAGCTTCTCGAGGTACTTGACAGAGTAGTTGGCGACACCGATGGCCTTGACCTTGTCGGGGTTCTTCTTGATCAGCGCCTCGAGACCCTTCCAGGTGTCGATGTGGGTTATGCTGAGATCGATGTCACGGGAGCCGTCCTCGTGCTTGGGGAAGAGAGGGTGGTTTCCTGGGGAGGGATGTTAGAGGAACGGTTCGAATCCAATTTCAAGCGAGATGGAAATGAATGCATCTTGTATAAGGCACAAAACTTACCCTTGGGGTTCATGGGGACGGGCCAGTGCATAAGGTAGAGGTCGACATAGTCCAACTTGAGCAAGTCTAAGCTCTTCTGGAGACCCTCCTCGGCCCTGGTGTGGAATGTGCACCAGAGCTTGCTGGTAATGAAAAGGTCCTCGCGCTTGACGATGCCCCTCTTGATGACGTCCTGGATGGCCTCACCGACCTCGTCCTCATTCTGGTAGCAGTAGGCGCAGTCAATGTGCCTGTAGCCAGCCTCAATGGCGTGAATGACGGAGGCCTTGACCTCTCCGGGGGCGGACTGCCATGTTCCCAGGCCGAGGGCGGGGATGGTGGCGCCGGTGTTGAGCTTGAGGGGAGTGTTCATGGTGGGCTGGGGATCGAGGATATGTTTTGGAGTATGTGCAAGCATAAACTTAGAGAGAGAAGGATTCATGGCGGGGACGGAGGGGGTAGGTATATGTAGTGTTTTGGTGGTGGAGGTGTTAGTAGAAGCAGTAGTGGGGGTGGGACCTTGATGGAGCTTGTTGCGTCAATTATTGGCATGGCAATGGAAAAAAAAAACAGAGAGAGTAGGGCAGGTTAGTCGGTTGGCTGGTTGATTGATTGAATTGATTGATTGATCGGATTTGATTGATCTGCTCGGTTGGCTGGTTCAACTAAGAGATGTAGTTCCGAAGCTCTTTTCCACCGTCTAGTACGGAGTAATAGTTACTCTAGTGAACGAGGTCATAGTGCCAAGAGAAGAGATGAGAGGGCAAGTCCAACCAGCCAATGAGAGGATTTCCGGGGTGAATGGAATGGTTAAAGGCGGCAATTGATGCAATTAATTCTTCCGACGTCCGGCCCATCATTGTCATCTCAGGAGGTTACTAGTCCTCTACTATGCCTACTATGCCTTCAACTCGATGCCCCGCCGGGTTTGTTTAGACCGAGAGACTTTTGTTAGGCTTTTCCGGGGCCCCAATCCCCCTCAGCCTCTCCCCTCTCTACCTCTCTACATAACCATGACCATACCTCGTAACTTGTAGGTAGGCCAGGCCAGCTGCAGACTGTGTGTGTGTGGTCCAGTACAGTATCCTCGCTGTGTAAATCCGCCATCCTTTTTCCGTCCTCCGGAACCTCTCCGGTAGATACCCCGTGATACGGAAAGGGAGCCTCAACAAGTCGTCGCCCTCATGTACATCTGAATCCATTGTGCTCGACACCCAAATCAAATACACCGCACGACCTCTGCATCATCATCATTGCCATGACGACAAGTGTGTATGGAGGGGCAACTCAAACGCCGATAATTCCAGTCTGGGGTCACCAAACTCCACAATAATGGATGCATCCCAACATCTCCAGTCAAGTTGTCGGCGTTTGCGATGAGAAGCGTGTGTATGGGCGTTTGTGTAATCGTTTCGTGCCACATTGGTCGAATGCACCCATAGCACGCCCCTTTATGAATTTTTAAATTTCCTATTGTGAGCTTCGAATGCTCTCGTGGACGTGACTGAGCGCCGCATAGCTACCGACTGGTGAGACCCCAGCAAAAGCAAACCCTTCTAGGTCCCAACCCCTCCGAGTAAGGAAATTCAAGCCTACGATGAAGTAATCGGTCCCGCCTGGACCGAGATAGACACGTGCAACGGTGCAAGCCTTTGGATTAGCGTCATCATGCATTACTTTTTGCTTGTCTCGATCAACTGGAGGGGCCATCTCTCCCAATTCCCTGCCAAGTGATCAACCAGCGGCGAGAATTTCCCCCTTCGGCCAGAATAGGAACTTATGCCCACGCGCAACAACATCCGTCCTATTATTCCTACGCCAACATCCACCAAAACACTGCAAAGTCCCTGAATTAGATCCCATGGGTCCAGATCTAACCCTCTAGTGTCCAACCAGCGTCGTCCTATTGTTGCACCTAATGCATCATTTGACAACCTTCCAGAACCCCAGATTCTTCCTCGCCACGGCCACAGATCTGCCTGCGGGGGAAATTGCCTTGATTCATCCCTCAGCAGTAACCTGATCTCATAAACGTGGAGCCTTCGGGGAATAAGTGGGACAATGCTGGAGAGAACTCTACACATTCGCCAAAAATGGCAAGCTGGACTCGTGTCGGTCTTCAAGGAATTGAAGACCTTTCACGGCAACGTGGGGATGGCGTAGAAGAATAAGTACAGCCTCTGATCGCTCCTGTATTGATCATCCTCATCATCAAACACTCCTCTATCTCTCACACAAACACTCCCATCTCTTCATTCATATAAGACTTGGGAATTCAGCCATCTTGCGATTCACCAACCGCAACTTCAACCCCTCACTTTCTTCTTGAGATACCCCATTTTTCGCACATTTTCACAATCTATCACAATGGCACCAAGCGCAGTCTTCGAGCAGCCCAACGTGGCCGAGCCCTTCAACAAGCGTGACGGTCTCGCCCTCGAGGCTACCTCCGATGCCATCGATGATGTCAACGTCCTCAAGGCCGCTATGAAGGTCAAGAACGGCACTGCCACCCAGGAAGAGAAGGACATCTACGAGAAGTCTGAGTTCGACTCCGAGAAGGACAAGACCCAGTTCCGCCAGTACGAGGAGGCCTGCGACCGCGTCAAGAACTTCTACCGCGAGCAGCACGAGAAGCAGACCGTCGGCTACAACCTCAAGGCCCGCAATGCCTTCTACAGCAAGACCCGCGCCGAGATGACCGTCTGGGAGGCCATGGAGAAGCTCAACACCCTCATCGACGAGTCCGACCCCGACACCTCCCTCTCCCAGATCGAGCACTTGCTCCAGTCCGCCGAGGCCATCCGACGAGACGGCAAGCCCCGCTGGATGCAGCTTACCGGCTTGATCCACGATCTTGGCAAGCTCCTCTTCTTCTTCGACGCCCAGGGCCAGTGGGACGTCGTCGGTGACACCTTCCCCGTCGGCTGCGCCTTCGACAAGCGCATCATCTACCCCGACACATTCGAGGGCAACCCCGACTACAACGATGAGATCTACTCCACCGAGTACGGTATCTACACTCCCGGCTGCGGCCTCGACAACGTCATGCTCAGCTGGGGCCACGACGAGTACCTCTATCACATCATGAAGGCTCAGAGCACCATCCCTGACGAGGGTCTTGCCATGATCCGCTACCACAGCTTCTACCCATGGCACAACCAGGGTGCTTACAGGTGGATGATGAACGAGAAGGACCACAAGATGTTGGAGGCCGTCAAGGCATTCAACCCCTACGACTTGTACAGCAAGAGCGACGATGTCCCCAAGGTCGAGGACCTCAAGGTATGTTCTATCCCTTCATTCTGGCCATGCCGAACAAATGCTAATCAGATCTACAGGAGTACTACAAGGGCGTCATTGATGAGTTCATCGGCTGGGACAAGAAGATCAAGTGGTGATCAATCATAGACATGGTGTTTTGAGGTGATTCCGGCCAGACATTCACTTGTCACACTGGATGATGATTGCATTTGTTTCCAAGCGTTCCATTATATAAAGACTATTTGATTGATACAAAAAAAGAAAAGGCTAAAAGGAAGCCTATATTTTCGGAAGATCTATATGAAAGACTTCCACAATTCTTCATAGCGTCAGCTTCTTGTCACTTGTGATTTCTTCTATAGTCACCCTATTTCGATCGAACTATGTGATGCAACGAATCCCGAAGATCTTCGACTAGATCCCTAATCCCGCTCGCAAGGCTGAAAAATGCTAAACCCAATCCGGCCACATCGAGCGGATTTCGGAATCCCAATCCCGTAATCCCGTCCTCCCCTACGATGACCACAGGAAAGCTCACTCCAAACAAATCTCACGGCAGCAAAGATGCATCATTCAAGCCGGCAGGACTTTGACAATAATGGAGACCATGGTAGATTCGGCAGAAAGTAGCACAGGCACCGCTGCGCCGTACGGACAAGCCTGTTCGAATTGCGCGAAGGCGAAGTGTAGGTGCGTCTTGCAGGAAAGTGGAACCGCGTGTGTAAGGTATGTTTTGATCTAAGGAATTAGACTCGAGCTCCGGGGGAACATGTACATATATATGATCTCACGTGTGTGGTTGAGTTCCTCTAGCTTGAGATCGTATCCTCTTTTATCGTCTATCAAAGTCCATTCTTGATTTGCTAATTAGCGAGCAGGTGCCAACGTCTGAAGAAAGACTGTACACCGGCGACACAATCCCGAAAGCGCACCGCTAGAAGGAAATCGCCAGCCACCAGGACGCAGCTCGAGGATAAGCTAGACAGCCTTGTAACATTGCTGAGTGCCCAGCATGCATCTTCCTCCGCGCAGCCCACAGGAGCCCAACCGCCGCCGAGACATGAATCAACATCATCACATAGAGGAATATGTTCTCGTCAAGATCTCCTCCCGACACCTAGTACTACAGGATCTCGATCTGACTATCAAGCATCGCCCTCAAGTGCCATCATAATTGAGCAAGCCGACCATGACGATGTCCGAGACAACAAAATATTGGACCACTTCTGCTCCAACCATCTCAAGCAATTCCCATTCATATTCATTCCAACACCTTCGACTGCCGCGGATATACGACGAGATCGCCCGTTTCTCTGGATGAACATCGAGGCGATTTGCTCTGGCTCTATTGAACAGCAAAATGAGCGTGGACTCCAGATCCGAGAGAAGCTAGGGTCCATGACCATTGTTCACGGCGAACGAACTCTCGATATGCTTCAGGGCCTCTTGGCTCATATGGCATGGTAAGCACCCTTATTCCGACTGTCTTTTCATCCCGCTCACAGAATGCAGGCTACATTACTTCTCGAAGGGCCAAAGCCCTTTCCTTGGTATGCTGTCTGGAATGGCCCAGTCACTCGTGAGGGATCTTCGACTTGATGAGCCGAGAAGCGGTGGTCATCGTGCTGGCGTTTTCAATTCCCCGGGGCCTTCGTTATATCACCTTTCGCCTGCCGATCCAGGCTGTGGAACTCATGAGAAGCGGCGGGCTCTTCTCGCTTGTTACGCTATATCTTCGACGTATGTATCACATCGGTATCTATCAGGCATTGTATGTCTTGCTAATCAGGTCAGTGCCGCGCATTCAATGCAGTTCGATTATATGCGATGGAGTGCGCCCATGGAAGAAGCTGCTACCAGTCTTAGCACTGACCCTCAATGTCCCGGAGACGAAGTCATCGCCGCGTTTGCTAGGATTTGCTTCATTTCCAATGAGGCTTTGAAGGCCATGTCACAGGCTTCTCAAGATCCATCGACCATGTTTCTGCAGATCAGACCATTGCGCGCAGCAATGGAAAGGGTCAAAAAGTCGCTTTCACCCACCACCCTATCCAACCGTAAGTCTCCATCCCCACAACTCTCTTGATTCAGAGTTCTCACCTCTCCAGCATTCGTCCAATCCTACATCCACAACACCGAAATCCTCATCCACGAATCCGTCCTCTCCCAACGGCCCCCCTCACCAACCTCCCTCCACCCCAACCACCGCCGCTACGAGTACCTCCACGCCAGCCTCAGCGCCAGCAAATCCTGCATCGAAAACTACCTCACCTTCCAGACGTCGCAGCACGCCTCCATGACCTTCTTCATCATGCTGCAATGCCTGCACGCGCTGCAGGTCCTCTACCGACTCACCACGCTCAACGACCCGGAATGGGACAACGCCGTCGTGCGCCAGTCCGCAGACGTCCTGTCGTACTTCGAGCGCATGATCGTCATCCTCGGCGACGTGCACGCGTACAGTGCGTCCGACAGGCCGCCGGGCGAGGAGAGCGTGTGGTCGAAGGGGGCGGAGAGGTTCAGGGCGTCGTTGCCGGCGTGGACGGTCGGGATCAGTAAGGCGGAGGAGTGGTTTGCGAGACAGCAGCAGTCGCAGCAGTCGCAGCAGCAGGCGGGTGGGACGACGGGTGAAGAGACGTTGATGGAGGTGGGCGATGGGTCGTTGGATGCTTTTATGGCGGGGTTGTCCGACGATGCGTGGTTTGCGGATTTGTTTACGCCGGTTTGGAATTATTCCTGAGTTGTCGATTGAAATTTTTTCTAGCTACAAAGACACATAGTTAGTTGGCTATGTTGGAGTTGGAATGGGTTGAAATGCATCATACCCGACGATGCTGTCAATACCGCAATCGAGCACACTGGGAATTAGAGACAAGCATAATAACCAACATAACTAACATAATAGACAATTGTACCAAACTACTATTCTCCAACACATTAGCACAACATTAGGTACATTCCCGTACCCACCAAGCCCGAATCCCGCCCTTCAATTCATTCCTTCCAAGGAATAACAATTGCCAACGTAGATGCTCAGTAGCAAAAACTGACACAGCAAATATGGGGGAAACGATGGATTACTCTTTTTGGGGTAGATCAGGAGATGTTAATGTGGCACGCCTTGCTACTGTGTGTATGGAAGAACGTCAGTTGAAGGGCGGTGCGGGCCGGGATTCGGTAGGGCGGGAAATCCGTTGTCCGCAGGGATTCGTCGTTGTTTATATTTATATATATAAAGACGGAGAACAATTTGTCGATTTGAGACCAATGTGAGCCACAAAGAAGAAAAAGAAGCGAGAGACGTGTGATTCGAAGTTTTCTTTTCTTTCTTTTCAGTCTGGTTGTTGATTGTTGATTTTCGTCGTTCCCAATCCATTCTGCTTAAGATGGAGAAGGGGTCGCCTGAAGATCCAGGTCCGTCCCAACTCGACAACGAGGCCGTCCATCCGAAAGCATCAACGGAACAGAATAATGCTTCTGAGCACTCTGCACAAGCGCAAGGCACCGAAAACACCGAGTATATCACTGGAGCGAAGTTGCTCGCGCTGGATGGTAGTTTGATACTCGCTTGCTTTTTGATATTGCTGGATACATCCATTCTTGGGACGGTGAGTAGTAGTGTATTTGAACGATGGTAGTCACAGGGAGCGCTGATAGTTGAGAACAGGCAATACCTCAAATTACGAGTGATTTCGAATCTCTGGCAGATGTCGGTTGGTATGCGGGTGCTTACCCTCTTGCGAATGCTGCATTGCAGCCACTTACGGGGAAGTTGTATACGTACTTTCGTGCAAAGGTATGGTAGACTTCTAACCCCACCCCGGGTTCGTACTTCAAATCTTTCGGGTCACTGACAAAACGTTTGCAGTACATCTTCCTGATCTTCCTCTTCATATTCGAGCTCGGTTCGCTCATCTGCGGCGCCGCGCAATCCTCCTCCATGCTCATCGCTGGTCGAGTCATCTCCGGCCTAGGGGCATCAGGTCTGATGAATGGCGCGATGACCATCATCGCCGGCAGCACGCCTCTCGAGAAGCGACCTCTTCACATCGGCATCATGCTAGGCATTTCATCAATCGGCCTCGTCGCGGGTCCCCTGGTCGGCGGCGCATTCACGCAGTACGCAACCTGGCGCTGGTGCTTCTACATCAACCTGCCCGTCGGCGGCATCACCGCCATCCTGCTCCTCATCATCCACATCCCCGACCTGACCTACAAAGCCCCAGTCACAATGTCTCTGATCCGGAAAGTCGTGCCCGAGCTCGACCTCTTCGGCTTCGTGCTGTTCGCCCCCGCGGCACTCATGTTTCTCCTCGCGCTCCAGTTCGGCAGCGAGGGCACCCACGACTGGGGCGAGGCGACGATCATAGGCCTCTTCTGCGGCGCCGGCGTCACGGCAATCGTCTTCATAGCGTGGGAATGGCATATGGGTGATCGCGCAATGATCCCCGGCTCAATGGTTCGCCAGCGCGTGGTGTGGAGCAGCGCGACCGTCAATTTGTGTCTCCTGGGGACGATGGTCACCGGCGCGTACTACCTCCCGATGTACTTCCAAGCCGTCAGGGGCGTAGGGCCCTCGCTGAGCGGGGTGTATACGCTCCCTGCTATCGTGGCGCAGTTGATCACTGCGATGGTGTCTGGTGTTGGCAGTAAGTATTCCCTCGTCGATCCCAAACAGTGCGAAAGAAGGGAGTGCGGGCTAACGATGTCTCGATAGTTTCGAAAATGGGATACTACCTCCCGTGGGCCATCGTCGGCGGCGTCTTGTCGACGGTGGGCAACGGCCTGATATCAACGCTCAAAGCATCTACTTCCAACGCGACGTGGATAGGCTTCCAGATCATCTTGGGTGTCGGCCGCGGCGCAGGCATGCAAGTTGTCAGTAGTCTCCCGCTCCCTCTCGTGACGATGCGATCAAGCTAACTCAGTATGACAGGCCTCGATAGCAGTCCAGAATTGTCTCCCGCCCCATCAGATCCCAATCTCCCTCGCCTTCCTCATCTTCTCGCAGAACCTCGCCGCTTCGATCTTCATGGTCATTGCGTCGACTATCTTCACGCGCTCGCTGGTATCGGAGGTCAAGAAGCATGTGCCGTCTTTGGAACCACAGCGTGTCTTGGACGCAGGTGGCGTGGCGACTGCGGTTAGAGCATTGGTTCCGGAAGGCGGGGAGGATTTGAAGGGGTTGTTGAGGGCGTATGAAGGGAGTTTGGCGAGGGTTTGGTGGGTGCTTGCTGGGTTGACGGGCGTGGCGCTGTTTGCGTGTTGGGGGATGGGCTGGAAGGATGTAAGGAAGCAGAAGCAGAAGCAGGGGAAGGAGGGTGACGGTGGGGATGGGGGAGAGAAGGTGTAGGCGAAAAGGTTAGGTTTTTAATTCATAGATTATTAGAATTGTTGTTAAGCGTCGTTTGAACATCTTCTTCAGTTTAGGATACTAGGTTCTTCGTAGGTATTCGCATCACTCGATGACTTCTTTTAATCATCCTTTCAAGCAGGCACTGGGTTATCATGTTTAGTGTGGAAGTCAGAACTGGCTCAGCAAGATAATAAAGAGAGGAGAAATAAAATTCATGAATAACTAAACTCCTAACCCAAACCCATAACCTAGATTTTTTTTAATCGAATCTTTAATTCAGACTCATCACTCAAACTCGAAAGGCGCTCGTAAGGCATTGCACTCACAAACCTGAACCAATGAGCCTGACCTTATAACCCATCAAAACAAAACGAACAGTCCCTGTTTCAATCATGCTCAGCCTTCCATACGATGATCTCTCCTCCAGGGAATCATCAGTCTCCTATAGAACAGCATGATCCAAGCCCAAGGCAGCCATCAGAATTTTACCAGTCTTCTACTTCCCCTAAAAGGTGCCACTGTCAGCCCGTCCACGGACCTGCCCAGCACCATTAGGAACAACGTCGGTGTCATGTACACTTCCAACAGGCACACAGGGAGGCTCAAACTTCTTCGCGTGCAGCTCCATAGCCCTCTTCGCCTCGTCAGAGACCGGCTCCGGCATCTGATTAACAATCCTAACCGTGCCGTTCCACAGCGTGAAACCAATCCCACAATCCCGATGCATCTCGCCATCGGCAGTCATCGTAGGAGTTATGATGGAATACAGCTTATGCGTGAGCTCATAGACCGACATGCGGATCGAAGTAGCCGAAACTGGAGGCCAGAGACCCTCTGCTTCCAATAGCGATGCGAGAGCCTCGTAGTTTAGGAACGCGCATTCCTGTCGTATTCCTAAGTGAATGAAGTCGTTCCAGTCATTGAGGCCCGAAATTGCGTTCCCCTGCGCGGACCGGTCATTCTGAGAGCTTGTACCAGGGTTTTCGCACTGGTCAGGACGCCCTACCTGACATGAATTCAGGGCTTGTAGGGTGCTACGTTGTCGATATACTTCCTCAAGAATGGAGTCGATTATATGTAGGCGTGTCTTCTTAATGGCACCTGCTCTTGTAAGCGTGACGGATATAAGTGGTCGATGCAATACTTACCAGCTGCGTGAGGAGGGATGACGCGATCCAGAGGTACATCTGTGCCAACCTCTAGGAGACTCCCCTGCTCGTTGATGGCACACTGTACGGTGATTCTGCTTGCAACTTCAACATATTTCTCCTTCATCCCGAATGAATAAGCAATGAGCAGCGACTCTTCTTGTGTAGGTCGCGAGGCTTCTTGTGAAGGTCGTGAGGTCACCAGCGATTGCCATTGATTCTCCAAGGCCATGGAAGCTTGCTGAGCTAAGTTATCGTAAATGTGCGAGTTTGGTTGGTATTTTTTGCGGTTGGCAAGAACCTTCAAAGGTATCGAGATCGTGCTGCCATCTTTCCTTGACACATCGATCTTGAGATTCGCGGTAGCATGGGCGAAAAGCTTTCCATGGGCACTTATCTTGCCAAATCGCTTCGTATGGTGGGCCTTGAGAAAGGGTGGAGTCTCATTCCTTGCTTGTCCCGCAGAACCCTTTTGCTGTCTTCGAGCTCTTTTGTGGTCTGGCATCTTTCGCACTGTCACAGTGCTACGAGCAAGGTTCTTTGGTGCAAATCCAGATTGGAATTCAGATTCCCAATCGACATACATCCAGAAACCATTCAGATCTTGGCCGCCCTGGGACGCCTTCACAGCCTGTGGATGATTGTCGTCCATGATTCTTTAGGATGCTTTTCCACCTCCGGAGCGTCGAATCTGGTTTCCAATAGTTGAGTGCTCGCCTAATCAGACGTGCCAGGGAAGTGCGGGTCGGGATATGTTAGGATCTGTACAGGAAATATTCTGAGACAAATTGGGCAAGATCTGTGATATACAGGCCCGGAAAGGTAGGAAGAAGGGGTTTCTGACAATGAGCAAAGGAAGAAACCCAGCAATGAGTGATGGATAGCCTCTCAAATTATGGAGGGAAAGACTATTTATATATGGACGGTGGCAAGGCATTACAATATAGGGCCTGGCGGGAGAACAGGATCAAAAGAAGGTTAGCATGCTCAACGAACAAATGAACCCGATGCTTTGGATACCCCCAATGATCTGGCAAAGACGAAACATGGTTCGCAGTCAACTTTTCTATTGCTGGTCCATGTAAGAGAGGTGCTATCCAATATCTTGAGCCAGTGGACGTGATAGCAGATACAGAATCCAGAAATAAGCGGGTTCCAATGGTTCATTCAGGACAATAGATTCCCAGAGATTATGCATCCTAATTGGATTGGTCTGAACTACGGGTTGCTTCCATGAAGGTTCTTATAATACAGTAATGTATGTACAGATAGATTGTTACAACGGCCATCGGATCTAGGCCATAGGCACCGGCGTCAGGTGACCATCCTTGTCGTACTTCGCTTTGAAGAAAGTGTAATTCAAGGTGACTGTCTGGATGCCCTTCATGTTGACATCGGTTACGAATTCGGGATCGATGTAAAAGAACACAGGCATGTCTACTGTTTCGCCCGCGTTGAGTCTCTGCTCTTCAAAGCAGAAACACTGGATCTTGCTGAAATACGGTGCTACCTGTCCAGGCGTGACCGAGTAGGTAGCCACACCAATGATATCCTCATCTGACTTGTTTGTTGCTGTATAGAATGCCAATGCCGTCTCCCCGGGAAGAACACGCACTTCGCGCTGTTGAGGCACAAACTTCCAAGGCAGAACGTCGGATACGGCGCCATTGAACGTGATTCGAATACGAGGATGGCTTTCCACGGGCTTTAGCCTCTCCGAAGGATCGAGTGATGAATCGCCACCGTGAGCTGCAGACTTGATGGGTTGGCCGCCCCAACCTGTGGTTTGACAGATCTATATCCATAAATAATCAGCTACTGTGCCTTAAAGACTGGCAAAGGACACGCACCATCTTGTACATTGGTACAGACCCGTAGGAAAGCGCAACCGTTCCAAGGATTATGCTGCATACGTAGTTCCTTCAATAGACATTAGATCGCAAGCTGCCCAATTCGTCATCTAAGTCCATACATTGTGGTCCTATTTTTCTGCTTGTATCGAGCCTGCATTTGGTCCATTGAAAGCGTCGTGCCCTGCCTCGCCTCTTGGGAGGTGTTCAAGCATCGTCGAGCCGTGATTGTGAAGGGATTCTGGGAAAGGAACGAGCGGGGAGTCGCGCGAGCGCAAGTTCTGCAGACCCATGGTTCAGCTGCACGAAGAGACTGTTGTAGGGGTGACCGGAACGACATTGTTGTGGTGGTTGAGCGTGTGAGGTTGTAGAGTCGTTACCTACGGTACCTGTGGAACTTCAGTGGAGTGATGAATGCACGAAGCTGCATTTTGGTTCCCCGCGGCAAATCTAACCTCTTTTGGGATGGTTCCAAATGAAGCTTTGACAACTGAAACCTTATATCGGTTCCAACTACAACTTTTTGTCGCCTTCTTGCACCCACTCTGGCATACACAGCATTCAATTCACACAGCTAGCGGACTTTTCCCTGACATTCTACTGTACGGACCCCAAACATCGTCAGATCTAACGCGCCCTTGATCTCAATCGCCAAGGATGTCGACTGTCCTGTGCGGCATCTGCAATGCTGAACCAAAGAAATACAAATGCCCAACATGTTCAATACCATAGTATGTCTCTTCCCAAAATACAAAATTTCGTTAGTTCAGTGCACTGAAATTACCAAAGTTGTTCCATCGGCTGCTTCAAGCTCCATAAGCCAAGCCATGCCAATGAAGCCTCCACTTCGAACACCTCGCAACCCTCTCTACCTGAAATTCCACAGCCACCGCCCCCAGCTCCGATGCCTTCGTATATCAAGGAGAAGATAGATTATTCGCAAATATCCTCCGACCCAAAATTTCAAGAACTTCTTCGGACCAATCCAACGCTGTTATCCTCGTTACAGAAAGTGTATGCGGCAACAATCGAACCCGATCCAGACGAGGTGCGACATGACCGTGGGGGATTCTGGGGACGGAACCGAGGCCGCGGTAGAGGGCGAGGCCGGGGGCGTGGTCGAGGAGGCCGCTTTAATGATGGGCCCCCTAGATGGACAGAGAAGAAAGGCGACGATGACGCCCTGAAAATACTCAAGAGCATTCGACAGGGAAAACAAGGCAACCAAGAAATGGCATCTATGGCAGAATTCATCAGTCTAGTCGAGGAAACTGTTGAAAATCAGACTGGTCCCAAAAAGGAGTGAGAAAACGGGCACAGATGACGGACTTCGTACTTTGGCGTATCACCGGCTACGTTTGAGTCGTTCGCCGTTCCTACTAAACGATCAACAATATTGCATTTACTGCAGCTATACCCGAACAAAATGGGTACACTCTGCTGGGCAGGTTATCATAACCAATCTGGCAAAGGAAATTACATAGCTCCCAGCCACCACTAGTCAACGTCTCACTTGAATGACTCAACTTTTGTTGGGATCATTCCCACACTTGCGGGCGGGGCCCCATGGGGTGCAATAAGCGCACGCCTCGATGGCATACCGACACATGGGTGTTAGACTCTTTAACTATGTGTAAACCACTGAAATGGATTCGCGTCTATTCAAGAGGCTGCACAGCTCTCCTGACGCCATTGCCGTTTCAGATGATTCATTTGAGCGTATCATACAATCAGATAATCCTTCGGTGTGACGTCCTACACCATCGATAAGATTCCATGGGTTTGGGGCCGATAGAGCACATTGGCGCAACTTTATGATTATAGGACATCATTGTACTTTGGATCGACGGCCATGGAACGGTATTTTCCACGTTGTCTTCTTCGTGCACGACCCTTTCTCTGGTGCTGACGGTAGGACTCGGGCTTTCTTCAAAGCTCGACCACAGTGTCTCAAGGTACCCGTGGTTGGGTGCATCGGCATACGCCGTCATAGTCGTAGGTCTGATTACCATTCGTTGTATCTTCCCACCACAACGAGCATGAACATGAAAAGGGCGAGTGCCAGAATGTGGATGGTGGAAACGAAGGACAATATCAGCTTCATACCAATAAAGTTGAACCTTTGGCAGAGTCGCTGAAAAGGTCTCTCGAAGGTGCTGAAACCAGCAGCACGGGTTTTCAAATCCGGTACGGTATTCAAATTGAGCTTAGCAACTCCACCAGCAGCGGTACTCCTTCCGACAATTGTAAAAAGTTGCCAAAATTGACCCCATTTTTTGCAACCTATCCAAAGAAATACATGTTCAAAAGTTCACCTTGCGCATTCAATACTCATATTCAATCTTCAGCGCTTGGCACACGTAACTGTTCTTGATCGAAGCTTGTATCAGGCAGAGTGAACTAATCATCACTCCTCAATCACAGACTTCATCCTAGCTCTTCAACAAAAGCAGGCAGGTGATTCATTGCGGATCACCCCAGCCCATACGATTTACATAACGACCAAAGGAGAGAAGGTAAATTGGGCATCTTATACGATTACCGTGGTTGAGTTGACCTGATTAGTGCTCTTGTATTGGATGTATATGTGTTATCTTCTACTTTTGTTAACGCCACCATAAAGGAGGACGATTATGATAGTAATCTACAACCTGTTCTTACAGGTTCCAAGAAACCCACGGTTCACGGCCACGTCATACATGCCCTAGATTTACATGTTTCAGAAAGGCTTTCGTCATCTGTTTATGTTGTTTACTGCTTATAACTACACGTTCCAGAGAAACCCTATTTCTCATGTTGAGTATGTCTAACTATTCGACCACCAACTTGCCTCCACTTGCCGTGACTATCGTGTCTCGTCTCTATCAACCATGGAAGGAAATCAATGTAGGAAATGTTGCCCTCCTAGGTTTCAAGCAACCTCGGCTGCACCCTCACTTCTTGGCCTGGATTGCAATGTGCTCTCTGTGCGAGTCGAGAACAGGCGACCTCATCTTGGCAATGATCGACCCCGCGCGCTCTACCAGATTCACACTCTGGGCACACTTCTCGTGGCCGCCTGGTTTCATGTTGTAGTGTCGGCACTCGGCGCCGGAGATAGACTTGCCATCAATGATGAGGTTCGCTCTTCCGTTGATTATGCTTCCTATGGCTTGTGCATTGCCCAGTTCCAAATGATGAATTTTGAGCCTCTTGAAATGCTCGTACAAATCGGAGACGCTCCCAGTGTAAGACGAATGGTCCAGGAGTCGTCCACGTACTTTTCTACCCATGGAGAGGTAGAGACTGTCAAGACCCTTGATCAGACTGCCCAAGACGATTGCATTGCATGCCGGAGTGTATTCAGAGGGGGATTTGGTGTAGACGATCAAATTTATCAGGCCGTCATCTCGCTCTATGGTGCATGCTCCGGCCTTGCACCTATACTTTGTCCGGACGTCTTGCAGCAGCTTGTAGCTCATTTCAAGAAGCTCATCAATCGTGTCGTTTCGCAGATCGAGAATACTACCTGTATCTTATTAGCGCTCAATGTATTCGAGAGGTAACACTTCTTATTGGGGATCTGCTTCATGATAGCCTCGTATAGTCAAGGCGCTCAAAATGCCGAACTATGTGCGTATAGCGAATAAGTCACAAAGGTGGAAAGCTGACTTACCAGCAATATCAGGGGGAAGATTCAACTCCGAAATACTGGACTGAATGGACTCCTGTCCCACCCCATAGGGCACACGTTGAATGCGAATCGTCATCGCTAGGTGTTTAGCCAATCTTTCGAAATGGTCGAGGTAGCCGAACGTCCACGATACGAAGAGCATCTCTTCACGACCTTTGTCGAGCAAGTGAGGCTCCATAGTCCTGACCCAACCGTGGAGGTCAACGAACGGCCTGACAAGTCCGACAAGATCGTATTTATCGCATACGACAGCTAGTTGAACAAGATTACCAAACCACATCGCGCCTTTGGCAGGAATCTCCGAGAAGTGCAAATGCGCAATTCGCAAAACCAGCAGCATGGCATCTTCGTTGTCATCCGGGAATTCCACCTCACTCGCGCTGCCCTCGATCCAGTTCTTGCTGAACATGGCTCGCCACACCGGACTGGCACGCCTCATCATACTGCTCGAGACAAGGACACGCCTCTTCCGCTCGCCAACAATGAGTGTGACATCTCCCCATTCATGAAGTGTAACGGTCTCGCGTATGACGGGCGGGAATGAGAAGGCTGAGCCAGCGGGTTTCGTCACAGGTTTTGTCGGTTGTGGGTTTGGTCGAGGCAGAAGCAGCGTCTGGGTGGGATGTAGCGGTTTTGCTAAAGTACCCGTAGGAGGCACAAAATTCGGATGAAAAAGAGGCATAGGAGCCGGTACGAGTGAAGGCGGTGCTTGAGTAAGGTGAGTAACTGGGTTTACTCGCCTTCCATTATCCGTAGTAGCCTCTGGCCTGGGTGGAGTTGGCACTGGTAGATAAACAGGGCGGGGGGGACTACTAAGAAATGATACCAGGTCTGATGTTGGCCTATCAGTCCCTGGTACATAACCTGGGTTTGGTTTCGCTGCCGAAGCATTCATAAAACTAGACGGGGACGGTGCTTGAGCAGATGACTGTATCGGTGCTCTCGGTATAACATTGGAGTCGTTCACTAGTAGCGGAGGTGCAGGGCCAAAGATATCGCGCGGCCAGTAGAGGGAATTATTTGGGTTTGCTGGAGCATTCGTAGAAGGAGACGGTGCTGGAGTAGGCGAACTCGCCGTTGCTTGAGCAGGCGAACTCGTCGATCCTTGAGCACGAGGTACCGACAGCGAAGGGGTTTGAACTGAAGAACGAAATGGATGGAATGGGGCAGTCATCGTGAACAGCTATCGCGAGCTCCGGTAAGACTTCAACTTCAGGTTGTTGGGATCTTCTTGGTGACGGTGGGGCTCGTTTTTACCGGCTTTCAAGTTGTATTTGTGTTGCGATGATGGGGCCTTCACTTCGCAACGCACTGACCCACCTTTTGTTAGTACAGTCACTGGCAGGTGATACTGGCAAATGAGAATGGTCTATCTGTCAGGTAAAATGCCAGACTTGGGAATAGTGAAGGCAAGGCCACAAGTGACTTCAGAATGCTCTTTGTGCCGACGTGACATGGATTGATCGGGAATGTTCGAAATGGACTGCATCTCATGGCAATAGGACGAGAAAGGCGATGTGGCATATAGAGTACCTAGTTCCAGTTCTTTTAAAACTGTTCTTGGATATCGATCAATCATCGAGAGATTATATAGACATCCATTATATTGAGACCAAGAGCATGAATGGGACAGTTCTCTAGTGATGTGAATGGAATCCGATGATATTATGGCATGGGAACACTACAAACAAGCATGAATACACACTCAAGATGTGACAAAGTCTATTGGCCATGAATTGTTGCATCACTGGTCACGTTATTCGATATGCAAACTGCTGCCTGTATTCGTCGTCGCGCACTGTTGTGTGCCCTACCAGCGTTTGGGCCATCTGGCCTCACTCACTTTCACTTCTTATTTTCGACCTATATAAGGCCCCTAATTTGCAAGGACTTTCAAGAATTCCGAGGCTACCACTGAAGTAGGGAAATCAGCCCCTACCAAGAATAGCTTTTCTACGACCTGTGTGGCCGGACTGGAGTCTTCTAAAGATTTCAAGAAACCTGCACAGTGTTAAAGAGTCATACATCGGATACTGCCAATCAGCGTTGTTTTCTGTTCTGTCTTTTCGGGAACAGCTCAGGTTCAAACCTGGGTTGTTTCCTCTTTTCTTTTTTTGCTTTTTCATTTGATGGGTGTGTGACGATCCGACAGGCAGAGAACATTTCTTGTTGTCTATAGCGCTTTGTTTAGCCTTCGGCTTGTCTTTTTTTTGCCCCTGTGCCTTGTCCTTATGAAATTCATTGTTCTCATCAATGTCCTTGTGCCCAATTCTCATGTGTTGAGCGTACATCAAAGCAGAAGGGCCATTTTGACAAGGACCAGTTTTAAGGTCACGCCCCGATGAACATCTACGCCATCTCGATAATTTTGTCTGAAACAGTAGATGAACTTCCATTGGTTGCTTTCACTATTTGAATTTCTCAACAAGCATATGGGTGAGACTATACGCATGAACCGCAGTGTTGGCATGAGCATTCTTGCGTACTTTATTTTGACGGAATACTCTAGTATGAATCAAAGATCAAAGATCCCACTCTATACAACTGGAACAAATTTCTCTTTCCTGGCCTGCGTAGCGCCGCTAGCCTTCCATGCACTCAGAATCAAATCAACAATGTTAGTGACTCCCCTGTCATGCTTAACCTCCGCAAAGATCGTGGGTCCTCCCTCCCTCATCCTCCTGCTATCCCTGTCCATAACATCCAGATCCGCTCCCACTGCCTGGGCGAGATCAATCTTGTTCACGACGAGCAGATCCGACTGAGTGATTCCAGGCCCTCCTTTCCTGGGGATCTTGTCGCCGCCAGAGACGTCAATGACGTAGATGATGAAGTCGGCGAGCTCTCGCGAGTAGTTCGCAGCTAGGTTGTCGCCGCCGGACTCGATGAGGAGGATGTCGGTGTCGAACTTTTCGTGCAGCTGTGTCAGGGTGAGGAGGTTTGTGGAGATGTCTTCGCGGACGGCGGCGTGGGGGCAGCCGCCTGTTTCGACGGCGACGATGCGTTCGCTGGAGATTGAGCCATGTCTTAGTACATTGATTCCAAGGGACAGTGGTGTAGGTGCTGCTTACGCGGGAAGAGCATTGTTCTTGGTGAGGAATTCGCAGTCTTCACGGGTGAAGATGTCGTTGGTGACGGCGGCAATGGAGAAGCGGGTTCGAAGAGCTTTGCAGAGTGCAAGCATGAGCGCTGTCTTTCCTGATCCTACAGGTCTTTACCATCGAAGCTTAGCTTTTTGTTCGTTGAAGCTCCTTCGAGATGACGCAGAGGCGCGAGTGGCGCAAAGCATCAACTAGCTATGGAAGCTTGTCGGAGCAGTTGGATAGAACGTACCCTCCGATACCGATGGTGAAAGCTCTCTCTTCCCAATCCCTGCCCTCTATAATTGGCATCTCACGTCCTAGAAAGCTTCCGGGACCATCAAGGATCTCGTGGGTGTGGCCATGGTCAGCTGCGGCACCGGCATGCGAATGTGACGCGCCATCATGCGAATGGCTGTGAGACATGATGATGCGGGTTTGTTGTAAATTGAGCTTGAAGGCTGAGTTTCGAAGAGGTGTATCCAGTGTGCACAATTGTACGGGTTCGTGGTTGCAAACCCAAGGTCAATTGGTGGCGGAAACGTATTGTTTGCAGCTATAGAATGGATGAAGTGAGGTTGGAATTTGCTAACAATCTATGGCGGGGCTGTTCCATTGCTCGCTGGTAAAGTGGGGGTTCCCGCGAGGTCGATCACTAGTGACGTGGGGGAGCTAGACCATGACTTAACGCCTATCCTTCACAACTCCTCCAGGCGCATTGTTCATTGCCATCTCTCGTATCTATATGCAACTTTGTTAAAATTTTGAACATTGACCGATTTATAATCTTTGACGTGTGATCCGTATGTACATTATAAGTAATCCATAAGTAACTTGTATCTAGTAGTTTTGGACAATGCACTTTGGTCAAGATGAAGAACGATCAATATATCAAGCACGTTAAACAAGCTCATACAATGACTCGGCAAGACGCCTGTTCTCCTTATAACAAGATAGAATATATAAGGTATGAAGTCTATCACAACACTTCCCACAGAGCCGACCCTCTTCGATTATGCCGGATTCAAGTCTCTTACAGGCAGTGGGAGACCACGCCACAGACAACACAATAGACACGATAGAGGGACTCACACTTAGTGAGTCCATGTCTACGTCCTCAGATGACAAAAAAATGGATAGAGATGAGGAACCAATCTCTAGAACCACGTCATCTTCAGGAACCCCCCCTTTCACCATTGGCTCTCTGCTCAGCAATAGAAGATACACATGTGCCGAAAAGGATTGCGCAGGACTTGTCTTCGGTAAACCTGGTAGTCTACGAAATCACTACGAATCGTTTCATGGGATTCTACCCGCCCTCGCCCCCCCAGAGCAGCATTACTGGTGCGAGGTCCCCTCTTGCCGACGTAGCAAGACCCAAGGAGATGCGCCTTTCATTTCGAAGACCGGGTTGGAACAGCATATCCACCACGTACACAACCTGAAGTTCTGGTGTGAAGTATCCTCTTGCCCACGTAGTAAGGCTCAAGGAGGTAAACATTTCGCTTTCAAGGGCAATCTACGGCGGCATATTCGCACAATGCATAAGGAAGACAAGAAGAGTCATAACGGCAGACCTTGGCTTATTTAATCTCAATAGCACACCGAAATAGACTGAATAGACACCATTACATATTTAAGATCGTCGGTTTGACAAAGTGACCAATCCCCTACCATGTCTGTTCAGATCGTTCAACGATCGAGCACAACACTACAACATGTGAATACCCCAACCACCAAGCAGATCAGATGGGGAGTTCTCTCGTCATCCCATCTTTTTGCTACCGTCATTATGGTCTGTGCAACGCGCCAGACAAAATCACCTACCCTGACCACAAAAATAATTCTCCCAAGTTCTTCCACCACTCTCACGTAACTTTAACTCCACCATTCCAACGCAACCACTGCTACCTCTCATTTAACGCTTTTCTAGCCTTATCTCGATTCATCTTATTTCACCGTATGTTTTCAATTCTGCGTCGATTCTATGGATGTTGCTGACTTCGCGATTAGCAAAATGCCAAAAGTCGCCCCACGTCCCACTGAGAAGCAGTCCAAGGATATCGAGTTCACCTATCAAGGTCGAACCATTGTAGTCACCATCAGCACCAACGATCCGTCCGAAAGGATTTACCGTGAAATCCAAAAGACAGTCCACCCGGGAGAGCCCTCGAAGCGCATTGTCATCTTGGATAAAAATGACACAAAAATGAACCTTCACTACTATGATCTCAAGAAGGGTGATGCAGTCAGCAAGGCCCAAGCACGCAATCTAATGCCTCCATTCGGAACGCTGGGGTCCTTCAGGGACTTAGAACCAACTGGAATCTCATTGAGGGCGATATGATACTGCCCTGGAAGTTCTCACCAAGAGAGATGACTGCTGCTGGTCTGGCCCCCACTGTCAAGGAGGCGTTAGCGAACAATCTAAGGCCACTACGACCCGAAGACTGGTCCGTGAAGTTCACTCGGGCGCTCTTCCACCTCAGCAAGAACTACCCCGGCAAAGAAGGTCACCGAGCCGCGGTCGAAAAGCTCGTCCAGATGGCCGAGCAGCGCCATAGGACGAAGGGATTGGAAAATCGGTTTCTGTGCGGAATCACCCCATGGGACATTCGAAAAGTCACGGAATTGAGGATTGCTGAGCTCGCAGAGGAGTCTGGAGACGTGAATACGTTTACAGGTGGTTTGGGGGATGCCATCAATGAAGTTGAAGCCGAATCAGATGAGCATACGGCGGAGGAAGTGGGAAATCAACCGACAGCAGTAGGCCAGCACATGAACTTGGTGGTGCTTGGTGGTAGGCCTCAGAATTAGTGATAGATGCTACATGCTGTACACATATTAATGTGAACATACGAAAGTCAGTACCTGCATATGATGCGAATGTATACGAACATTGATCACTTTTGAAAATTGTGATGAATAATTGTACTTTTTGATCTACAAACTTAGATGGACGATTTCGAAGACGAAATGGTGTATATCAAGTCTACTCCAATATGATATCAAGGTTACGTCTATTATAAGCCACGGTTCGCCTTCACAGCTTCGGGAAGCTCCCCATGTGCGTTCCTGACATGCCACCTCAAAGCGCTCTTTAGGTGGAATGGCTCCCCTCCTTTGGCTTCGCTACGTGGGCAATCCAGGACTTGGCACCAAATCTCCAACGTGTGCACATTTTTGATATGTCTCCTCAGAATTTCCGCATGGTCGAATGGCGCCTTTCCCTTGGCTATGCTACGTGCGCAGTTAGGAACATCGCACCAAATCTCCTCCTTGTGCACGTCGTGGACATGAATTTCCAATTCCTTCGTAGATTCGAAAGGCTCACCTCCGCCAGCCAAACTACGTGCGCAACCGAGGTTTTTGCACCATATGTGAAGCTCCCTCCCGTGGTCTTTGTGAAGCTTCCTCCTGTGGTGTTTGTGAAGCTTCCTCCCGTTCTCTTTGTGAGAATGAAGACTCAGACTGGACATCGAGTCGAACCAGTAATCGACATGTAGCTCTCTGTCGGGAACATGACGCGCAATGTAGTGTTCTCTCAGTCTTCTAATGTTGGGATAGGTCACATCTGCGCATTTTTTGTGGTGACATATGAGCCTGCCGGAGCTAAGGGCCACACCTATGATGGACCTTGGACTATTCGAGAACCTGCTGATGAACTGATCAAGTGTCGTTCCAGAATTCAGTCCCTCTTCACTATTCATTGTATTATTTTCCATTGACGTAGTGATGGGCTCATTAGGTGTGGTTTCAGAAGTTAGTCCCTGCCCCACGTCCATTGTGTTGTCTTGAGAGTGATATCCCTGTAGGAGTGTCGAAGTCGAGACAGTGGATGAGGGTTGGCTTTGTGAATTTTGAGTAGAAGATGGTCATTCTTCTGGTATGTCGCTGATATGCACCTTATATGTTCTCTGCGACCGTGGGAAGGACGAGCATTGTGATTCAAACATGCTGTACATGCTTGATACATTGGACGTTATTCAATTTGATCAATGCGCATTGTCAAGATTAAACAAACTGCTAAAGGTCAGCTAGCATGTACACCCAGATCATATCCCCAAAGAGATTACACACTGGAAATATCCCGACAAATGTTTAGAATTAAGAGGCAGTATGTAATCCAGTGCAGTAAATAATATCTATTGAACTAACCGTCTACGCGGCCATTATATAGAATCGTTGTGTACTACGAACATTGTTTGCTTTTTGGAAGTAGTTCCACGAGGTCATGCTTTTTGGTCCTGTAATGATCTAAAACAAATTTACAAGGATAAAATCGACGATTATACGAAGTACTTTTGAACCATTTATGTTTGTGTTATTGGGTTCGGCTGACTGATGACGTCGCCATCCGTATGAACTTCTCCAAATTTCAAGACAATTCATCGTCAATCCCCATTATGTGGGAACGAAGTACACGTCGATGTATGAACTTACTAGAGTGACGAAGTGATACGGCAACAGGCAAAGCGCCCAAACGATCGACGGCATCTCATCCCAAATCTCAAGTTTCACAAGACCAACTTGCATACTCGTAACCCTGGCCCTCACCGCCAATCACCTCTTCCACAGTAGATGGTGTCGCTGCACTTCGCCCCAGGGTTGTCGCACACGAGCAAAAACACCGCAAGTCAAAGACGTTGCAGTTATCGCCTTGCGTGAGGGCGATCGGAGGTAAAATATGTGTATGCCTGATTATGCCTGACATATTCATCTTACTGCAGCATTGTGGAATGCGGAGAAAGCTACGTGACTGGCGCGGGGCTGCTTGCTCAACACCACCACCACCACCATCGTCCTTCACTGCAACAAACACTTATAACCTGCCAACCCGCAGGGCTTGATCGCCCGATTTTCGAAAGCTTCTTTGTTTCCTATTTACTTACTTTCAACTACAGATTCGCCTCCTTCATCGACTCTCCTTTGTCTCCATTGGACTTGTAGATTTCCACCACGCGATTGGCCAATCTCGTAGCTAACTACCACCAACATGGCCACACATTCGCGTAAACAGATCGTTGTCTGCGTCAGCATAATCGTGAGCAACTGAAACTCTCCATCCAGAAATATATCAAACTGACGAACCAATCCACAGTACCATATTCTCTTGACAGCCCTAGCAGCGTAGCTCGTCCCCTACTCCCTCTCTCCTCCACGACCCATATACTGACCGACCTCACAGATGCGGCTGGTCACGTGCCACCAAGTTCCAACTCCCCATATCTGACGTACTGATGGGCTTCGCGACAGTCCTACCCTGCGCGTCCGGTATCCTCCTCTGGAGCGGGTACGACTTGACGAGCGCGCAAGAGCGTCGAGACCGCGAGCCCAAAGGTAGCACGCCGCGCCCACCTCTCGTCACCTTCGCAAACACCGTCATATTCATCTATTCTACCGTCGTGATGACACTACTGGGCACGCACGCCGCGCCACCAGCAGGCTTGAATTGCGGGCTCGAGGACCGGTGGAAGCGGCTTTTCATGGCCAAGAACAGCGAGGTGGTCAGGACCATCCAGGAGGCGTTGCAGTGCTGCGGCTTCGTCAACTCGCATGATCGCGCGTGGCCGTTTCCGGATAGGAGCCATGATGCTCATGCGTGCGAGAAGGCGTTTGGGTATACGAGGGGGTGTCTGGGGCCGTTGAAGGCGGAGGAACAGAGGGTCTCGGGTATGCTTATGGCTACGGTTGGTTTGGTGTTCATTTGGCAGGTCAGTCATCATTCACATCTTCTTTGTCGAGTTGAAGGACTAAACGGCGGGAACAGGTCGTAATTATAGTGTACCCCACCAAGCGCGACTCCTGGCTCCACCGGGTCATGCCCGAGCAACTTCGACAAATGATTCTCGAGGCGAGACAACAACATGGGGATGGTGATGGTGGGCCCCGTCGTGCCATCGATTACCTTCCTACGTATCGGGATAGAGTGGAGGAGGAGGACGTCACTGACGAGGAAGATGGTGGTGTCGAATCTCAGGGACGGCGCGCCATCACGGAAGACAGGGAGAGGGAGCGTAGCGCTCTGTCGGAGATGGCGGATGGACAGCACAGCTCCATCGTCGAGAATGAGTGGACTCGTGGGTGATCGTGTCGCGGGCTACGCATCAGACATGTCGGAAAATTGATTTCGAATGGTCATGCTCAGTGAATGATGGAAATGGCGGATGCATTTTCCTTTCTCCGGTTACGAATTCATGATACGGTCCTATGATGAATGTATCATTAGCAAGGCGAATGGAACTCTTGAACATCAAGCGTGCAGTTATCAAAGGTGCTTTTCAATATATCTTGTCTGCCTTCCGTCTATTCTCATGCCTTCCCTTCTCCTCAGGCTTTTCTATTCTTTTCGTCCTCGTCCGTGATATCTCTTTTTCTCATCCGACAAGGGGTAATTCACTGTACGTCCCACCATTACCTCTACCCCCACTCCATCCAAACAGCATCTCACAGTCTTTTTCTGACTACAGTACTTTGACACTAAACCAATCAATAAGACCTCTTGACTGGCTTCACAGTCGCACACTCCGCCTCATCGAGCGTATCCATCATCACTGCTCTCGTTCCCCACTCCACTTCCTCATCGACGTCCTTCTGCCACGTCAAACTATGCTTCAACCACTCTTTATCCTCCCTCTCCGGGAAATCGTCCCTAGCATGCGCACCTCTGCTCTCTGTCCTCGTCAGTGCGGCTTTGCTGGTCTGTAGTGCGTTGGTGAGAAGGTTGCGTAACTCCAGTGTCTCGATGAGGTCGGTGTTCCAGATGAGGGACTTGTCGGTGAGGCGGATGGAGGTGCTGAAGTCGGTGGCGAGGGAGCGGAGGGTGTCATGTCCGGAAGAGAGGGAGTCGTGGGTGCGGAAGACGGCGGTGGTGGTTTGCATTGTTCGTTGCATGGAGTCGCGGAGGGTGGAGGTGGGTGTTGTGCCAGTGGTAGAATCCAGGAGGGATGTTAGGTGCGTGAGGGATGGGAGGCCGATGTCTGCGGGAGATGGGTGGTGTGGTGCTGAGGGGGCGTGGTTGGAGGAGATGTGAAGAGCTGAGGCGCGGCCCTGGATATTGGAGTTAGTGATTGAGAGTTTGATATGGGATAGGGGAACCTTACGAAGACTACGATGTCGAGGAGAGAATTGGCACCGAGTCGGTTTGCACCGTGGACGCTCACGCATGCTGCTTCGCCTGCTGCATAGAGTCCGTCTACGACTTTGTCTTCGCCGTTGACGTTGTCGAGAACTTGGCCGTGGTAGTTGGTGGGAATGCCGCCCATGCAGTAATGAACAGTCGGTATCACAGGAATAGGCTCTCGCGTGATGTCAATGCCGGCGAAGATGGCTGCTGTCTCTGCTATTCCTGGTAACCGTTCATGTATGATCTCTTTTGGTAGGTGGGAGAGCTGCAGGGAGATGTGGTCGCGATCCTTTCCCACGCCTCGACCTTCCAGGATCTCAAGATTCATCGAGCGGGATACGACGTCTCGAGACGCGAGATCCTTTGCCGTTGGCGCGTATCGTTCCATGAACCGTTCGCCTTGAGCGTTCAGCAGGTAGCCTCCTTCTCCACGGGCGCCTTCTGTAATGAGGACCTGCATATTCTTAGCAAAGGCTTCAAATGCATTCAATCGTATACATACTCCCGCTCCGTAGATGCCAGAAGGATGAAACTGCACAAATTCCATATCTTGAAGTGGCAATCCCGCTCTGGCAGCCATTGCACTCCCATCACCCGTACTTGTATGTGCGCTCGTAGCACTGAAGTACGCCCGTCCATAGCCTATATATCTCATCATCAGTACATCGTCATCTTGTGCCGAACAAGCACAGTGGAAGAAAAACATCAACTCACCACCAGTAGCCAACACAGTATTCCTCGCAAACATCCGATGCACCGTCCCATCCTCCATATTCAATGCCGTAACCCCGACACACTTCCCCTCCGCCATCAACAAATCCAACGCAAAATACTCCACGAAAAACTGCACCCCCTCCTTCAGACTCTGCCCATACAACGTATGCAGCATCGCATGCCCCGTCCGATCCGCCGCACATGCCGTCCTGTACGCCTGCCCGCCCTTCCCGTACTTCAGACTCTGGCCCCCGAGCGCCCGCTGGTAGATCCGGCCGTCGGATGTCCGCGAGAACGGCATCCCGTAGTGCTCGAGCTCGATGATGGCGTCGGGCGCTGCGCGGCACATATAGTGGATTGCGTCTTGGTCACCTAGCCAGTCGCTGCCTTTGACTGTGTCGTACATGTGCCATCGCCAGTCGTCTTCTGTCATGCTGAGAATCGTTAATCGTCACCATTCTTCGTTCTCTTTCCTCTTCTTTTCTGAATTGCAATCCCCCAATGAACGTAACCCAGCACAACAGCGACAAAGAAGAAGTAGAGAAAAGAGAGAAACTCACTTCCCCAACGCAGCATTGATTCCCCCCTGCGCAGCCACCGTATGCGACCGCGTAGGAAACAGCTTCGTAACGCACGCCGTCTTGAGTCCAGCCTCCGTGAGTCCCACAGCTGCGCGGAGGCCTGCTCCGCCTGCGCCTACTACGATCGCACTGTTTGTTACCAAGGTTAGCCTTTCTTCCTTGTTTTTTTCCAAAGCATGGTGTAGGCCAGGGAAACGAACTCATAATGATGATCTATAACCGTCAACCCTTTAACCTTCAATCCCGGCCGTGCATTCTCTGCCGTTGCATATGCCCGCCTCCACGACGTTTGATTCACACAGCGCCGTCGCGACACCGTCGACGTCGACCACGCGCTCTCTGCAAATGTAGATGTGCAGCACTGGCGGTGGCGCGAGAATGCGCGGGATAGTGTTCGCTTCATGACGAATGTTATGAGGAGGGCATTGAGTCAAGTCACAAACTAAGATCGAGACGAAGAAGGAAAGGGAGTAGAATTGTAAAAGAGCGTCGTAGAATTGGAATTGGAGAATGACTGTCGTCGGCGGGGGAGACGGTTGAATAGATACCGAGTATTGGCCTCGGCTACGTGGAGGGGGAGATGCATCTATCAATGCATTTTCCATGACTATGCACTTATACACGTACAATGATACCGTAGAGACACAGTCGAAGACAATATAGAGAACTGTTCATATTCACCTCCACTCAATTCTTCCCACCTCTTCCCAACCCTCTCAACAACATACAACAGACATTCCACAACCTTTCGCTTCATCCTCATGTCCTCAAGTCATGACCTCAAGGCATGTCAACGAACATCAAAGTCCAGGTACAGCATGACTCGCGTCCCGCATCCTGGGGAACATACCCGCGTTGTCCAATCGCCGGGCGTGGATTACCTAGCTTGTCGGTTACTTAGTTCCCGGCGGGGCGTGAGTAGCCGATATCGAGTGACGACTTAGTATCGACCGCATCCTGGGAATGAGAAGGGGGATGCTTCTATTTGGTTGGGGAAAGGAAATGGTGTCTTGTTTGGAGTTGGAGAGAAAATGACGTTGTTAGATGTTTTATGACAAATGTGATGGAAGTTGAGGGAGGCTTTTGATGTTTGCGGCAATTGGCTTGAAATAGGTGAAATCAAAGACTTTGATGAGATGTTTGAACCGATAGATATATTTCATTTTCAAATTTCAAATTTCATATCCACTCATTAGATAAATTGCTAGATGGATAAGTATCAGACCGCTTCAACGCCATTACGAATTAACATATCTCAACCGTTCAACGCATTCGTTTAATCATCCCAGTTAACTTTCAAAGCTGCATCATTGTCAGTCAGCATTCGTCAAAGCGGAAGAAGAATCAACTTACCACAAGGGAACGGCCAATACCCGTCCCAATTCTCCGTCAAGTACGCATGATACGGATACCTATCACCCAACTCCTTCTTCGCAACCTTATGCACCTTACCCTGCGGCCCCTTCGCGGGCCTCAAGTTCTTCAACCCGGCAACCTCCTTCAACATCGCCGTCAACGCCACCCTCGTCATCTTCAGCCCCAAGCACTCATGCGGGCCGTGACCGAGATGAATATACGAATCCAACGGCCTCGTGATATCGACCTCGTCGGGGTTCGGGAACGCAACAGGGTCGTGCGACGCAGTGCGCAAGTTCACGAACACCGTGTCGCCCTTCTCGAGCACCACCTCGCGTCCGGAGTCGTGGAGCGTCGTGTCCTTCTCGACGCGGCGCGCGACGCCCGTTTCGCCGGCCAACCGCGACCCCTCGAGGAGGTAGTGCATGAGTTTCTCGAACGTCTCGTCGGAGTCGGAATCCGGGCCCGTGGCGAGCGCGACGATGTCGGGCCAGTGTTTCTGGCCCGCGCCAGTGAGGTAGTATTCGATTGTCTGGCCGAAGAGCTGGCCTTGGTTGGCGACCATGCCGCCGGCGGTGCCGAGGATGTGGCCCCAGACGAGGGTGGAGGGGTCCATTCCCGTGGCGAGGAGCCGCTGGATGAGGTGGATGCCGTAGGATTTGAGGACGGATTCGTGGGGCCAGATGGCTTGGATGACGGTGGAGAGGACGCCTTTGCGGGAGATGGCCGCGACGTTCTTTTCGATGATCGTGCCGAGGGTTTTGGTGGCCGCGTGCGACTTGATGTGCAGGGGGAATGAGCCGGCTGGGTCGACGTCGAAGAAGACGAGCGCGAACACGCCGGACATGATGAGGTAGAGCTCGGCTTCGGAGAAGATGCCGTGAGGGCGCTCCTCGGTCTTGAGGGGCAGCATGAAGAGCTCTGCGCAGAAGTGCACGTGGGCGAGGTTGCCGATGTCGCGGATGATGTCGACCTGGTTGAAGTTTGCAATCTTGGCCGTCTTGGACTTGAGGAGGGCCTGGGTCTTGGTCGCGTAGTAGTGGCGGACTTCGCGGTCCCAGTCGCTGACGTAGAGGGCCTTGGACATCATGTCGCGAGAGGCTTGGTTGGGCTTTCCGTCGCCGGCCAACATGAAGTCCCTGGCGGAGGGTCCCATGAGGTACTCGATGGCCTTGCCCCAGGTGACCTTGAAGTCGGTCTGGTTCTTCATGATCTCGGTCGCAGTCTTGTACTCGAAGACGAAGCTGTGGGGTTTGTGGTACTTGGGCTTGTCGAAGTTGTACAACTTGTCCTTCTTGAGATCCTGGAGCGCCTCCTTCATGGCGGACGGAATGGTGAGCGGGTAGTGAGCATACACACTGTCCTGGACAAAGTGATGCGGGAAAGCACGGAGGAACAGCTTGTAGAAGACACAGCCATTATCGACTCCAATATCCGAATCTGCAGCCTTGAAGCCCCAGTTCGTGAGCGTCTTGGGATTGTAATCGATCGTGTAGAATCGATCACCACGAACCAGAGCAACAGCATCCGACAACACGGCCCTCGAAACCGTGTACGGCGGCGTCAGTCCGGATCCAGGTGCCATGGGCTTCTTCGCATCCTCGACGACGATTCCCGGATAGATCTCGACCTTGTCGGGGTGGTCGTACAGATGCTTCAACTGCTCCGCAACATACTCATCGCTCGTGATATCCTCAAACGACTTATGCGGCTCGAGCCCGAAATACTTCCTAAACTCGTTCAGACTCCCCAGGTTCCAAGCCCGCGATTGCTCGATACCCAGCACCTCGATCGCACGCATAACCTCAGGCACCCTATTCGGGCCAAACGAATTCGCGCAGTCCTCGATACTCGCGACCATGATATCGACGAGCTCCTGGTCGGGCAGGGTACCATCCTCATTGCGCTTCAAGCCCGCGAAAGTGCGCTTCGACGGGTCGCGATCCGTCTTCTTGTACACCTCGTCCAGCTTGCCGAGGAACTCGTACTTGCCGACGGTCTTGGGGTCGCGGCCCTTGCCGAACATGCCGTCCCAGAGGTCCTGGGTCCACTTCTCGTCGCGGTCGGACACGGTCGAGTGCCAGCGGTAGACGAGGTTGAACTCCGCGGAGACCTGGTTGCCCGTGCCGATGGGGAGGCCCTTGACCTCCGCGCGCGGGTTGAGCTGCCAGTTGCTGTCGGTGCGGTTGAGGTCGAGGATCGTGCGCACGTAGTCGATGAGGATGATGTTGACGTATAGGCCGCAGGTGATGAGGCGGCCCGTCTGGAAGAGGTCGTTGTCGTACTTTGCGAGGGCGGCCTTGTACGCTTGGTTGGCGGCTTCGTTGCTGGAGTCCGCGGGTGGGGAGGGCTTGGGGAAGCGGTTGCCCTCGTTGATGGTGGCGAGGTTCTCGACGACGTAGTTGTGGAATCGATTGAACATGATGAGGAGGACGCCGACGCCGGGCGGGAAGAAGAGCAGACGGGCTTCTGAGAAGCAGTCCGGCTTCAACTTTCCGTCGACCTTGGTTCGGACGGCGTCCTGCTCCTCCTGGTTGCTTCCATACAGAGGCGAGAGATCGAGGTACGACGAGGTCAGGGAATTCGAGTAGTCTCTGTGGTCTGTCCGGAAGCAGTCGTGGATGATGATCGAGGCGAGGTAGAAAAGAACACTGGAAATCCTGTTCGGGTGCAGCTCTGCGTGTTTCCTGGTCATGACGCTGTCGAACACGACGCCAGCATCGGGACGGCAAGGCGTCTGCACCATCTCCGGCTTGACCGTACGAGCATATGGCGTGCCCGCAGCACCAAGCTTAGGATGCACAAGGCTGTTAAAAGATCCATCCGCAGATCTGTACTGGTACTGTGCACCGAGGTAAGACTGCGGGGGATGCTGGAGGTCGTTCCAGAGCTGTCCGATGAACTTGTTCGTCAGCGTCTCCCGCATCTTGGATCCATCCGGCAGGCCTGCAGCTGTGCGGATCAGGCCTTCCATGACGTAGGTCTTGTCGTCTTGCAATTCGCCCGTAAACTTCTCCGTCACCATCTGGAGCAGGGTCTTGTAGTTTTCGATCTTCAAGTGGCTGAGGTCGGAGGCGTCGCCAAACACCTTCTTGAGGACCTCGTTCTCCTCGTCAGGCTCGATGTGCGAACCATCTCCCGTGTCGTCGGGAACGGGACGTGTGACGGCGCCAACGAGACCCGCGAGCTGCTTGAATTGCGAGCCAATTGAGGCTCGCAGCTTGTCGAGTTCAGACAGGTCGACTCTTGGTGGAGTGGCTCCAGTCCGGGTGTCAACGGGGGTATCTGACATTGTGAATGGTTGTCGACTGACGGATGTTGTCAGTTATTGTGGAAGAATAGAAAGAAAATAAAGTTTGTTTTCGGTATGGGAATGAAAGAAGTTGATATTTATGGACCTCCCCTCCAGCAGTCACATGCAACAAGGTACACGACGCTCGCTGTGGAAGAACAACCCACAAATGAAAGGCCAAAGACGCGAACGGCAGAATGTCAATCGGGCTGACGTGATATGCTTCTTGTGGAACCCACACCAAGAGAACAGCCAGATCGAATAGCAAGCACGGCAAGGCCTTGGGAGAGAAGATGAGAAGAGCAGAGGGCAACCACTTACAGACTACCTATATATACGACTCTTTGTGCTGAAAGGGACGGTTCTGGGTATCAGCGCTAACAATACAGACGACGCTTTTGTGTCTCAGCTTTTCGGGGCGCCAACAAAAGCAATATGGAATCCCAAGCTATGGAATGGTGTGAGGGCCAACAGAGGAGGAGACGAGAGGAAACGCAAGGCTGGTGGGGGCCGTAAGGCTGAATATAAAAAAGCGTCAGAGCAGCAGGGGTGGGGAGGGTATCGTTGGGGTAGGATGATTAGCGATGGGTCTTTTCACGTCACGATTGACGATGAGGGAGGGGAAGGAGAAAAGGAATTGCAACGGCCAGATCTAACGGCGGCTTATTATATCTTGTTTTCTGCCTTTCTATCTCTCTCTCGGATGCTCGATCTGCCTGCCTAGCTGGAGGAAGAGGGAGAGGGCGCGTGAGTGCGTGTGGAGATCTTGGAGGACTTGCTGCGGCTGGACCCTTTTGCCTCTTTCCACTGGCCGTGATGTCAATTGCACTATAAGCAACAGGCATGGTTGGTACAGCACCGTACAGCACCTTGTAACGTCCATTCCATTAGTTAGTCGTTAGCAACACCAAGAATGGCGGCGGACACGGGCTGGGTGGGGATTCGCGTGCGCAAGCCACGAGCTGAAGCTGTCGTCCCCCCAGTTCACCTTCCCAGCGCCTCGGCCCGCCAGTTGTCGGCTCCCGGCCAATCACGACTCGATGATTGCAATCTGACCATTTCGAGAGCTGCAGCGTTGCGAAAGAGCTGAAAACAACGATGGAAACGGTTGGATGACCCCACCGGTTGGTTGGAAGAATGGTGGGCTTGTGAGATAGTCCGTCGCACCATGCCATTCCTTCAATGCAAAAAAGTGATATCACACTGGACCTATGGGATGGGATGGGACGACGTATGGGATTGTTTGCTCGGCACAGCTGGAGGACGAGGACGAGGTAAGCAGAGTATGCCTTGGAGCCTGCATCAGGCAGGTAGAACAGCCATCCAATTCGTCCAGGGACGAAGGGATATCGAGATTGATCGTGTGATCGTTCATCATTGAGAGGGGCACCTTTTCTTCACGGCTGTCAAAATGTTTCATTGTCGGTGAGCCTTCCGGGAGAGAGGGACTCAATGAGATGCAAGTGGCTTGAACGACCGCGCTTATGCAGGGTCGCTTTCTGCGGATTTGGCTGCACCACCACCACCGACCCAACTCGGCCCTCCCGTCGTGCTGCAGAGCAATCAGTAGACGGCGGGTTCCGTCCAATGTGAACGATTGCGTATATCATCATGTTTGTACTTTTTAATTAGGCTCCAGCAGGCAAGATATTGCCTACGTACTCCGTACATGGAGATGCGAAACTATGGACACAGACATTGTGCCCCTGACATAACCGGTCACACAACCTTCGGCTCGTGTCCCATTCTGCTGCGTGGCTGGTTGGGATGGGAATGATGATGACGATGAACGGGTGGAGACGGCCCAAGAGATCATAAAAAAAATCAACGCCCTGGTGCCTTGTTGCCTTGTTGCCTTCCCATGCTCAGCCTCAGAAGTAACCCTCGACAACATAATCGTGGGCGTTGCAAATTGCCTATACACCACCAACACCTGCGTGTGATTGGTGACACAGAAAAAAAAAAGAAATGATGGAATTCCCTTCTTCAAACGGTCACCGGCCGCAATATTGCAGCCTGGGAAGCCGCCCCTTAATAAATTCCCGGCAAGATGGCGAACCTCTTCGGCTTGTACTTGCTTCCAAATTCCTTACGATACCTCCTCTCCTTCTTCTTGCCCCAAAGCCCCATCGGCACGCACGCGAAGATGAGGAAAAGAATGGTAGAGTGGCTCCAGCTAACAAGCAAGATACCAATCCACGAGATGATCTCGAACATGTAGTTGGGGCATGTGACGATGTTGAATCCGAAGCCCTGGGGGATGCCGCGGTCGGTGGTGCCCGGCCGGCGCAGGTTGCGCAGCGTGTAGTGGCTCGACAGGTTGGCCAGCTCGCCGAACACGTACAGTGCGAGGCCAGCGTACGTGATGAGTGGGTTCGATGCGCGCGCAGCCGCCGAGTTGGGGGAGTATATCCAGAAGGCCATCCAGACGCCCGACAGCAGCCAGTAGTGGGCGCTGTTCTTGAAAACGTTTTGGAACGGCATTGTGGCCGATGAGAAACGGTGTACAAAGAGTGTCTCGAACTCGCGCTTGAGGAAGTGCAGGAGCACCATGATCAAGGTGAGCTTCTGGAGCTCGGATGGCGGGGCGGAGGTTCCATAGATGAACGGGCGGCCGTAGTAGACGAGAGGGTGGATGAAAATGGGGCCAAAGTATTCGATCAAGAAGACTGTCTGCCAGCCGATCTGGGGTCCTGTGCAAGAGTTAGAATATGTGATATAATTCTGCGGTCTGGCTGGACATACCGAGGTCCTTGACATCGACTGCGCTCCTGTTCCTCAGACCAGTCTGGTAGACTGTGACGTTTCCAGTATTGGGGATTGGCGTGCCATCGCTTCCCTTTGTGACCCTCAGTCGGTCTTTGGAGAACTTGGCAGCCTGTGCGATCCTCTCAAAGATCTGTGAAGCCGAGCCATCGGGGCTAACGGTGATCGTTTCAGGGAGATTCTTGATGGGTCGGCCTGTTCATGATATTAGAGATTGCCAGCATTGGGATGCTTCTGTAGCAATTGATACATACCACGAGGGCGAATGACCAGAGAGATGTCGGGGGAAGACATATTCAGAGGTGTGAAAAGTCGGCGGAACGATGCGGAGGACAGTTCACACAGTTGCGTTGTGGGATGATGGGAATGTTTACACAATACATACAGGTCTTTGGTGCGGCCTTGGCAGAGCTACGTAGTTGGGATGCCGGACGGGGCTAGTGCTCAATCAGGCTAGGCTTGCGCAGAGAGATTAGGAATATTGTACTCCCACTGTGAATATATCCTTTGTAAACTGTTGTTAATTGGCTCGTTGTCAATCTGGAGCATCTGATTTGGAATCCCAAGATATATGCTTCACGGGTTGTACTTTTGTAAATATTCTCAAGAACGAAATCCCCCGGATATGCAGGAAAGTAATTGGAAAGTCCCCATAACATATCTGGGGTGACAATCCCTAGACCGAGCAATTGTCGATATCAATTGGCCCTGCTCCAGGGTATGAGTTCTCATTGATCCATATCTATCGCCCATCTGGCCATTCTCTACATATTTCGAGTCGTCGCATCAGCCAAAACTAACAGCAGTCTCCTTTGCGACGTCAGGTCCAATGCACGCGACCAACTCCGCAATGATCCCCTTAATCGTTGCCGGCTGTCGAATATCGCCCGTTTCCCACGATGTGAGCACCTAACAAAGTTGTCAGCCTCCAATTCATATACAAAGCAGAGATTTGGAAGAACATACCTCAGCTGTCAGCGGATAAGGGATCTTGCCGACTTGAATCGCTTGCTGATCAAGCGGGTACTCTTCGACTTCCTCGGCGGTCATTAGTCCGGGCATCTTGAGATCGAAGAGAGACAGTCCGTTTTCCACCGCCTCGCCCGCTTCCTTCGCGCTGGGGTGTATGTACTCGTCTACTTCCGCAGACGGGGGTGCTGCGCCTAATCTACGCTCCCGTGACAGAGACACGTATGGCTTAGCATCGAACAGCTCTCGAAGTTCGCCGTCGAGTGGATCCCAATTGTAAGTCTCCGGGTCCAGAATATACGAGGGCTTATACTCTCCTTTATACCTCATCTTCACGCACGAGTGGATATAGAACCCCATGTAGTAGAACTTATAGCCCGCCTCGAGCGCCAACGCTGCTTCCCGCATGGCGCTCAACTTGCCGAAACTCCACTTCTCGAAGTCGGAGTGGTAGATAAAGTACACGCCGCTGACGCAGTGGGGCAGCAGGTCGAGGACGGACATGGCGATGAGGCGGCCATCGAGGCGATAGCACTGGTGGTAAGAGCCGAGGTGGAGTGTCTTGCCGTCGACGTCCGGGGTCTCGCGTTTCAGCGGAGAGCCGCAGAGGAAGCGCTTGAAGCCTTTTGCGGATATTTCGGATTCGGCCTCGTGGTGGACGTTCTTTTGGTAGTCTTTGAAGAGCGCGAACTTCTCTGGCGTGAAGTCATCGGGTTCGAGCGTCACTTCGAAGCGGTGGGCTGGCTCGGGTGGCCGCTTGAGATTGGGGTATTCGCTCTCGTGGACGGTGGTGACGAGGTCGAAGCCATTCTTTTGGCGTTTCTTGTCCCTTTATAATGTCAGTATATTGAATTCAATGTAATCTTCGAACATAGCGAATTGAAAGCAAAGAAGCAAGCAGTACATGTGCTTTTACTATGCATATCTTCATCGAACGTACGATCAAGAATGACTGCACTTCAAACCAAAGCAAAAAAGAACAGCACTCACTCTTTCGACTTGGGATACAACTTAGCAACCTCTTTCAGATACTCGTCACCGAGAACATATCTATTCCAACGATTAACCGCCTGTCGGTGGTCCCTCGCCGGCGCGAACGACTCAACGGGAAGCCTAAACAAGTTAGCCCAAATCGTCTGGCAAGCAGTGAAATGGTGCAGTCCTAAATTACTAACCGTATCGTGTAGTGGGGGCAACAATGTCGCAGGACGTCTGGCTTGTAGAGAATGGTGCCAGATCTACGCTTGACACGTCAGTTACAATTGCGCCTGAGAGAGAATGTGTAATAGTGCGTTTGGCGGGCGGGATCAAAGAATGTCGTGCAGATAAATTGGGTTGGATGTCGTACCTTCGCCAACCTCGATCCACAAGACCCTGATATACGCCCACGGTCAGGCCTTTCGACGAGACGTAGTAACTCGCACCTGAATATGTTACGAGGTCAGTATGGAAAGTGGAGGCTGTTCGTGTAGGTGCGGCGATATAGGATTGATTTGCAAGGGTGGATGGTGGTAGTCTGGTGGAGTTGAGTTTCGTCCGCCAGGTTTCCCGGGTTTACCCGTCAGAGCTTGGTGATTGACGAGAGTGGGGTTTGGATGCGAAAGAGCAAAAGGCCCGCGGTGACGTAGAGGGGTAGATTGGAAATGGAATACGAGGGCCCGTCTCTCGACCGCCTCATGCAGTGAGTAACGGAGACGAGGCGAGACGAGGGTAGAAATTGAGCATTCTCCAGTACTAGACTGTACTTGGCGAATGAAATTGCTCCGTCTGTTGGCTACGAAAGACAACGAATGAGGCTTTGGAATGATCGTCTTCTACAGGGCGGAGGCGGGGAAAGCAAAGAAGCACGTGCGACATGGCAACCTTAACAAGACATCAAATTGACGGACGGATGACAGCGCAGTAGTCAGTCCATGGCATAGCATGTATAGCCATCAATATCCAACGTCCGTCAGCGAGGTCAGTCAGGTCGCGAATGCCGATACTCGATCTTACTCGAACGCTTTGCCAAGAGAGTGAATGGGGGGAGGGGCATAGGGAGATTGGGTGCACGCGTGACGGAGTGGTGCAGATGAAGATGTGGGATGGAGACGAGCGAAAGAGTAAGTTTGAACAATAATGAACATCCACGTACGAGACTTGGGGCTGCGGCGGCCCGTTGAGGCATCTTTGCAGTATCCGCAACTCTCCGATGAGTAGCCCAGAGGGGAGAGGAAGGACATTTGGGGCACGGCGAATGGTGTGGATTGGACTTGGACTTGGACTTGGGCTGGACTGGGTTTGGATGATTGGATTGGACTGGACTGGATTGGATTGGATTTGAGATGGATTGTCGATGCAGCAGCGGACGTAGCGAGCGAGCGATGCAACGAGGGGCAGCGACTAAGGATCAGGAATCAAATCAGGAGACGAGATAGATACTGGACTGGAAATCTTAGCAACAGTAGTCAATATCTTCAAACAACAACAACCTGGTCTCCGTCTTGAGTAGGTAGTAGGTAATGATGGGGATAATACCCAGGAAATGGGGTTACCGCCTTGTGCCTTTTAAACGGGACAGGCGTCGTCGGTATCCAGCCAGACAGGCACGGGGTGCAGGAGGCGAGCGTGGTTGGAGGTCGACGTACCGAAAGGCGTCACAGGGGACTGCATGAGGGCAGCATAAGCGTGGGACTGCAGGGAACTTACGCCTGTCGTCTCTTCCTTGAGCTGCTGCAGGTTGATGGGATGGATGATGGATTATGGATGATGGATGGAGACGGTGGTGATGGTGCAGTGGGGGGGAGGAGCTTTTGGGCGGGAGGTGGCTTCATGGTTAACGTTAGCAGGCCCTGGGCGGGAACGGCGTGTGCGTCTTTACGGTATGTGTCTATATTCTCTTTCGATGTGTAGCCAAATGATGTGCACTGATTAGTACCGTAATAATGGTAGGAAAAGGTAAAATAAAAGGAAGAGTGGGATAGAGATAGTGTCGTGTGTCTCTATGTCTGTCTGAAATGTTGGTTCGGGAGAGGGAACAATGGAATCACGGAAATATCTCGTTCGGTATAATTACTCGCGCCAGTAATACGGTGGTTTATTTGGGCCCGATGGAACTATCATGCTCTGCCGGCTGGTCTCACTGGCTCAGTAATAATAATATTGATAAATAATAGAAACTTTGAGAGGATATGCACACGCGGGAGGATTTGTATACCTCCGATAGATGTATTGATAAATCTCGATTCGAACATCAATCCCGCACTTACTAGATATTGGAAAATAACAATGATTATTTAGCATCTATCTCGGTTCACTCGTACCCTATGTACAAGTAACTACCTCCCTCATCCAATGTTCCCGCAGGTTCGCGTACGCACGATACAACGCTTCGCACACCACGACAGGCGAAAAACGACCGCTGTTGACGCAAATGCAGGGTATACGAAGCATGCGAGTCTAGCATGGCCAGAAGTATTCCGGTGGATACCTTTTCTTATGTGGGATGTTCAAACGTGTGTTCGTTCCATGACAAAGTGGGCGTGTGGTGTGTTTGGGGGCTCTGTGTGGTACAGAACGGAAGGGGAGTTGATACTACTATACTACTATATACTGTATTCGGACACTACTATTGTTTTCCTGCGGCGTTTCCGTGCTGTATTTGATTGACATAGTGGAGAGAAAGCCCGCAATGAATGCAACTAGATTACTGTATGGTTCACGGCGAAGGCGACGTTCGAAAAGCAATAGCGAAAGGGCCATCTGGATAGTTGAAAGCAGACGGATCACCACTCCTTTGAGCACCGTATCCGGATGCAAGAAAGAGAAGAGTAAGGGACGAGCAACTAGCCAGACTTAGGCCCAGCAACTGTAAAGCTTGAGACGCATAAAGATGGAGAACAACGACCCTCGTGGGTGCCATTGATATTACTCGGGATGTAAGCAGTCAACAGAGACAGCTGGCGATGCTGTACGGTGAACATCGTACATACATTACACATGTATGTACCTGTGGGTTGGTAAAGAGGCGTTGCGTTCGTCGATATGAGATCTACGACTCCACGGTTCACGGGGTCCAAGCAGGAGGTATTACTGGAGCGTTTCGGGTGCCTGGTATGGGGGATGATCATTGCTGCACCACGTCATGGGCATCAATTAACTGGCATGGCATACATGGTGTACGCTGTACATGGCACGGCATGACAAGGTGTGAAGATGTTTGGGGAGGGGTGTCGACAATCGTAAAGCGAGTGTAGGGTGCTGTCATACACCGTCACAGTCATTCTGTATGTGATAGGTGGGTGGAAATCCCACATACTACCTATTTGCTGCGTTTGAGAATATGTGTATGAACATGTGTAGTCGTAGACGTACGTGAATGTGAATGTGTAGGTTTGGGCGTATACCTCTCCATCTGGCGGGCGTGCATCTCTCGCGTGCCCCGCCATAAGGCGCCCTCGTCATTCCCACTCTTCCCATTAATTCCCTACCTCTCCCACCCGGCGGTGGCGTCCTAGCTCCCGATCATGGCGATATTCCATCCTATCTCGCGAGGGTGCTGGCATGGTTGAATGTAAGATGTATGTGCGCCGTACGCCGCCGTACGTACATACGGGACTATATGACCTAGGTGTATCCCACGCTCATGCTGACGGTGCTGGCTACGAGTAGGGGAGCTGGCACGCCCGACAGCTAGGCGACAATGCAGCGGAGGTCTGGCGCTGAATGGGGATGGGTGATTGAATGATTGATGATGACGAGGGTATGGAGGTGGACGCGGACACGGAGTTGAACGGTAAGTATGATATGGTGTATGATTTGGTGGACGTTGAAGGGATCTTCTCGATGCCCATCATTGAGCAGAGACGCCTCTTTGAGAATCTGCATGTCTGCAATGTCCCTAGATGCGTCCTGCATGGGAGCGAGACTCCTGCGTAGGTGGTGGTGGTGGTGGTGGTAATGCTCGTGCTGTGTATGCCCCTGACCCTGGCCCTGGCCCAGCTGCGGGCACCTGGCCGTTCTCTATCTGTGAATTACTCTACGGAAAACCTAGGTAGATACTCGTACTAATTGCCTCGTACGTTAGGTATGGAAGCAGGAAGATACTGTTTGCCGCGGGCTGGCTGGCGGGCTGGCCTGGGCTGTTCTGGGCAGCATGACTACGGTAGATAGGAATTGTCGGTCTAATTGACACACTGTCAACAGAAGTATTTGCAGTGCTATACGGTGTCGTCATGCTACTTGATACCAGTATTATTCTGCTCTGGTTTAAGATAGTATGTATCTATATTGTACGAAAACGGCGAATATTGTGTACCTATGTGAATGGAGGTTTATACTTAGTGTTAGCATCCACAAGAATAGGATCATTAAATCAGATCAGTCGAGTAAGCAAATAGAAAAGAAAAAGAAGAGAAGAAAGGTACAAGGTTAATAATTAATTTACAATCGCTTGTGGTGGTTATGGTTCTGGTGAGCGAGAGAAGAGTGACGAACCTTTTGCCTTCTTTTTTTTTTCTTTCCCCTACCGCACGCACCCGCCCGTATCCCTCCCCTTCCCACCCTCCATTCACCCATTCACCCCCCCTCCCACTCCATGTACCCTACCCTACCCTACCCTACCAGAGTTATACCCATTCTGGTACTAATTCACTCTTCCTCTCCGACTACGCCCACTTGGAACCTAAAACAACCTACAAACTCCACCCACCTTCTCTCTTTTTTTCCCACTACACAGTACATGTACTAACCACCTAAACTACTCTCTAACTACCTCCCTCCTACCACTACCACACACCACACTACCACTCCACTACCTACTTTACTACTTACACACGATCCACGCCCACGATGTCCGTCTTCCTTTCTTCTCGTTGCAGGCCTTCTCAATCTCCTCAGCCCCGTCCCCCGCGGGACTGAGCCCTTCAGTTGTTCTTCTCTTCTTCTGCTTCATCTTCGTCTTCTTCTCCATATCCAATCTCCCACCCTCCTCTACTCACTCTACCCTTCACTTCCCCTACCTCATACTCTCCAATCTCGGCTCCATCCTTCATCCACCGCCTCTTCCTCGAACATACCCACCGCCCTCTCCACCTCCGCCTCCACCTCTCTCTCCGCACCTGGAGAGAATCAACCAAATCACCAAAGGCCACCGCTGCGACTCCCACTGCCGCTGTGCGCTCTCTCCGCTTCATTTCCTGGCTCCATCCACCGCCTCCGGTCCCATTGCCTTTCGCCTCCGATCGTCCCTCTCCTGTCCGGTCTTGTCCAGTCCGCGCGTCAAATCACCGATATCCACTTGGATATCCTCATTGACGACCATCCGCTCGCGCGGCGACCCGGACTCGCTGTTTTTCCCTTGAAAGGGAACCTCGGCGTTAACTATGGCCACCGCTGCCACCACCCCGCTGTCCATGCAATCCCGCACTGGCCGGAGTAACCAAAGTAAGCCCTCACGAGACACTCTCCGAATTTCCCAACAATTACATTTCCCCCATCGTCCGTCTCTCCGCTTTCCAAATCTACAATTACTAACTCGAATTTCCCATTGCAGGATACGGCGCCCAAGGCGAACGGCTCGTCGCCGGCATTGTTCCGCTCTCCTCCGACAAGTACTACGTTCTCCTGATCCAGTCCACGAGAAAGGGCGGATGGGTGCTCCCCAAGGGCGGCTGGGAGACCGACGAAGCCACCGCTCAAGATGCCGCCAAGCGAGAAGCATGGGAAGAAGCCGGCATCATCTGCACGGTGAAATACGACCTGGGCCTCATACCCGAGAAGCGGAGTGCGAACCAGCTCACCTCTACCGCACCGAAAGCATCATATCAGTTTTTCGAGGCCGTCGTTGAGAAACAAGAGGCCAAATGGCCGGAGATGCACAAGCGAGGCCGTCAATGGTTCACCTACACACAAGCCAAGGAGGCCCTAAAAGACCGACCGGAACTCCTCGACGCACTCGACCGGTGTACCATGCACCGATAACCTCACGCTGAAATCGACGCTCCGTGCGAGATACGAACGAACGCTTCCCGCAAAAAGTGGCTGAAGCTCTCTCAACGAACGACACGAACCCCCCATTCTGTCGATCGGCTGATTTCTTGATTCCAGCGTAATGCATAACGGCAGGGTTTTCTTCACATAAAAAGTCAATGGGGTCATAGAACTTGACGTTTCCCCTTTTTGTGTTCTTTATTTTTTTTTCTGCTCAATTTTTTTTTACACTGCTGGCTGTTCTTTTAATTTACCTGACATGGGGGCGTCGGTGGCGTGTCTGCGATTACTAGAAATATGCATGCGGCTCTCCCCCAACCCCGCCTCGCACGTTAGACATACGAGCGAGTGAGAGCGAGGAGCGAGAGAACAAGAGAGCGAGAGGGGGCCCGCGTAGGCCAACCACACCCAGTATCTACTCGTTCCCATACTCTTCCCGACCCGACACAACAAGTACAAAGAGGACTGCAGAAACAATGCGATTTTGCACGATGTACACTGTACAATGCCAAGCATCTTTTGGCTCTCCATATCTTATCTTGTCTACAGGACATTTCACAAGGAGAGGATTTGTTGCGTTTTCGTTGTCATTGTCCATCTGTCTTTTGTATCACCCCTCCCTGTTACTCGTAGGATCGAGACATGTGCCGAGTTTTCAACCGAGAGTTCGAACAGCGAAAATCGAAAATTCGCCCGGGTGATTAATCACAAAAGGGTCGCCGCAAATCGCCTAACAAGAATTATTATTGAGATGACTTTGCTGGTGGTGCAAGCCATGGGGCTGGACGACAGTGCCCTTTGGCCAATGAGACGTACAGGAATGAAAAGGTGGCCCAATGCGACTGACTGTATATACTGTACATACATACGGAGTACATACGGAATACTGCGTTCTGTATTCGACACATTGAACGTCATGCAGAAACAGAACTCCATCATTGGATATACGTATACACACATGTACCTCTCTGCAATACTGGAACTGGGACATGGTGGGGTACAAAAACACTCCTCAATCCAGCCTCACATCCCCATTCACGCATTCTACCAATGCAATCTCCTCTCCCACTTACATCCCGTCAATTGCCCCATCAACCTCTACAGAAACCTAGCCCGCAACCCATAGCCACATAACCGTAGAAACAGAACAATACCTCACATAACGCATAGGCAGAGCACTCCCACACGCACGCTGCTGGACATCGTTCGAACTTCGGACCCTTCGCTAAGCGAGCGGCTCGCTTAATGGCGTAGCCGCCGCCGTAGTACAACATTGGAAATGGAGCCGCCTGAGCCCGCCAATCCGGACTGAGTAGTTCTCATGCTAGCAGTCAGTCCTTCACGAAGATTGCCAGAAATGCACAGTGAGCAAAAGTAACCGAACGTCAAAGGCTGAAATTGATAGTTATGTAACTGCCCACAATACGATCATGCCTCGGTCTGTAAAACAGGGAAAAAACCACTGGAGTTGTCCATCGTAGATTAGACGTCGATCAAGCTCATGCCCCTTCGTCTCCGAACACCGTCCATTCCAATCCCGCATCATGATACTCCGTACCTTTGACCCAATCGATCCAGCATCCCATGGAACAATGTTACCTATCTTCCAAAAGTCAGCCCTCACTGGCATACAATTCGATCAAACCGCGAGCTTACCCTACCCCTTCAAGACCCCCCCTTCGAGAGCAGCTCTCCATAACACGCATTACAGCACAACTGGTCCCACCGGCCCTCGTGCGCGGCAAGAGCCACGAGCTTCGCTTTCTTCGCGTTGTTGCATCGGGAGCAGACGAATGGAGTGGCGGAGGTGAGGCGGTGGAGGGTGTATCCGCTGCGAGGGGCGAATTTCTTCACGACGGGGCAGGGGGGGCTGGATGGATCTGAGGGTTGGGAGGGAGTGGTAGACATGATGGGGATGAGGTTGATGAGGCGGTTGAGAGGGTGGGTGATGGTGGAGTGTGGATGGGGTAGGGCGGGGGAGGGGAGAGGTGATGTATGTGGTGGATGCCTGGTGGTGTTACGCAAAAGTCCTTGGACGGTTTCCTGCGTAGTCCCTTGCTTCATCGTCGTCGAAATGAGAGGAGAGGGATGGGATTATGGGTTGGATGGTTGATAGATTTGGGATTTGTGACCTCGCTCTTGGAATTGAAGTCCAATATAGAAAGCAGTTACATTTCACGATGCTGAATTATCGATTTGATTCTAAGCTTCTTCTTCTTCTTCTTCTTCTTCCTCCACAACTACACCCCATTCGTGGTCTATGACGCCATATTGAATGTTACCGAGCCAGCTTGCAAGTATCGAAGCAATTCGTTTCGCGGGATCGGCGTCGCCATGCTGCATGTCCAAGTCACGGCCCTTGAAGTTGATTGACAAGACGGGGGTGATAAAGAACTATAAATCAAATCAGTCAGCGAGATATTCAAAAACAGGTATGAAGTAACTCACAGCAGTCCCGCACACGAACGCTTCAACAACCCGTCCCTCCTCCCACGCCTCTTCCAGCTCAGACATAGTGAAATACCTCTCCACGACCTCAACCTCCCCCACAACCCCCTTCCTCGCCAACTCCAACACCGACCTTCGAGTCACCCCATCAAGAATCAATTTATCCGTCAACGGCGCCGTGACAAGCTCCGTCCTCCCAGTCTCCCTACTCCTCACCACCGCCATGAAATTACTCGCCCCCGCCTCCGTAACCCGCCCATCATCGCCAAACAGCCACAGCACCTGATCGAACCCCTTCCTCTGCGCCTCGCCATGCGCACCCAGCGACGTCCCGTAGTTGGCGCCCACCTTCGCGTGGCCGAACCCGCCGGGCCACGCGCGGATCGTGTCGCCCTGGGACGCGAGGAGTCGCAGCCCGGTTCGGGGCGGGGATCCAGGGGGGGACTCCTTGGAGAAGTCGGGCCATGGGACGGTGATGATGTAGAGGAGGGCTGAGGTGGGGAGTTGCACGCCCATTTGGGAGCCGGTGCCGATGAGCGAGGGCCGGATGTAGAGGAAGCGTCCTGGTTCCTCCTTGGGCAGCCATCCTGGACGATATGTTAGCGTTGCATGTAGGAGGTACAGTGAATGAATGGCACTCACGTGGAGCATCGATCTTAAGCAATGCTTTGATCAACGCAACTAATTCCTTGTCATCGACAGCAGGCAAGCACACGCGCTGAGCGCTGGAACTCAGCCTTCTGGCATTGCAATCCGGCCTGAACAGTCTCACTTTCCCGTCGAAACCACGGTACGCTTTCATGCCTTCAAAACACTGCGTAGCATAGTTGAGGCAGGATGCAGCCGGTGAAAGAGACAAGTTGCCGAAGGGAACGATTTCAGGAGTCTCCCAGCCGCCAGACACACTCCATTGACATTGGACCATGTGGTCGGAGCATACGTTCTGTGCCCATTGTTCGGGGGAACCGAGTGCTGGTACGGGACATTGGACGGTGGAATGGGTGATGGTGAGTTTGGATGCATCTAACACCGCTGGAGCGCTAAGGGTTGACATGGTTGTTGTTACTGTTGGTTCGAAAGGTGCTGGGATGGTCGAATTTATACATCTTGCACTGGATAGTTTTCCTATTTCTTCCTTATCCGGGGTGGATACTAGGAGTGATGTTGAGCGCATATCAGATTGGTCGGGTGCGTTTCGGGTTAGTCGGGCGTATGTTCTCCAGGGCGTACGCCTTGTGAAAGTACATCTTACTCCCGTAGGGCGTGGAATCTCCCCACGTCATATTCAAGGGTCCACGGCGGAAATTCAGCCTTTCTAGAGGTGACCCGAATCTGTGGAGAACCAGCCCGATCTCGAAAGACGTCCCCGCAACATAGTCGTGTATGCTACTGATCCCATACATCCTCGTAATCTCACGTCAAGCTCGAGAATGGAGGGACTAGACGCCTTAACCTGTGCACAATTGCAGATATCTAGCTCGAACGTGTTCTCCAGCACACTAGACACTTCGACAGGCCACAGCCAGGATATTCAAGCCGATAAGATGGATTCGGCAATTGTCTTAGATGATGACCTTGCACAAGCCTTCACGCATCGCTCGGAACAGGACCTGTTTCTCGCCTCTGATATCAATAGCCTTGATCTGGAGGAGAATATTCTTAACACTTCTGAATCAATTGAACAGAGCAATTGGTACACGTCACAATCGGACTTCTTTATAGCGTCGTCGGAATCAGCTGCGTCATCGACCTCAAACCACCAACGGAGACGTCGAAGGAAAAAGTTAGCACCATACAAGACCCGTAGAGCGAATCCGGAGAAAAGAAGATATCAATGCACATTCTGTACAGATGTCTTCAAGACAAAGCACGACTGGCAGCGGCACGAAAGGTCGCTTCACCTGAGTCTCGACGAGTGGCGGTAAGTCTATGCTACCACTCGGCACGTCTCGAATACGATTCGCTGACAGTTGACACCATCAGTTGTTCTCGATTTGGCCCTGTGTTTCTAGATATTGATGGGACTTATTGTTGTGTCTTCTGCGGCGACCAGAGCCCAACGGACGCCCACCTCGAAAGACACAGTTATTCAAGCTGTGCTGCAAGACCTGTGGCAGATCGTGTCTTCTTCCGCAAAGACCACCTACTCCAACACTTGCGCGCGGTGCATAATGGCTGTAAATTCAACGACCGCATGATGAATTGGATCAGCACGATAGATACCGTGCATTCCAGGTGTGGTTTCTGCGACCTACAGATGACGACGTGGGCCGAGAGGGAAAAGCACCTGGCCGAACACTTCAAGAGCGGATCGGACATGAAGGACTGGACTGGCGATCGCGGGTTCGATGCCACGATAGAGAATCTCGTGCGGGACGACATTCCGCCTTACATGATCGCCCAACAGCGTGAGACGATGGATCCTTTCTCGGCTTCACGATCATATCACTGCATTGGCCAGAAAATTACGGATGTAGCTGACCAAGAAAGCCCGGCGCTCAGTTCAGATCTGGCTCATAATGTTCACTCGCATCGTCATATCGAGCATCTGCTGCTCGCACACGTCTCACGAGAGATCTGTCAAGGCCGCGTCCCGTCGGACTCCCAGATACGGAAGCAGATGGGGATTTTGATGTATGGACCTGATCACGACGACTGGGAACAGACGTGGGCAGATAACGAACAGTGGCTCACGCAATTCAGGAAGAAGGCCGGCTTGATTAGCTTGCCTTTGAGCGACGGAAGGAACGCCTTTGTTGGATATGACACTTCGTAGTTTTTAGTAACGTGCGTTTTGATCAACATTTTGATCATCTTTCATTACGCAGCTGTACTTTTAGGATGAGAAGTCTGCGTGTGCCCAAACTAGTGCATAAGATTACAGTGGATAGAGACATCAGAAACGAGATGCTTTTGATAGCTCATTCAAGATCGGCTAGAATCTTAACCAATGTTTCATAATTGACTGCTTGCGGTTGAGCTGCCAGGCCACTGCGAATTGGTCGAATATGCCGTACAAATTATAGGCCTATATATACCCTTTCAGCCAATTCCCGCATGACATCTAATGGATACATGGAACTTTATTCTAGTCATATTCTGAGGTTAGTTACTTAATACGTAGCACAAGTTATAAGGCGGTTATCGGAGGGTTACGAGTTTTGGGCGTACGCCTTTAACGAGTGGGTCCAGCCAACCATGCGCCCTGTCAAACATTTCCTATGATTAAGTATCATTCTCATGATAAAGCTAAGCTGAAAGATTTCTCTTAAGAGCTTCTCCACTCAATCAACAGGTAGAGAGACTCTCTCTTCCAAAGAATAGAATGAAATCTTATCAAGATGCGACCGCTGTCGTTCAGCATCAAGACTCATTGGTTCTCTCCACCGTCCAACTTCCCAGTCTTCAGGACCACCAAGTGTACGTAAAGGTCGAATTTGCTGCCTTCAATCCTACGGACCGTACGTTATAGCATCCGTAAATCTCTACCTTCTCATGGTTGGTGCTCACAATCCCGACTAGGGCTTGCTTTTGACCTACAAGCATTTGGAGACGACGCTGTCTTGGGTTGCGAGTTTGTTGGCACTGTCGTCGAAGCTCATCCTACTGTTACCAAGCTAGAAGTTGGTGACTGCATTGCTGCACTTGTTTGGGGCGGTATCAAACCCCTTCATCCCATTTTGCACTTAATGTCACTGATCCATCCGTGCAGGAGAGATCAAGGGCCTCGGAGCATATTCGTGAGAACCTTGGTTGCCCGGGGGCGTGTCGTGCACAATTGCTGATACTTTCAGGACATTCTGTATTGCAGACGAACGACTTTCGTTCAAAATCCCAGATGGCATCGCACATCCTAGCGCTTGTTCCATACCACTCGCCGCAAACACTGCTTATCTGGCACTCTTCTCACAAAACTCCCTTGGGCTTCCCCAGGGAGGAAGTGGGAATGGTCGGTCTGTTCTCATCTGGGGCGGAAGCTGTAAGGCGACACACGTCCCAACCTTACTATACCTTCAACTAACGACGTTAACTAGCCATTGTAGGCTACTTCGCAATCCAGTTCGCCAATCTTCACGGGTTTACCGTCGCCGCCACCTGTAGCCCCAGAAACTTCGATCTCGTCAAAAACGCCGGCGCGACACACGTCTTCGACTACGCGAACGTCGATGTCGTGACGAGAATCCAGGAGTGTCTCCCCGAACTATCTCACGTTTTCGACACTATTGGCAACGACGAATCGTCAACGACTGCCTCAAAGTGTCTGAAGAGTGGTACGGGAGATCTCTGCACGGTTCGCCCGGGAAGGGCTAAGACTGAGGGCGTATCCGCCGGGATTCGAGTAACGGACGTTTTTGTCTTCACTGCGTTTCCGACACCACATACGTACCGAGGGACGACGCATTGGCCGGTGAGTCTCATTGAACGAATACGATTCCGTTTTAGAAAACAATTCGATGCTTCTGCACTTTTGCTGTTGTTGTGTAGCTGATGATGAATCTATCACAGGTTATCATGGAGAATCACGCTCTCAGTGCTGCATTATATGAGGACCTTCCAAGATTGCTGTTGGAGGAAATGATTATCCCGCCTCCGGTGAAATGTTTGGGGAATTTGAGCCCAGAGGCGGTCTTGGAGGCTATGCATCTTAACAGAACCGGGAAGGTTTCGGCTGAGAAATTGTACTTTGAAGTATTCGTTTGAGCGCTGGTTGGAGGTATTGGCTGAAGATGCATGCTCCTTTTTGAGAACACCCTACATTCATAGTGGTCACCTACACCAAGATTGCGTTATACATGCCAAATTCCAAATAAACTTAGAAAGTTCAAAATCTATGACGATAATTGTAATGAAAGCACACCAAGATATGAGCAGTCATTGTACCGATCCTTCATATCTTTTTAGAAGTGGTCACTGGAGGATTCTGTACTAGTACAGGGACGTGACAATGCGCGGAGAATAGATATGGAATCCAGTCTACGGACGTTCGAGAGCATGCTAGTCTTGAAGTGTCGTTCGATTACATCCCCACCTGTAAGGCGCAAGAATACAGGCGTACGCCCATACGAACTCCCCAGACAAAATGCGCCTTATCGTCAGGAATCATCGATGTGACATGACACCGCGACATCCGATTTCGGACTCGTATCACTTAAAAAGAGAACATATTCACTTCTAACAGTGCAACAATCCACCTACCCTTTGCTCAATCCCACTCTACAACAACTCTAAACTCATATCCTCAATCCATCCCCCCACTGGCAACCATGGTCGTCTACGTCGTCGCCCAAATGACGATCCACGACCCTTCCACCTACCTCAAATACACCTCCGTCTCCCACAAATCAGTAACGCGGCACGGAGGCAAGTACCTCACCCGTGGCGAGCCGCTCTCTGTGCTCGAAGGCGACGCTCCCGAGCAGCGGATGGTGATCTTGGAGTTTCCAGACGAAGAAGCGGCGAGGAAGGCCTTCAGCGATCCTGAGTACGTAGAAGCCGCAGGGTTTAGGCGTCAGGCTTCGAAAGGATACATGGTTATGCAGAAAGGTTCGGAGAGGGGGGAGAATCCAGATCCGCATGTTTGAGGGAATTGCGTGAGATGGGTAATGCTATGTTAGGGGAGAGGGGGAGAGGTATGTTTAGCAGTTCATTCTTATCGTTCAAAGTAACTTACTGTTAGTACTTAGAAGTCCTCCAGGAGCTTCTGAGGTTGGGTTTTCATATCGTGGCCCAGTATGGTGACACAGAGACCGATCCCAAATAGGTCAACAGCCAATCATTGATCCTAGAAATAATATAACTTGTTTTTATTTTGCTTGGAAATATTTTCCTCTCTCATGCTGCATCTCTCTATGGCTTTAAGTACTATAAGAAAAGTAAGAATAGTCACGAATTCACAACACAGAGGGTTATCAGGTGATTTGGACATCCCTATATGAAAGCTTTTATCGGAACACGAAGATGAAGCGCGCGACACGTCCAGGATCAATTGGTGTAACCGTCAGCCATCTTATAAAGCGGGGTTGCTACGCCACGCAAACTTCGAACATGTCCAATGCACTCCAACGCGTAGCGATAGTGATTTCACAACACGCCATCCTATGATTGCACCGTTTCGTGGCGCCTGAAGCTTTGTCAACCCTCTTGTGAGAAAAGGAGCATTGATCAGTCTACCTCACGACGAGGATTGAGCGACTAGCCTACATCATGTTCCCCTCGCAGAGCAGACCATCAACGTCTCCTTTTGGTTGGGGGGCCGCTCCAAGTTCTGGTCCTTTTGGCAGTGCGGGCACTCCAAGTTCTGGTCTTTTTGGCAGTGCGGGCACTCCGAGTTCTGGTCCTTTTAGCAGTCTTCCGGTAAGTAAATCATACTGAAGGATGATACATTTCCAAGGCATATTCTTAAGTTATATAGGCTTCTGCGGTCACTCATTCACAGAAGCTCATTCAGCATATTGCTAGGTATGTTCGCCGCTCATAGTAACTACATCATCTAACCTGCTGGCCAAGCTTGTTCAACAACGAAAAGTACTCTGATGCTACTATTCAAATCCATGATGTGATGCTCCCTGTACACAAATCCATCATATGCATCCAGAGCGAATACTTTGAGAAGGCCTTTCAAAATGAAAGATTCGAGGAGAGCCAGTCCGGGACGATAAAATTCAAAGAAAACAGTGGTGCCGCCTACTGGAGGGTCATCGAGTACTTATACAAAGGCGATTATTCAGAGGCATTGTCCACACACGAGTTCGAAGGCAAGCGAAATGCTCCAACCTGCACCCTCATTAAAGTAACAATTGTTAGATGACCCAGAGCATCTGAGAGATTCTCGCGTATACGTTCTAGCGGACATGTTCCTCTTGGAGGGTTTGAAGACGCTCTCCATAACGAAGCTACGACTAAAGTTGGAGAAACATTGGATGACCGACTTGTTCCTTGAATGCATTCGAGAAATATACGGTAGCACTTCTAATGAGACCTGTGGGCTACGGTCAACTGTGATTGCAGTGGCGACAGGACATGCGCGTGATTTAGCCAAGAACGAAGCTTTCAATAACCTTCTTCGAGAGGGTGGGGATTTCGCTGCTGAATACGTCAGCGCCCTGACGAAAACGATGGCTTTTCGTTAGGACATAGTGTTCGATACGCTCGGATTTGGTGAGATCAATATGCTACAGAACTATAGCTTGTGTTTCCCCAGCAGATGTTCAACAAATTCAATAACGAAATTTCCTCCCATACGGATAAGGTCGTTGAATGTTTCTGTCGTAATTAAGTCATGAGCATGTTCCACCGCAAGGCGGGCCACAGCAATCCGCGTTGGAGAGGAATACTGCCGATGAGATTGGTAAATCTCGTGAACACCTATAGTAAATACATCGCTATCCCAGCAGTTACTTGCATGCTTCTTAAACCTCATTAAAGCATATTTTCTTAGGTCTCTTATAAGAAACGCATGTGCCAACATGTGGACGCGCAAGTGTTTAAGTAGTTCTGGATCCTCTATAAATCTCATTCAGTAGTTTTCAATAACATATGATCAAAACAGTACTTGCCTTGAATTTGAGCATTAGACAAGATGTCAGAATAATCGCCGGTGTATAAATATTCTAAGACTCTCCACAGTGCGGCTCCAGTTCCTTCATCGCATTTCAGTACACTCCCACCGTTGCTAATGGCTTCTTTACACGCTTCTTCAAATCGCGAGCTCTGAGAGCATAATACAAATTGGTGGGCAGGGATCATGACATTTTGTACCGAGATTGTAATGTCTGAGTGAGCGGGCTGGCCAAGCATGCTGGATGTATAATTAGCTAAGGATATCGAAGGAGCTTTATGCATACCCAGCTATGCTGCTCACGAGCTTGCTGTGGTGACTGTCTGCATTGTCTTCTTCAGAGCCTTTCTCTGAACCCAGCGTCCCTGTGTCTTTGTGGTTATAGTCATCCGAGTCATTGACATACGCCAAATTCCGTTCTTTCTCAGGCAAAGAATTGAACTCTTCTGTACATTCTTCGCGTCCAAGGATTTCAAATTTCCAATGATTTTTACCATCCAAGGACTTGTTACATGAGTGATTCGGACCATAGCGGCGTCTGCAGAGTATGCATTTATCCATCTTGTCTGATACACGTTAGCTGTGTCGAGCATGCTATACCGGCTCACTAATTTTGTACGCGGGTTACTTCGAAGGCAGTATCGGGAGACTGTGGCTCAAGCTGAGGCCTTTTTTCTGCTACTATGCTGAACTTACACTCTCTAATGCTGACAGAAATGTTCAAAGACCTTGATAGTCTGAAGGTAGATTAGGCTTTCAACTTCACCAAAGTGGGAGGCCGAATTTCAGAAAGACACGAGTAGTGGTACGCAGAGGAGCGAAGACATCTAGCTTGAACAGTAAATATACAGAATCATTCCATCTCAGAGGCGTAGTGAAGCATACCCCGCTTACCGGATTGCCGGGACAAAACTCCGAAGTCCTATACTGCGAGTGACATGCATCCTCATTTCTTCAAACGGACTAGTGGATATAAGAGACATACAGCATAGAGAATGATAGGTGTTGATAGTAAATAAGCATGAGTTAAATTTTAAAGCCTATGTAGCTGTTATTGCTGCTTCTAAAACTCTGTCTAATGCCTGCTTGATCTGTGGATAGAACACGTCCACTCCCCAGCGTAGGATGATCGCGAGAGCAGTCACGTATTCGCGAGCATGGCGATCGAGCGTAGTCCTCCAGGCTCCTAGGCACGTCATGTGATATTTTACAACTCCATTGTCGTCTGCCAACCAGTAGTGGACCCAAAGTTCGTGTACGGCGCCCTCGGTCGTGGAGCTGAATATTATTCGCGGCGTACCAGTCCCAGGATCCTGTTTGGCCAGCGAATCTAACAGCCGAATTGCACATGCTCCCCCTCCGGCGGCCTGATTCTGTGCCCCTATGAGGTTGCCGTTCGTCGCTAACCCCTTGGCCTCGATGAAAAAGAAGGGGAATCGCATGTCGCCTTGTGTAGCATGTGGGTCACTGAAGACAGCCTTGCCAGCTTGCCAGTATTCAAGAAGACCTGCATGCGGTGGACTGAAGGCCTCCCGAGATATACCAACGGTTATATCCGGCTTCGGCGTTGTAATGCTGTCGTCTAGTTCGCTGGCAGAAGCGGAGGACTCGCTCGGCCCAGTAGGTAGGCGCGAGAAAGCAAGGTTAAATGGTCTACCGTCAGGCTGTAAGCGTAAAGCATTTGAGTCAGGCGAGATTTCTGTCGGTAAGTTGACAGACGTTTCCTGGGGTCTCGCAGGTACGGTATGTGCTGGAAGAGTCGGCCATAGTAAGGACATGAGCGGTGTTGGAGCAGGCGGTTTAAGTGGAGTGCACCAGAGCTTATCGCTACAGATAGAGCTGAGGGTTTGATCCCAAAGGGGTATTTCGGCGAGCTTCTCTATTACATCTCCATAGAGATGAGTTCGATATTCGGGCTCAGAGCCTGGCTTCGTCGCAAGCTTGCGGCACTCGTCTCGGTACACGGCTACGAGCTCAGAGATCTTGTCAGCCAATTCTGTTTCTCTACCTCCAAACTCTGTGTTATCCTGCGTCGTTTTATCTGTTCCAGGCGGACGAAGATCAAGAATATCGCGTAAATCGTCAGGGAGAAGCGCCTCAATATCAGATGGGAGATCGTGAATAACATCTACGAGGACGTTGGCGGGCTTCAACACGGTGTTTCGATATTGCGATCCCTTCTTAGTCGGACTGCAAGATCGCGCTTGTCTCTTCTCCCGCCGTCTCGAGCTCTCCGACATGATATCCTCCGATACGTGAGCGTCGTCTACGGGGGAAGAAACACCGTCTCCGCTGCGATTACAGATCGATGGCGTGTCATAGATCCAATCTATTATAGAGCGCGCAGCCGAGTGCTCTGGTAACGGTGCACACACGGCATTCTGGTGGGCGTCTTGTACGTGCGAGCATTGCGAATGCGTTGGCATTGGCGAGGGTGGGGTGGAGAGGGGTGCATGATGTGGGCGCTTAATGGTCTCTGGTGCGGACGGGTCGGATGGCCGACAATGGCGTTTCGAGGCTGGCGACAACTCTTCACAGCTTGCGCGTTTCATGGTTGTCGTTGAGGGACGTCAAGAGGAATCGTGATGTGATCATGGAGTCGTGTATTGCTAGATTGATGAAGTTGTGTTGTGGTTGCTGGGTCAACGGAACGACCCTATCGCCGGCACTAGACAGTTAAATCCGATTGTGAACGTCATGTCCCTACTATGTAGACACAAACTATAGTGAGCATCTAGGAGACATTGAACAGATTAAAAGAATGTATGAAATGATCAGCTTAAGCGTAGGCTGTTGTAGAGCCTAGGAATGTAGACTAGTAGTATGGGGCCAGTCAGGATAGTCTACGTACGATACGTTATACTATTATTAGGTCTCTAATCCCATTAACTAAGTGTTAACGACAGTAGCTGCTACTATCTATTCTTAGTTAGTACGAATAGTGTAAGTATGCATAGGTGTGGATAGACTGAATATAAGAAGCATATAGAACGATGGATATACATCGAAGGTTAGTCTTGTCCATGCATATAAAACAACCTCACAAAGTCCTCCACGATGGAGAACCAAAATCTTCCAAGTCAAACATATTTCAATTACTTCTTTCATTTCATTTTATCTACTCCAACATCTCGTGAAAAGTATCCCAGATCTTACGCCAATGTGAATCAAACTCCCTTCTCGTGAAATGATATCATATCATCTTCTACTAACTTTTTCCTTTCCGTCCTCATGATATCTACCGCCTCGAAGGACCTCCCCATCCACCGCCTCCGCCCCTGCCCCTTCCCCTAGGACTCTTAGGCTTGTTAACCCGTCCATTACCACCACCGCCTCTGCCACCACCGAATCCACCACCACCTCCTCCGCCGAATCCACCTCTCGACCTCTCAGCGCCGAGCGCCCGCCTGTGAGGTTGATTGCCGCCACCGCGTCCGCCGCCGGAGCTCTTCCACATCCCGCTTCCGGACCTCGCCTTCCTGGCCGCCTTGTCATCGTCGACGTCCATATCGTCGTCATCGTCGTCTCCGCCAGCGCTCCTCTTGTTGCTGAACTTGAGTTTGCCTCGCTGGCCCCTCTGTGCGGCGTCCTTGCCGCGGATAGCTTCCACGTACGCGTTGATGCCGTCCTCGAGGCTTCCTCCGGCCGCTGCATCGTCGAGATCCATCAACACATCACCGTCATCATCGTTTCCGCGGCCGCCCTTCTTGCCCTTTGCAGCACCGTCGTCGGAATCGTCGTCGCCGAGGATGAGCTTGCCGTCCTCGTTGCGCTTCGCCTTTGTGAGTTTGGCCGGGGCGTTGCGCTGGCGGAGAGGCTTCGTAGAGGAAATGTTTCCGAGTGCTTTCTTGGAGAGCAGGTCGAGGGGCTCGTCCTCGTCTTCGATGATGTACGTCTTTCCGCCCTTCTTGCCGCCGGCGTTGGCACTCTGCCTGTTCTTGACGAACTCGTCTTCGGAGTCGCCTTCGTCTTCCGAGCTCTCGGAGCCGTAGACCGCTTGGTCGTACTCGCTTTCGAACTTGCCCTTTGGTTTCTGCTGGGGCTCGTCGGCGTCGCCATCGGCCTCGGCGGCGAGCTTCTTCTTCTTGCGCTGCTCGCGCGTCTTGCGGATGTTGGTGATGAGTTTGCGGTCGTCGGGCGGGCATGCCTTCTCGACGGCGTCGGCGCCGAACTTGCGCACCATGCGCTCGACGATGTGCTTGACCTTCGCCTTGAAGTGTGCCTTGTGCTCGTGGCTCCAGACGAGGAGGTTGGAGAGCAGGGAGTTGAGGCGGGGCTTCACGAGGCTCTCGGGGAGCGTCACGACCTCGACCTTGACGAAGCCGAGGACGCTGCGCACGATCTCGCGGTTCGGATTCTGCAGGAACATGTCCATGAGTTCGAGGAGGTTAGTCGTCGTTTCTTTCGAGATCCGCGCGTGGAACTCGAACAGGATGCGCGTGACGGCGGTGATGGAGGCGGAGATCATATGTGGGGTGGATCCGGCGAGACCGGCGGACACCATGGTGAAGTACTCCTCCAGGCTTGCTTCGACGCTGGGGGCGTCGGACGGCATGTTGGGGACCTTGCTTTGCACGACCGTGCCGCCTTCAGACATCTTCTCTCCCATGGCGACCAGGAGATCGTAGGCGGCTTCTCGTGCCTTCTCGTTGACCTCCTTCGCCGAGATGACCACCTCGGAGAGGATGGCTGGGATGAAGTGCAGGTCGGTCTCAGGGAGGTACTCGAGGATCTGAGAGATGGCAGCGAGACGGTCCCTCCGTGCAGGCGAAGACGTCTTCTCCGCACTGTTCAAGAGAAGCGCCTGCAGCTCTCCACTGCGCTCTCTCAGCGCCTCCTTGCCGATGTCCGACTCGGCGAGACGGGGGATGAGCTTGTACGCCTTCTTCTGCAACTGCGAGTCGTCGTCCTTATTGATGAGCGTGTTGGCCATGGTGAACAGCGCGGGGTAGCTCTCGCGGGGGAGATAGAGAGCAATGGTGATGACGAGATCCATGAGCGTGTGGCTCATCGGGGGCATCTTGTCCTGCGATTTGCCCTGCTTCTGCTTGTCGGCCTGTGTCTGGGGCCCGGCTTCAGCGAGCGAGGACTCCAGGTTCGAAGCCACGCGCTCGAACGTGTCCATCAATTCCTGTACGTCGCGTTAGATTCAGGTAGTTCAAAATCTCCATATCTGAAATACATACCTTCTCGGGGATGATGCTCAAGAAAGCGTTGATGGTCTTGAGGATCGTACCCCTATACTGCGGCAGCGTCTGGCTGTAAACATTGAACAAAACCGCAAGCATGTTACTCGCGTATCCCGCCAAATGCTCCAAATTCTTCTGCGCATCCGCCTTCGACACCCTCGCCTGGACCACCAAATCCTCATTCCCCTCCAAGTCGACAATCGCCTTGTTAGCATCGACGAGGTTCTGCAGCGCCCTGCAGACATCCGTGCGGAGATCAGCCTGTCCGTAGAGCAAATTCGCCAGCATCTCGGCGAAGCTCTGGTCGAAAGCGTCCACGAGATCGAGCGGGAGGTCGCAGTAACCCGGGAGGATGGACCAGATCTGCTGGACGACGGTCTCGAACACCTTGATATCCATTGTCTTCTCCTTCTTTCCGTGGTCGACGACGCGCTGGTAGAGCTCCTCGCTCAGCGGCACCATGACCTGTCGGAAATGGGCCAACTTCGTGTTGTGCACGGCATCGCGGAGCAGCGGGAGGAGCCACACTCTTCCAGCCTGGCCGGGCGGGGGACGGGGGAGATTGAGTGGGAGGACGTCGAGCACGACGTCTGGGCCCATGGCGCCGATGGCACTCGATAGGACGGCGTCCGCCTCCTTCTTGCCGGCGAACGAATCGTTGCTCCTGAGCTCGCCGACGATGCGGACGACGGGCTTGAGAATAGGGTCGGAGCGCCATCGGAGGGCATCGAACATCGCGCTGAGGACATTGAACACCTCCATCCACGCCGCCTGGTACTTCACGCTCAGCAGATCCGCCGCGGCCTTTGCGATCTTCTCCAGGATCTTCTCGTCGTAGATTGATGGCTCGAGGATGACACTGTCAGGGACGAGGTTCACAATGAACGAAATCAAGCACTCTGACGCAGAGATGCGAATGTTATGCGAAGAGCTCGTCAAAAACCCAGACACAAGCGCAAACAGCTCCGGAACCTTCGCGAACGTATCCTCCGGCTCGACCTGCGCCGAAACCTCATAACCCCTCGAAATGACCGCGATCCACGGGGGCAGCAACTGGGAATCGTTCTTCGACGGCTGCAACTCAGAAATCGCCTCGAGCAGCCTCGGCAACTTCGCCGACGAAACCTCGTCCACCATCCCGGAGAAAATAACCTCGAAAATCTCAAACGCCGCCATAGTCAAATACTCATTACTCGACCTCGAAATATGCAGCAGCAATTCACACAGGATATCGATCTTCCTGCTCGGCCACCCGCCCGCAGCCGTAGCCACCGTCTTAATCAACTGCAGCGCGTGAATGAGATCCGGATCCCTGTTCTGCGCGTCCTTCCCGTGGTGACCCCCCTTCTGCTTCTTCGCCTTGCCCGCCGCCTCAGCGATATCCTTCAGCATCCGCAGCGCCGTCTCCGCACACATATCCGCCGCCGGGTGGTCCAGCGACGGGCTCGGCGGCGGATTGTTGAGAACCTTCGACAACGCATCCTGCGCCCTCTTCCTGACCTTCGGCCTGTGGTCAACCGCGATAGTCAACAGCCCCGCGACCGCTCGTCGCGGGCTAATCTCCGTCTGAGGGAGCTCCCACGCCTTGGAATCCTGCACCACGAGCAGCGACTCGAGCGTGCCTATCGACGACCTGAGCAGCGGCGCCTCGGCTTCTGGGTGCACGAGCGCCGGCGCGAGGTGCGTGAGGATCTCTGTGAATTTGGAGCGCAGGAGGGGCGCGGGGACGTGCGGCGTGACGAGGTCGAGGAGGTAGATGACGGCGGTCGCGGTGTCCTTGTTGCTGATTCCTGAGGCCGAGACCTGGTGTGCTAGGAGGGAGAGGAGTGCGGCGAAGTAGGCTGTGGGTGTGAATTCGGATTTCTGGCCCCGGAGCGTGTCTTCGATTGCGGAGAGCACCACTGCTGTCTGTTTCGTTGCGTTAGTTTCAATGCCCCGATTCGCTTCATAAATCAATAACGTACCTGCTGCACGCTCTGGAGCTTCGGGGAGTCCCGAATCTTGGACAGCCTCTCGTCCAGCGACATGGTGGGCTGTTGTTTCGTGTTTTCGTGGGCGGGAAGAGTGTTTGTCGTCGCTTCAAACGCAAAAAAGTTGCTCGAGCCGAAAACACAGAAAAATCTAGGAATTGACAGGGATTAGACGCTAGTTGTGGGTCTAATCGATAAGGTCAAACTAAGCGCGCACGTGACATCGACATTCACCAACCTTGGACGACATCTCATCTACACTCGAGTGAAGAATAGACAGAACCCAACATAAAGGCATGGAATAACCACTTTATGCAGGAAAAGTTGATATCATAACGATTCTTTCCCCTCGCTACTCGAGAGGTCCTTTGAAAAGTAGTGTATTTCCTCTGTCGAAAATATAAAAAAACAAAACGAATAAGTGAGCAAGTAGCCACGTGAACTCGAAAAAAGGGGTGTATAAGTAAACCAGAGACATTCCTTTCCATCTTTTTCTTTGAAACACGCAAAAGAAAATGAGAAAAAGTCGGAAATTACAACGGCATACACACGAAGAAAACCCCCCTCCCCCATCCCAGAGAAAGACGAAGAGGAAGAAGAAGAAGAAGTAGAAGTAGAAAGTAAAAAAGCCCACCACCACACGCACGCTCTTGTAAAAAAAACACAATCCCAACAATGATGAAAGCGTTCTCACATAAGAAAAACCACAAAGCAAAGATAGCGCAAATCATTCCCATCATTCCTCCGTCAGGGTATCAACCGCCTTCCTCCCCCTCACGCTGCCCCCCGACTTCGACCCCTTCTTGCCCGACGAACTGCTCGACGAGGACCCGCCCCCGCCGATGTTCAAGATGCTGAAGCGCTTGCGGACCGAACTTCCCATCTTCTCTGCTTTGCTTGTGACTTTGCTCGTGTTGCCCTCGCGATGGCCACTCTTCGTGTCAGAGTGCGGGTCGACGCTCTCGCTGCGCTTGCTCTTCCCGCTCTTGGAGGTCGGGGGCCGCGACGTGGATGCCGCGCGGCTGCGCTCGGTGCTCTGGCCGCGGGATTGGCTTGCGGAGCGGCTGGTGCGGCTGGTGACTTTGCTGATGGTTTGGCTGAGGCTGAGGCTGTTTTGGGAGTGGCCGTGGCCGCCGGAGGACGGGACGGGAGGTGGGAGGGGGAAGGTTTGGGGCAGGGCTTCGGGCGTGGGCGAGTTGGAGGAGAGGAGGGAGAGGGAGAGGCGGTTGGTGGAGCGGTTGTGCTGGTGCGAGGTGCTGCCGTCTTTGCTGCGGGAAGTGGCTGTCGTCGTGCTCCGGTCTTTGCTAATGCTTCGGCGGGAGGCGCTGGTTACGGATTCCGCGTCGAGGAGGTCGTGCGGGTCGATGTACGGCTTGTCGGCTGCGCGGCGCTCTGACTGAGAATTGACTTCGGATGTTGACCCGCCTTTGAAGAACGCGAGACTAAGCCTCTTTTTGTCTTGCCGTGCCGGACGTGATTGCGGTGTCGGAGACGTCACTCTTGTGCCGTTCGTCTGCGCTGCATTGTTCGACGAGAATCCATCGCCGGCCGGGGGATTGACATTGACCGCGGAGGCAGTAGCCGCCAGCCATGATCCCGTTGGCGACCGAATGATATGTTCCGGATTCACGGGTGCCAGATGAGACAACTCGCGATCATACGCCAATTCGAATCCTGCAATGAACCCGTTAGTTTACCCTTATAATCCACCAAACCACCGACACAAAGAAAATACATACGATGTGTCAAATCCGCTTTAGTAGCCTGCTGCGCAGGCCTGGAATAAAGCGACAAACACCTCCGAATCACGAGCGCATAATCAATCAACGCAACCTTGAGCGCATTCTCCAGTAAATTATACTCCCTCGGCTGCGCCTCCTCGTCGCCCTCATCGTCCGTCAGCGAGGACGCTCTCGACCTGGGCAGGAGGTCGTGGTAGTTGACGACGGACGTGTCGGACGTGTTGTCGACCGCGAACATGATTTCCGTCGTGAGCGTCGTGATCGCCGCGTCGTCGCCCTCCTGCACCCTCTTTTCAATCGCCGCCATCTCCGCCGTCTTGCGGGCTGTCCGCTCGATCGCGGTTTGCAGCGGCGTTAGCGTTATGGTCCCGACGGCTACGATCTCGCTTCTACGGAGGATCGTTGGGAATGCTTCTGCCGTCGTGTAGACTGTCTTCTCTGCTCCCACGCCCGCGGGAGCGTTGCTCGTCGTGCGGCGGGACGTCGTGGTGAACTGCGTCGGCCTGGAAAGGAGATAGTAGTCACGAATGGACTGTGCGACCTTCGCACGTTGGTATATAGGATGCGTAAGATCTTTCTGCGGGCTGACGGGGAAGATCTGCAAATACTGCCCTTCGACATCGCCCTCAGCTCCCGCGTTCAATATCTGCGCTGCGGGATGCTGCTGCTGCATGCGATCCGTGAACGTAGCCAGGCGATCATTCGGCGATCCCTCAAAGATAAACTGCTTATCCCTCAGTCCCACCGGGAACCCGAGGCCCTTGTAGATGACCCGGAAGTACCGAGAATTAGGCCTGTCGCCCTTCGCGATGCTTTCGTAAATCGTAGCCATGGCGTGCTGCGTGCGGGCCAGCTTGGAAAAGTCGAAGACGTTGTGTTCGTACTGCGTCGCGAGCTCCATGTACGTGCCGAGTGCGTTGTCCCAGGACTGGCCGTTCTCGTAGTGGCTGATCATTTCGAAATAGAGCCGTTCCTTGCGCTCGAACGACGATTGTGAGGGGAAGGCGGGGTCGATGAGAGGTTCGACCGTCGTGACGGGATCCCATTCGTAAAGCTCGGCGTGGAGTCGAAGCGCCAGGCCGGCCTCTGTGAAGTTCTGTGCGTCGGCCTGCAGTCGCACGAGCTGGTGAACGTATCGGATGTAAATGTCCTCCTTCTGCATGTCCTTCAGGAACTCCATGAGATGAAGCGTATCCATGATGCGGAACACTTCACCCGTCGCTTCGGTGCTATGCACAGCAACGAGAAGGTCCAGCAGCTCGTCAATCGTAGTAATCAGATTCTTAACAGCCACGAACAGCGGATCCTCGGGGTCCTGCGCCAGTGGCTCGAAAATCCCCACAAGCTCCTGTATGAAATGCTTCTGCAGCACGACCTCGGTCAGCGGCTTCGTCTTGAACAACTGATCCAAACAATCAATCATCTCCGCCTGGATGAGCGCTAGGTCCTCGCTCAACGTCCACTCGCTCACAATCATCGTCTGCAGCACCTCGATCGCGACGCTCCGCAGACCCTCGTGCACACTCAGACACAACTCCACGATCGGCGCAACGAGACTCGGCACGTATTGGACCTGGAACCCGCCCATCTTCTCCAGCCCGTACTGCTTCTTGTCTTCGGGCGTCGTCTCCCAGCCAATGGCCTCCCAGCTGCGTTGCAGCAAGTCCGCGCCGTGTTCCCGCACGTCGCCCGCAATCTTCCATACCGCGCGGCGCTTCTGCTCCGGGAACGTCTCCAGGGCGAGGGCGTCGCTGCCGACGAGTTTGAGCAGCGCGTCGAAGAAGGCTCGCCAGAGTTCGGTGTTGAATTGGTCCGCTTCGTCTGCGTGAGGGAGGAAGGAATCCGTGAGGATGCCTGCGAACTTCTCCAGCGTCCGCATGGTGGCTTTGTGGTGGAAGATGTGGACGCTCAGCCATGACGATGGGAATGCCTCGCCGTCGAGAATCGATATGTAGACCTGCAATGCGGAGAACAGGAAATTGGCGATATCTGCCTTCGGCCAGTCGAGGTGTATTATAGTTGGAAGACTGGACATTGCCGCCAGGACGGCCGACAATTCGATCAATGCTTCGTCGAATGTAGCTTGAGTTGTAGTCGGCCGCGACGGAAAGGGAAACGATGTAGGGAAGAGAAGCGACAACGATTTCTTAGCCTGCCGTCCGGTAGCTTGAATAGCTCTGTACGAATCCACGAGCTTGGGGATGTATTCGCAAGCTTCCTGGCCCAATTCCTCGACCTGCGCGGCGACGACGGAACAGCAAAGTCGAACCTGATCCTTCCATTGCTCCGTGATGACATCGATCTTGCCCCAGTGAGGAGCAAGCCACTTGACAGTGCTGGTCAAAAGTTCTCGTCGAGTATCCGGCGCCTTGAAAACCTCCAGCCCGGTGATGTGGTGGATCAGCAGGAGCTTGTAGAGGATAAGCTTCCCCTGAGCCGTGCCGCATGACTCGATGAAGTTGGACGCGAGCTTGAAGATCTCCACCGGGGTCATCGAGGGCGAAAGCTCGGGCAGCCACGTGTGGAAGTTCTGCACGAGGATCGTCTTGGTGCCGATCAGCACGGGGGACGAATTGCGCATCAGCACTTCGAGGGACTGGAAGATGGTGTTGATGTCTTTTGTGAATGTTGACTGGCGGCCTGTGATGCCGATTCCGGCTTCCTTCTCCTTCTGCTGCTGTCGGGCGTTCATTATGAACTTGAACACGTGCCGTCCGACTTTGAACGTCGACCTTAGACTTCGCGAGCTCGCTGGATCGGCCGGATTGGCAAGTAACCTTGTGTAGCTGCGAACAAGGCAGGACGTAGCAAACGGATATGAGAACCTCGACTTGGCATATTGATCCACCAGCGGACTGAGATTGAACCGTCTATCATGTACGATACCGAGCACCGCAACCAACGCCTTGAACACCAAATCCTCGTACTCATCGCTGCCAGCATACTCAACGAGGATCTCAAACAGTGCATCGAAGACCTCGTTCAACAACTTGACCACCTCGATCTCCGGCACGAAGTGGAACCGCTTGAGAAGACTGACGAGTTCGCCACCAGCCTGTTCTTTCCATTTCAACAGACCTAGTAAGATAGGGTCTTGCGAGTACTTCGTGCTGCACAGATACGTCCGAAGATGCAGCGCGGCCATCGGACCCATGACCTGTTCATCCTTCTTCCTCGCACTCCACGGGAGACCCAAGTACGCGCCCTTCCCGGCAATCATGCTCGACGTATACTCGTCGTACCTATACAACGACAACGAATGCTCGCCGTCTCTCGTGAAGGCGTCCTTGTCCCAGAGGGGCATCCAGCACAGTGCGAAGGGAAATCCAGGGGCGTCAGCAACGCTCATAACGATGTGCGACCCTGGAACATCCTCGGGCTCGATCGCGAGTCGGATCGTCATGTTCCAGCCCTCGCCGCGCTCGATCGCCGTCGTCCGCCACGCCGTGTGGCCTGCGCTGTTGCTCGACGGATACACGCAGTTCTCGATGCGCTCCCCGGACGACTTGCGCACTTCGATCGTCAGTTGGAGGTTGCCCATTGGTGTGGTCTGGGCCAGTGGGACCGTGCCCGTCTTGGGGTGGGCGAGGAATGAGTTCCGGGGAAGGAATGGTTCCACGAGCGTGAGGTAGATGTCGCTCCTGGGTTTCGTGGGGGCGCCTGAGAACCCGATCTTGCGGGTCTGCTTGATGCTGTGCAGTAGGGTCGGCGTCTTCTCGACCAGGCTTTCGGCGTCGGGGTGTGCGAATGCTTTCACGTGGATGGTAATGCGACTGACGTTAGGATGCTTTCTGTATGTCCCCTGGGCATTCGGGTATATCTCCGTCAGTATATCGTCCCAATCTCGATCATCCTCCGCGCTCTCATCAAGCGGCGTAGGCGCAGACCAGAGAGTGATGTTCTGATCTGCTTCCGATTGCGCACGCATTAACACATCCACGCGGAGCACGCCCACGGCGGCAGCTCGCTTCAGGGACTTGGTGTCGCGCGACGAAGCCCTCGCTCTCGCCGCCGACTCGGGCCGTCCATCGATGCTATTCTTGTGATTCGCTTCTTTGCTATCAGGTCGCGTGTCGGTGGAGCTGAAAGTGGTGTTGGGAGATTCCTTCCGCTTGGACCCAAACATGACGCTCCGCCTGCCCTTGATGCTGCCGAATTGCGACGGCTGGAATGTGGGCGGGTTGCTCGACGTGCTCTCCCGCGGAGCGCCGGGCTGTCCTTCCTTGCCCGGCGCGCTTCGAATCGCCTCGCTGGACAGCAACTTGAAAACGAGATATAAACTCGATCCTGAGCCGGACCCTTCTCCAATATCGGTCGAGCTCAGGTCTACGAAGAGTGATTTGAATTTCTCCCCGCTCAATGGAATCGGCGACCCATCCCTTGCCGTGAGATCGAAAGAATACGCTTCTGAAAGCGGCACAGGGGCAGACCCAGGTGTCTTACTGCACAGATGCATGCTGATCTGGACAGCCCCCGCAGTCACGTCTCCAACGACCTGCTTGAGATTGACGAACAAATGATGCAGATTATGCTCATCAATGTTAGGAACAGGCCTTGTGTCCAGCAGACTCATCATAGACTGCAATTTCGTGATCTCAATCGCCGAGTCGTCGCCCGTCAACACGCGACCGCGCTGCGACGGGCTCCGCACGATGACGTCCCCGCAGAGCATCTTGTTCCCGGCAACCAGGTCCCAGACGGTGGTCTCCCGCACTTTTTCCAACTCTCGAGCCGTCAGCACCTTGTGCAACAGCTGGCGTCGCGCGGCGTCCAGTCGCTGCACCAGACCCGACATCCTGTCCAGGTCCTTGTACTTGCGCACCAGCATCAGCTCGTGCAGCTTCGTGGAGTGCCATTCGCGCAGGCACGACGCGATCTCGTCGACCAATGGCTCCTGCGCGGACGTCGGCGTCTCGTCTCCGATCTTTAGCATCGGCACCGGTGCAGGTGGCCGTGGCGCCATGGGGTCGCGAGAGGAGACGGATATGGGTGATAGTGGCAGCGCGAGCTGCTGGAGGTGCTCGGAGCGCGCTGTCCATTGCGAGCCCTGGCTTGCTGTGCGTTTTCGAGTAGACCTGCGGCGTGACAGCGGGCGTGACGCGGACGACGGCAGCGCTGATATGTGTTCGGTCTTTGAGGCTCTCCTCGCGGCGGGGGGTTTGCCGTTGGCGCTCTCCGTGGGCGTGATGACGCCGTTCGTCGTGGTGGCATTCTCGGCGTGGTTCTGGGTTCCTTCTTGCAGCACTTTATCGGCCTGGTCCGTGACTGGCGACCTGCTCGTCTTGCCGTCGCCGAGAACCTCGCGCACCTCAACGCAGCAGCGGGGGAAGATGCCAGAGAAGACGCGCGCCTCGAGCGTCTGGCCCTTGACGCTGGTGAGTCCGGCCAGCAGCGACGGCGGGGCGACGAGGTATCCCCTATACCAGGAACCGTCCCTGCCGCCCTGTTCGATTATGTACAGTTCATCGCCAATTTCGAGGGGCAGGTCGGCCGGCGACGAGGGCTGGAAGGGGTATATGCAGATGGCGAAGGCGATTCGCGGCAACGGTCTCCAGCCCGGCATTTGGGGAAACCAGGAATTTCTGCTGGAGGGAGGAGAGATTGAGGAGGGAGGGGGGGTTGCGCTATCGAGTGGAACGCGGGCACGAAAGCATTACGGGGTCGATTCGATGTGGTGTCGAGGGGCGCTGCTGCTGGTGCTGCTGTATCATCGGCGAAGGACGAATCTATGAAACGATCTGGCGGAGCAATGACTCTGGGGGAGTGTGGTTTGGGATCGATCGTATGGAGATGTGCGCAGGATGCCCCTGATGCGGCGCCGGGGCGGGCAGCACGAGGGCGGAGGTCAGAGAATCTGGGGTGGGATAACAGGCGCCGCGGGAGCGCAATGGGGTGAGTGTTGATGCGTGCGTGTGTGTTTCTCGTGGTATGTATCGGTGTGAGTGTGGGTATGAGTATGGAGTGTAGTTATGGCTCCAGGTGAAGCGCGAGTAAGGTAATAGTTACTGTCCTGTCGTTGCTTCAACAAAAACGTGTGGGTTCCTGTCCCTGGATACCTACAGTAGCGCATCGACGCACGGGCGTTTTATCTCGCCCACCATCCAACGAATAACATGGATTTACGACGACAACTAATCACAATTCCTTTCATAATTCAAGCATAATAACTACTTATAGACACTCAATTCCATCCATCTCCCATATCCCCATCAAACAAATATTCGACTTAACAGATCCATCACCAACCAATCAAACACGTCACAAACGGCGTTCCCTCGTGGGATAATTGGAGCGGTGTCGGCGGTGATTTTTAAACTTTCTTCAGACAGACGCGCTAGTCCTTTTCTAGTTTTCGCGTTTGGGGCTAGACTGCTTTCGGGTAGTAAGCTTTCTGCTTGGTCGAGGACCGTGTGAATAGGACGGAGGTACTCCGCACTGTGACAATGCATTGATAATCGTGTAGATAGGCAGATGAGAAGGCGGTCAATGTTTCGAAGAAGATCTCGGTTGTAGTTTTGAATTGTTTTTGTCATCCAAATATAGTACTATGATTATGCTTTACTTTACGCCTCATCGTCTCCTCAACGTCTCCCCTTCCCTCGATATAAACAAACATCCCCATAAATCAAAAAATATACAAAAGACGTTGGAGGAGCTATACAACACTCCAATCATCCCTTAAGTGCTTCCCCCAAGCGGGTGGAATCTCAAAACGCGCTATGCTCGCTGAATGGTCGCGGAAAAAAGAAAAAATATCCAGGGGTGTGTGTGGATGGACGGTGGGTGTGTTACACGACGTCTGTTTCACCTGTCTGTGTGACTGTCTGTCAACGGGCCGGTTGCGTGCTCCTATTCGTCTTCTCTCTCTTTCCTTCGTCTCCAGGATCTCTTTGTCGTCGTGGTTGTGGAGGTGGATGCGGATGTTGATCGTCCAGCCCCAGTCCTCTTCCTCTTTCTTCTCTTTTTCTCTCCTATCGTCGTCTTTTCGACTTGACATTTCCATCCATAGTCCATCAGGTGCCTTCATGGGCCTTATCCCCTCAGATCGTATGGCGTATATGTCGATTCCCCCCTTAGTTCGTTCCATCCATCTTCTTCGGAGAATATTCCATTCCCCTCAAAACAACAACCCTATCTTGGTGCTGTTGCTGTTTATCTTCGTGATTCATCCAAACTCCCATTCCAACGCTCAGGTGTAAAGATTCGCAACGATGATGGCGAGTACCGGCACGACACACTTCAGCAGTCCCGGTGTTGCGAACGCAGACACGGCCGCGGATTTCGTTTTGAGTGGTTTTCTGTGGGGTTTGGAGTCAGTGATGTGTTCTTCCTTGCAGGTTTGGTTATTGCATTCCGCGGGAGTGCGTCATTTTTGAAACAGACTTCTCGAAAACCCATCCAAGCCTACTTGAGATGATTGGAGAACGTGAGAGAAGAGGACAAGAAAAGGCATCACAGTGGTAAAACAGAACAGAGAAGAAGGAGAGAGAAGGAGAAGAAGCAAGAGAGACAGAAGAACGCCCAAGAAACCGCAACAAGCAAATAGAGAAAAGAACAGCCACCACGGGCCGGCCACATGATTATTACAATTGATCTAACGGAATGAATCACCTCCCCCATCGTCATCCGTCATGAAAGTCGTTTACCATATCAAAGTCGTAGTCGTAGTCTTGGTGTAGAGAAAGAATGAATACTCACTGGCTAAGTTGTGCACCAATCCCGGTGATGACCTCGCACTTGTCGCGGGACTCCTGCGAGACATCCTCCATGGAGACGTCGTTCTGGTTGGTGAAGAGCATGCGCTTGCCGTTGCCGGTGCCGTAGGGCTCCCAGTTCGGGGAGGTGAGGACGCCCTTGGAGGCGAGGAAGGTGGTTTGAATCTTGTTGGGGTCGTATGTCTTGATGAAGGAGACCCAGTACTGCTGGATGAAGACGCCGGCGGCCGTCGTGCCGTTGTTCCAGATGGAGCCGAGCTCTGAGACGTGGAGCGCGCTGCCGACGTTCCAGCGGTATTGCCAGGAATTGAAATCACTGCCGCGCTCGTAGGAGGCGGAGGCGTTGATGGCGGGGCAGGTGTATCGGATGTGGCCGTAGATGTCGGCGGCTACGTTCTTCCACCGAGCGTCCTTGAATGCGTCTGGGGGACCGGGCCAGATCTTGCGGATGCGAGCCCATTGCTCCTTGTTGAGGTTGGGGAACTGATCCGTGACGAACTGCTGCGCGCGCTGGAGGGACGTGGCGGATTTGGGCGTGAAGACAAGTCCATCGTTCTCGTCGCTACCGAAGATCGTGGGGACCTTGACGAAATGGCCGTTGCGGAGCTCGTTGTACGTGTAGTCCCTGATGAAGTCGTTATCGATCGTGGGGTTCCAGAAGTAGATTGGCGGGCTCTTTCCGCCGGGGAAGTTGGTCTTCATCGTGCGGACGGCCTTTTGGAATTCAGGGGCCGGCATCTCGCGCATGCACTTGAGGTCACTGCATCCCGTCTCCTTGCGTAGAGCCTCGTACATGAACTCGCTGTCCTCCTCGGTGCGCAGGGGCGGGAACGAGGGCGACTCTGCCGCCGCGGCATGGAAGAGCTTGTCGTCGCGACCGCCATAGGCTGTGAGGTGGAGAACGACCGAGCCAGCACCGGCACTTGGGCCACCGATTGTGACGTGGTTGGGATCACCGCCGAATTTGGTGATATGCTGCTGAACCCATTTGAACAATTGGCGCTGATCCTTGAGTCCGTTGTTCAGGCTCACATCGTCGTCCGCGATAACGTCGTTGCCTGCGAGGAATCCATACGGGCCGACACGGTAGTTGAAGTTAACGACGACCATGGAGTTGTTAGAGGCCTGGACGAGCTTGGTGGCGTTGTAGTCGGCATTGCCATTAGCATTGAAACCGCCTCCCTGGATGAAGATGTAGACTGGGAAGTTGCTTTCGTTGGTAGCCTTCGCGGGAGCCCATACGTTGGCGAACAGACAATCCTCAGACTGCCTGCCACCGAACTCGTTCTGGAGAGCAGAGTCGGTGCCAATGCACAGAGGGCCGAACTAGGTCATTGTCAGTTACTGAACCGACATAGAGATGCATACACAAAAGAGAATAAAAAAAACAAATCTATACATACCTTGCTGGCGTTGACAACCAATCCCTGACGTTCAGGGACAGGATCCTGGGGGGCTGCGAATCGCATTCCATCCACGCGAGAGACGGAGCGAGCGTAACGCATTCCCGCCCATCGCAATACGCCGCCTGGCTCGTGGATGCCTCGATACTTGGCGTACCCGAGATCGACATCGAGATCGACGGCGACGGCAAGGTACGCGCAAAGCGCGAGGCAGAGAAGCAATTGTCGAAACATTGCCGAGAAGGGTAGGCCCAATGGCCGTGGAGTTCGGGGACGGATTGAAGGTGAGGTGATTGTCGAAGCGAGGATGTTTGTCTAATGGGTGGAAAGCTGTTCTTGTCTTTCTTCTTTACTTTTTCTATTCTTGCTCTTCCTTAAATGGTAGGGTTACAGAAAGGGCGATTGGGTCGCAAGTCGGTAAGCGAGATGGTCGAGGAGGTCGCGAGTGAATTGATTGCAGCGAGTGATTGTGGTGCACTGGACTCAGGGCGACGACAGCTTGGAGAAGGAGGAATGAAGGTAAATCACGCAAATATGCATTGTTACGCTGCCGACTTTCCGAAGAGCTGGTGAGAGTGAGTAGGTGAGTGAGGAATTACTTTTGAGAGGTGAAAGTGGTAGGTGAAGGTGAAGGAGGTGGTGTCGGTGCGCGCGCAGAGATACATACCTATTATGGGACAAAGAGATGGCGAGATAATTAATTCATCATTGTGAAGTCGAAAAGCACAGAGGGTATCAAAGGAATAAAATGAGGAAATTAAGAGAAGTGAGAGTGAATATAGGTAGGTTGGTAGGCAGAGGCGGAATGCTAAACACGGAGCCAACAGGGTGACGGGGATGTCGGAGGTTATTTATTTTTTGGGGAGGAACGGGCGCAAGAGAGAGTGAGAGAGTGAGAGAGTAAGAGACCGCAAATAGAGAGTGAGAGAGTGACAGTGTGTAGAGTTTGCTCTGTGGTCTGGCCGCGATGGGTTGTTGTTTCGAATGGTCTTTGGACCGGCCTATGGGTTTACGGGTTGGGCTGAGCTTTTTTGGGGGCGCGTGTGGGCTAACGAGTAGGCCGTGTAGACCGTGTAGACCGTGTAGACCGTAGCCTTGGTGGTGCCAGCGACAATACCAATGCCAATGCCAATGCCAATAGTAATAATTCGATGTTAATGGTAAGAAAAGAAAAGACAAGACCGCTCGAAGGTCCAGTCCAACAAATATACCAGTCGAGTCTAATCCAGTGCAATCCAGTCCGAATCGAGGATACAAGCGACAACTCAAACCGTCGCAGGACCCTCGGTAGAATGACAAAAAAGGGCAGACGGGGGGGGGCCAGAGGGGCGCAGGCGCAGTGAGTTACGGGAGGTAGTTAGACTCTAGAGTAGAGTAACATCTACTACTAGTACCTGAATGTAGGCGACAGTCGACGAATGACCTCGTACTTTGCGACAAAAGGGTCTAAGGCCAAAAGGTTCCAGAGGGTCAAGGCGGAGGGCGACGACAGACTAGATACATAATTAGTCTCAAAGATCAAGCTCATGATCACGACCATGGTTATGGTTATGGTTATGAGCATGGGCATGGGCATGGGCATGGGCATGGGCATGGGCATAAGCGTGGTGAATACGAATAGAACATTGCTGAGTATGCCCTACCAGACATACACGATACCCTTATCCTACCCTGCCCTGCATTACCCTACGTTGCCCTGCGTTGCCCTGTAGATACTCGTATGGGTAGTTACTGGGAGTCACTCGACAGTAATAATATACAATGACAGCAGCAATTGGTCCAACGTAGACACATTCACCGGAATCACCGGGGACCAGTACCCAAACACCACAGACAGCAACCGACGACCAGCAGCAGAGCATGGGTTCTTCTCTGCAACGCCTAGTGGCCTGGTACTTGTTAATTAGATGGGGGGTTGGATTCGGTTTAGGTGGTATCACAACTGCCTGCCTGCAATGCCTCTTCTACACAGTATCGTCGGGTAGGGGGGTAATTAAGAGTTTTACTAAGAAACCGTCCAGAGTGGCCCGGAGCCTAGAATGGCCCAATCGTCGCTTCGCGCTCTAGGATCATGCAACAAACAACCCCCGGCCGTGAAGAAGGATTTCCGAGTGGATTGGGGATAATGGCATCTATTCACGTTCGGGTGACATTTCGACCTTTTCTTTTACTTGGTGGTTCGAAAGCCAGCTGGCAGCCAGATGCGACTGTGACTGTGACTGTGGCCGTGTGCTGAACGGTAGCCCGTCCTCTACGGTGTGCAAGACCTAAAGGACACAGCATCCGGGTGTTCTGGCCCTTCCCACGCATCCTCCAATCCATCCATTCGTTCGCCCGTAAGCTTGTTGCAATCCCCCGGAGATATTTCATTGCGGCGTCGCTGACGTGCTCCGCCGGCCCTTCCACAACATCGCAGCCCCGCGCCGCCTCCAAATGTCACAATCCACCTACCATACGTCGAGGATAGTAATGCGATAATCGTGATGGTGCGAATGACGACGATAGCGACAGCGATGATGGAAAAGTGGTGATTTGCCGAGCTGATCGATCGATTGCTTTTCTCTTCGATCAGAAGTTTATCGTGTGGGTACCACAACAAAGTTACAGGCCATTGTTGTGCATGAGTATGACCATAGCATAGCACGACAGACAGCGGCACTTGTTGAACAGAGGAGCGGAGCCAACGAGGCAAACAGGCAACAGATAGCGCCCAGTAGTCGTGTTGTGACTTGTACTCGGTAACTCAACTAACCACTGGACGGAGCAGGATGGCCGGGAGGGATGAGGATCAGGCAGGGATTGTCCAAGCGAATGGGGAGATGGGAGTCGATGGGAGAGATGGGATGGAGAGACAAGCAAAAGTCAAGAGATTCGAGTCCCTGAAAATCAATTCCCCATCCATTCACCCACTCACATAACCGTCCACACAAATCGCCATCACCACCTCCATCACAGCCATCCCCTCTAAACAGTACCCTATGTATCCGTAGCAGCTTGAAACAACGAATGAACGATACACACAAACCGGCACACGGTTCCACAATTGTAACATCGCAATCATCACAACGAACACAAACCGAAATGTCTCAAATCTAAAAGCTTAAGATGATGACAATGGTGCAACTCGGATCTCGATACATACAGCATTTCGTTCAAGCAATGTGAACGCCCACCGTTTCCCCATGTCCCCTCAGCCTCCGCTCCCCTCCGTCATCCATGCTGCTGCTCATGTTCACATCACCACATCATTACACCGCATTATCACACAGTTCCATTCACCACCTCTTCTGCTGCGCACCCGCAGGATCCGAGCGTACGTACACACACCTATCGTCACATAGTTACACCCAGTCTACGACCGTAACTCTGGTTCCGACTCCCAAGTCTCGAGTCTGCCTGCGCGCTGCGGACTGCCGAATCGAGCCTACCCAGCTAACCATCCCTCGGACCCTTTCGTGATGGTAATTATAGAGTCGCAGTTGTCCCGTTGCGGCGTAGCGGCTTGCTCCGTGCCCTCTTGTCTCCCTTTTTTTTCTTTCTTTGAACCCTATGACCACTGAATGATAGTTATTTGTAGGAACGAATGATATGATAATTAATTGTCGTGTTATAGAAGGAAGAGCAAGAGGATCGCACATACATGAAGCTATCGTGTACTCCGTACTGTGCATCGTGAAATCCTCCCCCTCCCCTCAGTAAGCCAGCATGCCCAGCGGCCAGCCCAGTCCAGCCTCAACCCCCCGCGCCGCAACAAAATTCTTCCATCCACTTACCCACCGTACGAGGTACCAGAGTTCGATCCTACGACCGCCGCGCTAGAAACAATCGCTTCCAGAACCGTCCCCGCCCCGCTGCCGGAAAGAGAAGTCCACGATGGTGTCGCTGTTGTGTTGAGCGATTGAATGGTTGAACCCTTAAGAGGTGAGAGGGGGGAGGGAGTGTGGGCCAATCACAGCCGCGCGCATGGCCACGCGTGTGTTGCTTGCCACGTGCGAATGGGAACGTGTTGACGACGCCGATTCTCGCGTGCATGCGGATTTGTCGTGTGAATCCTCTGCATCCTGTGAAATCTTAAGTCGACGAAAGGAAATGTGGTGTTGATGTGTCTGCCTGGATCCTTTCGATAGTGCTGAGGGACCCTTTGGTTGAATCCTTCTCTAGTCCTGAAATTCGGGGTAATTTATTGATGCCTGTTAGAGTTGTCTTGCCGGTTGATTGATGAAAAGCAATACTCTGTACTTGTAGTTTACAACGCCTATGCTGTCTCCCTCGTCCACAGTTCGCAGGATTGAGCAACGTAGAAAAGTCTCGTGAGTCGTGACATACTACATCTCCCACCTACAATCCTTCCTACAGTATCCACTTACCCGCTCAAATAAATAACAAAAACTTTCACAGGCCAGAAGGCAGAAGAAAGGAAAGCACTAATTAAGTACTCCATAATCGACTACAAATTTACATGTACGAGGCACTACAACCTCGTATCCGTGACTAGGTACGAGAACATCATCTGATAAGATCGCGTCTTATACATAGTTACCGTACCTGAGTTCGCGTTTGTTGTGGCGAGATTAGATTAGATTTTTTTGTTTAGTTAGAGATTTAGATGATTTAGTAGTGGACGGATGTGTATGGATGAGAATTGAGAGGTAGGTGGTTCTTTTTGTGGGTATGGGAATGTGGACATGGTAGAAATTGTTCGGCTCTCGAAGGGAAAGCAAAACTACTTGCTCATTTGGTTGGATTTCGCTCCATTTACTTTTCAGAAATGATCGAAGATTGAAATGAAGACGTACCGCAATGGTATGAAGAAGACATAACACACACTGCACAAGTACACGCCAGCTTCAAAACACCACCATCATCCTTATTCCTTCATCAAGATCCCAATTTGACATCACACTTCTATAGCCACCCCTATCCACCATCATCCTCCCAAAACAGCACACCACGCACTAACACCCATCAAGTAACTAAGAACGACGCCCACCCGTCCGTGCTACAACCCCCTTCATCACAGCAACGAAATAAAAAACAAACAAACATCCACGGGTGAGAATGTGAAAATGGTTAATCGGACCGCCCGCATTGTTCGGTTACGTCGGGTCGGCATGACTGCGGCGGGTAGGGTATTGTGATCGACCCGCCGTGCTGTGCTATATGCTGCTAGCTTGTTTGAGATATAGGGATGGAAGGGTGGTATGGGGCTGTGCTGGGTAATGAGGTGGGAGGGAAGACTACTTGTATGGAGTGCTTGGGTAGGAGATGAGGTTGAAGGGTTGGAGGTCTTGATGAGGGTGGAAGAGTTGAGGGGCTTGAATGGCTTCAGAGACTTGAAGGGCTCGACAGAAGTTTGACTGGAGGTAAATTCGAACGACTCAAGAGACTCGACAACTCGGGATCTCGAAATAATCAAAATTGTTAGTCTGAGAGTATCTTCTAAGTAGAAACGATATACCGAGTGCATGTTCAATACGTTTTTCGAGTCCATTGAAGGAAATACTGACCGTACAGTACTTTTGACTATCATATGCAAAGCATTCAATCCCATCAACACCAACGAAAGAAACTCACCATCAGATCAACAATCCCAGAAGTCGAATTTCAACACCAGTATCTCCGCTCGCAAACGAAAACAATAAATCCATTATCGCTTTCATCGTCATTACCCACAATTGATCAGGCGTACACCGTGCATCCAAAACTAACGAAGCTTATCATCATATAATCCTCTCCACCCATCCATCAACACTCCTAGTCCATCGATTCCATCGATAGAAACAGAAACTCCAATTTTTCAATATACGACAACATAATATCGCCCTTCCCTGCACCTATGATCTCGCACCCAAAAACTGCGGCTAGTGTCCAAGGTTCCCCGCTCCGGCCACCCATTGTAGTAGGATAAGGACGTACCCGACAGTCTACGAAGTATGTCGTTGGTGTATTACATCACAGCTGAATCATAATTGAATTTGGGTATTGAGTTTCCCCTGCCCAGAAAGAGGTGCGTCCCGGCATGATTACGTGCATGCGTGTGTATATGCGGTACTCACTCATGTCTTGGTTTCCGCGGACTGAGATTGTAGTCCGAAGGAATGGTGGACTGGAAGTTCATTTTGAGAAAGTCATTATGATTCTATTTTGTATTATTGGGAGGATTAAGAGGTAATGAACTACGCAGTACAAAGTAATTCATATCGGACGAACAATTATTATGGTAGATGGTTATTCTTCTTCGTCGTAACGTGTAAGATAAACATCTACCATGTTAATAAAATATAGTGCAATGGCTCGAAGACCGTCTATTCGGCAAGTACTTATGACGTTGACTTTGAGTTCTCACGTACGCCGTGCTATCCCGAAATTATTGATTCCTCATCAGAAGGTATCATCTTGCTTCCAGTAAGCCTCAGAGTAGCCTTGCCAAATCTGAATCGACTCAACCCTTACCTTTGTTCTTTACACGACACTTTTTCATTGAATTTGCAGGGCTCAGAGATACGTCAGGGCTGTTAGATTGAAGATAACCCCTGACAATATTATGTCATGTTCGAAATGGAGAAAAATGCAGAATTATGTATTTTCTTGGGTATCTCAACTAAATATCATCTGCCCGGTACTCAGCATATTAGTGTGCGGCCGGATAATGTTCTACTCGAGGAAGAGAGAGCCATTATCTATATACTCGCTCATCATGCAATACTGGAAGAGACAATTGGGGTAGAAGGATCATCTCCAATTTTTCCCTCACTGCATCTCCAAACCTCAAACAGACGTTATCGAGGAAACGGTACCCGTCTCTCCCTTGCTCGTGAGACTAGACTTCCTCATCGCCTTGGACCAGCGCACTGACACCATTAGCAAAACCATACACGAACTCTCGATCGCAGGAGACTCACATCCGCACGCATTGCAAAGCGTCTTCTGTCCATTGGGACCCTTTCTCCATTCCGGAGACTCTATCGTGCTGCAGAACAAGCAAATATGCAGCTCCTTCTTGGATTCACTGCATCTCCTCGGCTTCTTTATCCAGGGTTTCGAAGATGTCCGGACTTTGTTGGGGTTGGCTATCGGGATGCCAGCATCACCGATCATGGGATTGCTCGTCGCGGTGGTTGTTTCTCTCGACTGCTTCTTTTGGATGTAGCTGTGGCTGTTGGTCTCCTGTCCGAAACGCCCCGGTGGATTTGAAACTGGAGAGCATTCATCATGGGCGGCATTATATGGACCCGGAGACAGTCGATGTGAAGCCACACTCATCGATGACGGCGTTGCAGCCCATATCTCTTCTCCCGACCGGAACCGTATCACCGAGGCATTCGACGACATATCTCCTTCCCTCGCCCATTGCGATTCCTCTTCCTCCTCTTCGCTCTCTTCTTCGTGCTCTTCACCCCTCAGTTCCTCGATCTGTCTCGTGAGGCGCTCTTGCAGGATCTCCTGCTCCACGAACGAATCCGCCAGAACACCCGCCTTGGTAAGATACGGACGAGCCGTGATGACCAGTTGCCGTTTCGCTGCTATCGTCGAAGGGCAAGTCACCTGGTTGGGACCGTCTGCCCAGTACGGGCGGCCTCGCGCATCGAGTATGATCCATCCATGCTCTGCGCTGCGGAACCGATATATGGACCGGAAGACACTGCCGTACAGGATCGATTCGTGGAAGTCCTTGGTGAACATGTGGAAATCCTCAGGGTGGATGAGTTCCCCGACGGAACGGCCCAGGAGCCGAGTAGGCTCGTACCCGACGACGTGCTTGCTCGACGACGACGCATGGAGTATCGTACCCTCTGGCGACAGGACATGTAGAAAGTCTCGGATCCCACTGAGCACGTGCTGTGTCCAATCATGATGCTTGGTGAACTCATTCTTGGTGGAATGCGGAATGACACTCGACGTTCCGCTGTCTGGCGCATTTGGGGGAAGCAGCCACGATATCGATGCATTTTTCAGCATTTCTGATTCCTACCCGAGTAACAATGGAGTGAATTCATCGTGGGCTCCCAAGATATACTTTTCCAATTGCCAGAGTGCCCCGGATGGTGGCGAATTCGTTATACCGGTTCCTGGCATGCATCAGGGTTTGCGATTGGCTCGGCAGTTCAGACCGACCATTCTCTCGACTTCACCTTATGCGAATGGCGATTCAGAACTACCATATTGCGCCCTGAAACGAGTATCTATCATGCAATTGAACAGTTTTCATTGCTCTGCTACCATCGATATCCCACGTCGCTGCAATTGCTCTCAATCCATCAATTGCCTTCAACTCAACTCACAAAGTAGCATCGAAGAACCGGTACACTATCTGCACTGCTGCAGATCACTTCCTTATGACATCAATTGTAGCGAGTCGAGACCATCTTTCGGACTCTATGAACTTCTTGCCACTCGGTCGGTCATCCCCGTTCAACAATCGCCTGACGCGTCTGTCCGTCTCCTCGCGGCTTTTCTGTTTTCGCATTCCCAGTGAGATGGAGTCTGGAAGCAATTTTAAAAATATTGGTCTCGTCTAGGTGGGTAATAAGACCCGATTGGCCATGTTCATGTGATGTAGATTTTTGGAAGTCATCGCTTCGGACGAGTCAACTAAGAGCGTCGACTTGTATCTTCCTCCGCCATAGCTGGTCATTGGAGCACTGCTATGTTGTTAATTGCGCATCACTTGGCCCTTAAATATGTATGGGATTAAAGTGTATAGTCGTAACGACTCGTTCTTGCTCTTAGACGGGGCAGGGCATGATTTTGGTGGTCGTGGGATATAAGTCCAGTTCGTGGCTAATTAACTCATTCACCGCGGCTTTGCTTGCAGGGTGGGCGCTCGTAATCCACACTATCTTTATTTTGTGCTTTTCAAAAAAAAAAAATTAAGATTTTATGTATGTTATATCGCTAAATGAAATGTTATGTGGTAGATTTTGCTTTAATGTCAGGGTTTCTGAGTTAATTCGTTCCTCGATAAATGATATGAAGTGGAATGAAATCAAACCAAACAAAAACCAAGTCAAATAATATCATACCAAATTAAATCAGATCAAATCATACCAAATCAATCTCTTCTATTTCCACAGTAGAAGAACTACTATGTCGTCAATATAAACATGAGACATCACCGCCATCGTCGCACCAGCCACAATTCTACATATATCGTTCAATTCCTTTATTCTATTCTTCTATGTTCTGCTTCGTTCATGCTCGGCTTTCCCACGCAAACTCCCGCTCCATCATATATCGTACAACCCCCCCGCCCATTCCCCCCATTCCCCCCATTCAATCCCTCCCCAAAACAACCTCTAAAAATCCGTGACCCTTCCATTGAAACTCCAATCCCCCGCACTCCCCCACCTCAACGGCTCGTTCTTCGGCCCGCCCACCTCCCCCGTCTTCGGATTGACGTCGCCCTCGAACTCCGGCGGCGCGCCGCGGCGCATGTGCGGGTGTAACTCGTCGCCCTCCTCTACTTCTACCACGCCTGGTTCCGCTTCTATTTGTTCTGGTGTCGAGTCGGAGTCCGGGGATTGGTTGATTTGGAAGCGCGGTGAGGTGGTTGTGCTTGAGGAGGAAGAGGGGGTGGAGGGTTGAGGGTTGCTGAATGCGCCTGTGGATTGTCGCTGGAGTTTTTCGAAGAGCTCTTGTTCTTCTTTTGGGAGGCGGGGTGGTGAGGGGCCGGATGCGAATGGTGAGGATGGGGAGGAGGATGAGGATGAAGAGGCGGATGTGCGTTGTGAGGTTGTGGATAGGAAGCGGCGGGCGGGGTGTGAGACTGCGTGGTGGAGGCGCGAGAGGCGGAGTGCGGAGCGCATTTTGATTTGTTTGAGAGGTGTGGTTCTTGAAAGACGGTAGTGTGTGTGTCCTTTGGAATTGGATGTTGGGGTTTGTGAATTGGTGATGGCGAAATGGTCGAGGCGTGACGTTGGATTTATGATGTCGCCTCGGATTCTAGAAGCGCGGCTTGCGGGGCCAATCGGAGCAATGGCGGGAATGCCCAACATATAATTCTCGAACCCATCCATACATACCATACTTTTCATTTAAAATAGAATAAATCATACAGCACATTCAAGTCACGTGGAAATACATTTCGAATACTTCAAGATGTCGCATTATTTTCTACCATACCCATACCACCATAGCAGAGGACGTCACTCCTCCAGATAAATTAAGGAAAAGACAAAAACACACACGTTCTACACGCCCCCAACCCTTTGCATTTCATCAGTTGGAAAATAAAAACGCCTGTTTTTATCGTACAGAACAGACAGACACTCTCGAACGTTTCCTCCATCCCACTTTTCTGAATCTATGCGATGAATCCCTTGGTGGTAGCCAGGTTCTGCGCGCTCCTCCTGGCGTCCAGGAACAGTCCCTCGCACTCGTTGACGTCGTCGATCTGGACCTGGCCGTTCTCCCTGCCGTTGACCTTGGCGAGCACGCTGGCCGGCGCGAGCAGCTGCAGTGCGTAGCGGAGACTGACCTTCTCGCCCAGCTGGCTGACCTTGTCGATTGCCTCCGGCGACACAGCGAGACCCTCGGTCTTAACGCGGGTGCTGATGATGGAGTTGATCTCCTGGGGAGTGTAGGGGTGCGTGGGGATGATGAGCAGACGGGCGAGGAGATCCGAGGGGATGCCGTGCGCCGACGGTGGAAGGTTCTCGCCTCCACGGATGTGGGTGAGGCCGCGATTCGAGGCCAGGATGACGAGCGGGGAGAGAGGAGACTCCAAGGCACGGTTGAGGAAGGTGAACGCTTCAAGGTCGAGCATGTGGACCTGGTTTAATCATGTTAGCTGGACGCGTATCGTCGATGTATTTTATGAACCCACCTCGTCGATGAACAAAACACCAGGCACGAGATCTGCAACGCCCTGGTCGATGTACTTGTTGACCACCTTGTTGATCTCCAGCCTCAACTTCTCCGTGATCTCCGTCTTCTTAGGCTTCATCAGCTGGCCCATCATGCTCATGATGTCCTGGCCGCCTTGAGGCCTGGCATTCGCAACGTCCAAGTCATGCAACGTGACGTCCTGCACGATCTCCTTCTTCTTGTGCACATCACCCTTCGGAATGGGAACGTACTCCTCGGCCTCGAGATCGAACTCTGTGGCGTACGCGTCGGACCTTCCCACGCGCTTGACGGCGCCCGTGTTGGCCTCGATGTAGATGACATCGCCTAGACGGACCCTCTCCTTCTGGATGGCCTCGTATATCGAAGGGTCGAGCCTGAGCTTCTTGGTGCCCTTTGCCGACTTGAGCGTGATGAGCAGGTGGGAGATGGTGCGGCCGTAGCCGCCGAGCGGGTTCTCCGCCTCCTCGGGCGTCAGCTCCATGACCTCGCCCTCGTACACCTCCTTGGTCTCCTTGACGCGCAGCCCGATCGCCCGCCGGAAGTTCTCCATCAGCGCCTCCGTCTTCTTCACCTCCGCAGAGTATATCTCGCTGCCGACGATCGGGCAGAACGGCACCTTCGATCCCAGCTCCTGGCTCACCGCGAGCGCGAGCGCCGTCTTTCCGGTCCCAGGCCCGCCCGCGAGCAGGACGGCCCGGCCGGACATCTTCTTCGCTTGCACGAGCGATACCACTAAGCTGCAGGCCTGCGAGACGGCGACGGAGAAGATGATGCGTTAGCCAATGCGTTCCATGCTGAATGTCAGACCCGTCCGCGGTGGGGGATGCTTTACCTCTCGAGCTGCGACCTGGCCGACGAAGCCCTTATCCGCGGGCTTTGCGCGACCCTCATTGTCGACGCCGAGTCCCTTGATGTGGGAGTGCGCGGCGGTCCGGTTCTCGCGCGTGTTGCCCTTGACTTCGCTGATGGGGACGGCTGCCGCCATGGTTGCGTTGCGCTGCGCTGTGCTGTGAATGGGTGTCGCGAACCGTCAATGTCTTGTGTCGAATGGATGCTGATGGCAATGTGTGATTGGGGATGGGTCGGAGGGGACGTTTGCGTCGTGGAAGGGTGGGTGGTGTCGGGGTGGATGGAGTTGTTTGGTGTTGCTTTCTTTGCGTTGCTCTCCCTCTGTTGTAGTAACGAGTGAACTCGTAGTATTAGTTTTCGCGAACCGGGGGGAGCTCAGGGAATTGCCGACTCCAGCCAATCATTGCACGCGCCCACCCTCCTTCATCGACCATGGCACTGGCATGGCATGGCTGGCTCTCCACAACGAACGAACCTTCTGACGTCCCTATTTCAATGAATCTCTTCTCCCCCTCTTCTCTTCTTTTACACATTCTACTCCTTTATTATAGCTTCTCACACATCTGGACAGCTTCAACTTGCAGTTTCACTCAGACATCTCCTGAATTATATCTAGCAAAAGGTCTATCTATATCAGCCCAAGTCTGGCGAGATTGCCGCAAGACAGTACATGATATCGATCGTTGTTGAAAGACGAAAGAAAATATTCACACGGTTTGCCACCTACCGGCCCTCAGGGGATCAGAAATCTCTCGCATGAGCTAACAACTCGTGTCCTAGGCACATACATCAACTATGCACACCGTGCTGGCAGCTAGACCCGCATGCATTTACAAGCGTGCTTCATTCATCACGGGATCACGATTAAACATCACGACTGCCACTTACGGCGGAAAATGGCCATGAAGGTATAACTACAGTTTTCGATTATTCCTCCACATCGCCGTCCTGTCGGCCGGCCAATGCAGCAGCCTAGTGTACAGATGAGAAGCAGGGAGGTCGTCTTCCATTTCTCATTCGGAGCCGTCGTTGCCCATCACCGCTGGCGTCTGCTCCTGAAGCAGACATGGATCAAACGCAGCCTCGTCATTCATAGCCGTTGCCGGTGCTGGTACATTCAAGGAGATACCTTCATCTAACCATAGCAAAGGAAAAAGCACAGGACAAATCAGGTGGTAAGAAGCAATACTATACAATTGATAGGCGGGCACCGAGGCACCAGATGCTTTCAGGTAGGTGTGCCGTTCTCGCGCACCTTCAGCTGACTAGTGCATAGGTCTCCGTGTCTGCACCCGATCAAAAAATTCGGCAGCCTGCCACAGAGGGCCGAGGCCACCAGACGTGCACCCAAAAGAGGAGAAAAAAGCATACGGCATATCTATGCCCAGGAGAAAGCTATCCATCAAAATCCCAAGCGTCAGTGCCGCCGACGGACACCCACCCCAGCGACCGGCATCGAGGGAGACCGCACCAAAGAAGCGAAAATAGTCATTACGGCATCGTGGAGAAACACGTTCATTCCTCTTCACTCTCGGAGCCACTGCTCTCGTCATCGCTGGATTCGTCATGATTTGCAGGCGGTGATTGACTAGATCCTGAGCCGCTTGCTTCGTTGAAGTGTTTCAGCTGATCCTGGATCTTCTTGATGCTGTCCTCCTGTTCCTGCTTGCCCATCGGCTTGTTCTTCTTGGGCCTGGAGGCGGTCGTGGTCTTCTGGACGCGCTGGGGCTCATACTCCTCGTCGACGGAGGCATGCTTGGGTCCCTTGACTTGCTTGATGAACTTGAACAGTTCGCGGAGCGTGTCATCGCCAATCTCGTCCATGTCGAGTTCCATCTCTTCGTCGTTAACGTGTGCCAGATGTGGACAGCCGTTGCGGATGATCTGGACAGCCTTTCGCATCTCTGCGTCGCCCAAGGTGCTGATGCCCTCGGAGATCTCCTGTTTCTGCGCGAAAGACAGAGGAGCCGGAGCCTTGACCTTCGGCTTGGACTTGGCCGTCTTCGGAGGGGGAGGCACGGCGAGAGGAGTCTTCTTCTTGCCCGGGACCTTTGCAGCCTTCTTCTTGGACGAAGCCTTGGGAGATGGCCGCTTGTGCTGCTGTTGCTGCAACAAGCTTTGTGCCGTCTCGTTGAGCTTGGCAATCTGTTCTTGGATGGCGAGGATCTGTGCCTGGGCGGGGTCGATCTCCTCCTCCTCTTCCTCTTCTTCCTCCTCCTCCTCGGAGTACACGGCACCGGAATGCGGCTCGGGCGCGTGTTGAGCGAGCCAATCTGCCTTTTCCTTCCAGAGTCGGTCGAAGAGGTCGTTCATCTGCTTGCCCATCCTGTTGACTTCATCGCCTTCGGGATTGAACTTGTAGCAGTTGTGGAAGACCAGCTTTGCGTCGTTGTAGAAGTCTTTGGCGCTTTGGTACTGTCCATCCTTGAGATTCTTCTCGATGGTTCCAAAGTCCATGGGCTTCTTGATGATGGTCCAGTACGAGGGAATCCTCAGAGCGACAGGGTCGACCGGTGCCAAGAAGGGTGCGGAGAACTTCCAGTACTTCTGCTTCATGAGCTCCGTGATGATGCTCTCACAGAACTTGAGCTCTTGCTGGTACTTCTTCTTCTTGGGCTTGGCGCTGTTGTAGGGAAGATCCTTGGAAGGAGGCTGCCGTACTTCGCGCTTCGGCCGACCATCGGCGGTTGTTGAATCTCTCCTCACCACTGGAGTGCCATCCGGCTTCAGTGGCCACGCCGTGGCTGAAGGTGACACTGCCGTGGGCGCAGGGGCGGTGGGCGATGGAGCAGAAGGACCCCTTGACTCCCGACGCGGCTTGCTGGCGCTTGAGGTGGAGACCTTCTTCGGCTTGGGCTGCTTGATGGGCTCTGCCACGCCTATCTTGGGCATCTTGTTCATTCCCTTCAAGAAGTACGCTCGCATGTTGTAGCCTGCTTGCGTGACGGGATGTTCCTTGCCGTTGAAGGCCAATGTGTTGTTGACGATGAGATCCAAATCCTCCATGAAGCTGCGCAGGGAGGGATATCGGTTCTCCTTCAACTTGGTCTCCATGGTTCCGAGATCCATAGGATTTTTGACGATCAGCGGGTAATTTGGAATGTTCAACAAGTCCGCATTCACAGGCTCCTTGAAAGCACCAGCGACCTTGATCTTCTTCGTGTTCCGGATTCGTTCTCTCAAGAAATTATTTTGTGCGGTCGTGAGGGGGTCAAGAGGCCAATCAGCCGCGTCGACAGCCGACTGAACATCAACCGTCACGCCTTGTGGTTGGGGGACAGCCGCAGGCGTAGGGGCAGGTGCAGGTGCAGTCACTGGAGCAGCGCCGTCACCGTTGGTCTGCTCTGTGTGGACTGGGACCTCTGGCACCTTGAATTCAGTGCCCTCCGCTTCAGTCCTCGTGCGCTTGGCATCTGGCGCGCCATCCTCGTCGTCCTCCTCACGAGATCGGACCTTTCCAGATATCGGCGCATCTTCCATTTCCAAGTCACCAGTGGGCGCAGCGGGTTCTGTCTGGATGGAAAGCTCGGTCATGGGTTTGGTGGGTGCGCTCTCAACTGAAGATGCGGGAATGTCCTGGGGAGCTGCTTCCTGAGAAGTTTCCATGGAATCCGGCGTGATTGTGGCTTCTGGGAGTTGTGTCTCGGGTACTTGCTGTGTGCTTCCACCTGTTGATTGTGTGGTGGCAACGGATTCTGTTGTTTGTGTCGCGGGTTCTGGGCCGGCTTCGTCTCTCACATCTGACACAGGAGCTTCAACCGCGAGAGGGACTGTTGTAGCTACTTCGGGATCATTCAGCAGAGGCTTGACCTCCGTTTGGCTGTCGGGGAGTAGGGATGCTGAAGCGTCAACTCCTGCGGGAGGCTCTGCAATGTTATCCGACGCTTCCGTTTGCGTTTCCGTCTTGACCGGCTCTGTGGTTGCTACGTCTGAAGCGGTCGCATCGTGGTTGCCATTCACGGCAGCTTGTGGTACAGATTCATCGGCGGGTTTTGTGGATTCTTCCACAGGGCGAGTCTCGGGTTCGTCGAACAGAACGTCATGGACGCTGCGATTGATTGTGTTAGCCAGTGCTGGCTGGTGAATGGAGATGGAAGAGGTGAAGGCGACACTTACCCGTTCGTCTCATTGTCCAGGGCCATGGCGTCTGTCGACGGATACGATGTCGCCTTGAGATCAAGGTTGACTTTGTCGACAGATGATGTCATTACTGCCATAAGGCCATGAAAGTCAAGGGATCGTTGGTCGCGTGTAGAGGTGAGGATGGTTCTGCACCGAGCGTACACACCGGTCTGCGGTTGGATTAGCGGCTGGGCTATGATTGGCACTGCGCGCGGCCCATTCAGCAATTGTCTGGGTGCTCCGTGCTGGTGCGTATTGAATAATGAGGCAGAATTGGGGAGATCGATGGTGCGACACTCCGGAGGTCGCGGAGGTGATGGTTGTGATGAAAGTTTCGAGGGCGCAAGGTGATTGTTGGGTGTGGAATTGGTAATGCGCGTGCGCGAAAAAGGTACGGAGGGGCAGAAGCCTATATAGGCAGAGGAAGGAGGGGCGAAAGCTGGGGGTGGAACTCACGTGACTCGGTAGAGGCTGCGGCGATGGCGACGGCGACAAAGGGAAGGCGCGTTGATGAGTCAGAAACGAGACGGCCAATCCACCAACGATGATGCGACGGTGTTTGTTTGGATACGACCGGCAACGGCGACGGCGAGGTTAACTCCGCGCGCGAGTGTCGACGTTTGCGACGGGGAGCCTGGAGACGGTGGCGAGGTAGAAGGATTACCTGATGGAGGCAGCTAGGTAGCTACCTGTACACGCGACGCGCACGCCAAGAGGTGATGTTGGGAGAGAGATGGAGAGGTGATGGAGACGAGGTCGAAACACCAAGGTTGCGCGCGTGCACGGTACCTTTTGTATGTGCAGGCGGAGGCCGGGATGCTACGAGACGGGAGACGAGACGAGACCGAACCAGACCTGTGAACTGCTACCAAAAGGACGCGATTGGAGAGCAGATGCGGAGGAAGGGAATGGAGGACGGTTGATGACGATGATTATTTAGCGCGATCCGGAGGGTAGGTAGCTGCGACTTGGATTGCGACTGCGACCGCGACTCGGGTTGGATGTGATGTTATGGTACGGTACCGGGATGGGTCAATGGGGATTGGGATTGGGATTGGGATTGGGGATTGTTTTGACGTATGCAATGATGCGATGCGCCCGGTGAACGGGTCCCCAGATCGACGTTGTCGCGTTTAGTATGGATGGAAGGTTGACGTTGTTGGGGTAGTAGTAGGAGGGTTTGTTTTTATTCGTATTGGGAGGGAGATGGTTGGATGGACGAAGAGGAAAAGGAAAGAAAATAAAATAAAAAAGGGAAGAGGAAAGTATTATGTTAGGGTAGTAGGAGTGGGAAGGGGGAATGACGCGTGTTGATTGGTAGGGGGAAGTGTAGATCGGTGAATGAGGGTTAATGGGTGAGGGAGACGGAGTAGAGCGAGTAGAGCAGGAGCAAGCAGGAGCAAGCAGGTCGTCGCTGAGAGTGAAAAGTTCCGTTGGGCGGCGGCTGCGTTTTATTTACGTCCCGACGCCCGCCTTCCACGCCAAGACCCCCCTGAACTGACACTAGCCCTCTGGGACCAATCACAGCCCTCCGCTTCCTCCATCATGTTCAAGTACATGTACTCTCTCTCTGTAGATACCTGTGTTAGTCACCCACGCCGTACTAAGTGGTACATCACCACTCGCTGTAACAACCACGACTACCCTTCATCATGCCTCGTCATCATCTCCATCGTCTTCATCATCGAGGTGTACATACGATTGATGCCAATAGAATAATGCAAATGATATCTTCCTAGTCTCGTCTTTTCCTCCTCACCCCTTGCACTTCGACTTGCGACACTTTGCGACCATCCGTTCCTTCCTTCCTTCCCTAGCTGTAACATTCATGCCCATCCAAAAAATACAGCCATTACTAAGACTAGTCATCACAATCCATCAGCTCAACCACCACCAGATGGTAACAATATCATATCCATCGCGCATCTTCTTACTTATTCCATTGATCTGAATTGATACTCTGTGCGCCGACTTCTCCAATCGCCATAAGCTATAATTATCTTCCGTCCTTCAACAACGTCCCTCATGGATGATTATGCGATCTGTCGCGCCCGCTTAGAGGTAACGACTGGGGTACCCCCTGGTCGCCTGGCCCGAGCGCCTCCGCCGTCTCCACTCGCAGTTCTGATTTTTTTTCTCTGCCATCAACTTGCAACACCTCAATCCGGGTCCAACCATCCAACATTCAATCACTTTCTCTGGACCTTCCACCACCATCGTCGATTGCGAGGACAGTATTTACGGTGCATTCTGTCGTAAGGAATCGACCTTCCCCCTCCACGGATCCAAATTGCATGCACATCCAATGCCTGCTGCCGTAGCCTCGCGTGCCCGGAGCGATCCAATGCCTCCCGCAAAGAAGACAAAGCTGTCGCAGTCCCGCCCCAACGGCCTCTCGTCCCTGATCAATGGCAAATCCAGCAAGAAGGGTCCCCTCGCCGCCAAGTCAGCCGCCTCGAACAAGTCCCGCAGTGAAAGGGTCGAGGAAGCAACCACCGTCGTCGGCGGAGGCCGCTCTGGCCACGGGGATGTCGACATGCAAGATGCCCCCAAAGTCATCGAGATAAGCAGCGCAGAGGAAGAGAGCGAATACGAATCTGGAGAGGATGAGGAAGAGGAGGACACGTCTGCTGCACAGAAGAAGGGAGCCGCGGTCAAGGCCCTCGCAAACGGAACAGCGGAGGATGGGGAGGATGATGCGATGGACGCGGATGAGGAGTTGACCTTCGGAGAGAAGCTGCAAGCACAGGAGCCTGAGTCCACTCGCGCGCCCCAGATTGTCGATGTCGAGGGTGCATTCGACGGCCTCGACGCATCGCAAGCGTTGGCAACAGCTAGAAACCGACCTCTCACCACCCCGAACGCCTCGTCGCTCGGCACAGTGCTCACCCAGGCGCTCCGGACGAACGACCAAGATCTATTGGATTCGTGCCTGAAGACCATTGACATCGACACCATCTACGCCACCGTCGAGCGACTCCCCTCTCCTCTCGTCGGCAATCTCCTCCAGAAGCTCGCTGAGCGATTGCACAAGAAGCCGGGCAGGGCAGGTTCACTGATGGTGTGGGTGCAGTGGTCCCTTGCAGCCCACGGTGGCTATCTTGCCAGCCAGCCCCAGCTCGTCAAACAGCTTGCGACATTGAACAAAGTTCTCAAGGAGCGCGCCTCGGGATTGCAGCCTCTTCTCTCCCTAAAAGGCCGTCTCGACATGCTCCAGGCGCAGTTGGAGTTGAGGAGAAGGAACCAGAGGAGGGCTGCGTTTGACGATGAAGAGGAGGCCGTGATCTACGTCGAGGGCGAGGACGACATCTCATCGGCAGACGAGGACGAGGATTCCGACGCAGACAGCGAGACTGGCGTCGCAGGCCTGCGGAAACGAGCAAGGCAGGCGTCCGACGACGAGGAAGGCAGTTCGGACGACGAGATGCCGACCACCATGGAGGTCAACGAAGATTCCGACGAGGGCAGCGAGGACTCTGATAACATGTTCGACGACGAGGCCTCAGAGACTGACAACGACACGGGCGACGATATGTCCGAGCCAATGAGCGACGACTTTGACGAAGTAGGCAACGGTTCCGAGAGCGAGGAGGAAGCGAGGCCAACCAAGCGATCGGAAGTCGGCCGATCTGGCCTTGCCCGTCGATACTGAACAAGCGAGGAACAAGAAAAAAAGTTTAATTGAACGAACCTTCACCATCATTTTCTGTTGCTTGCTCTCGTGGTCACTCCACCCAGCGTCGTCGCGCACTCACGTGATGCCAGAACCAGGGGGCCAAAGTTTACTTCGACGACATTCGTACATGGACCACCGCTTTTAGACATTTATCTTCCTTTGGATGTTCGCAAAGCCGGAGCATCCCCCCTGGAAAAGAATGCATGGATGACACTATGTATGTACATCTGGATTGTTGATATCCCGGGCGTTTTCTTTTCTTTTTCTATCTCTCTCTCGTCTTCTTCCTTTCCGTCACTCACACTTCATGTACTTACCACACCACTGTCACATGCATGCATAGCGCCGGTACGGTACAATGGAAAGTTATCTGTTCTTTTCCAATGAATATCAAAACATGCAAATGGCGTGAGTGACTCAATAATCCAACCCAATCCACGCCCAACCGTCGAACTCATCTTCCCAAACACGTCTTCCCGGCGAGAGAAAGCACACCACATGCCTTATCCTCTCTTCTTCTCCTTGTCCCTTTCTTGTGCGATGTGCCTTTCTCGTCGCTGGATTTCTTGGGGCCATGGTTTGGGGGATGTTCAATCCTGTCTTGTCCTGTCCTATTCCATCCCGTCCCGTTCTGTGCCGACCCGCTTCGTGCTGCTGTCCTGTCAGTGCCGTCGTTCCGTTCCGGTATAGACAGGTTTGTTTCAGTCCGCTTGGTTTTGCTCTGTTCGGTTGGGTCGGCTCTTGTTCCATTCTGCTTCGCTCGGCTCTGGTCCTGTCCCCTGACTCTGTGGCGGTCTGCTGCGTTCTATCTTGGTCTGTTTGGTTCTGTTCATGTTCCGTGCCCTTAGTCTGTTTGGCTCTGTTCAAGCTCCGTACCCTTAGTCTGTTGCGGTCTGCTGCGTTCTATCTTGGTCTGTTGGTTCTGTTCATGTTCCGTGCCCTTGCTCTGTTTGGTTCTCTTCATGTTCCGTGCCCTTGCTCTGTTTGGTTCTGTTCTAATTCCGTTCCCTTACTCTGTTGCGGTCTACTGTGTCCTGTCCTGGTCTGTTTGGTTCTGTTCTGTTCTGTTTCGGTCCGCTCTACTCCTTTCCGTCACCTCTTGTCCTGTCCAGCCCCGTTCCTTGTTATATCTCAACACACCAGTCAAACATGCAGTCATCGTACCCCTTTGGACCGGGCGCAAATGTCCCAATTCGCACCAACCAACCGGCCATCATGCAGTTCCCACGACGGACTGGCCCGCCGCCCCCACGCTCACCGGCCCTTCAATCCTACGGGCGGTACCCTTCTACTAGTACTTCGCCATGGGTTTTAAATAAGCGAATACCGCCTGAATGGTAGCTGTTCTTGGTCGTTTCCACAATGGGAATAGGCCACAGCGCGACATTCACGCCTCCACTCTATCTGCCCTGCAGCCTGCACCACTTCTGAATGACGTGCGGCTTGGTGCATGAGCAAGGAAAAGGGGTAGCGGGGTGAGGAAGCCCGTGCCAGCACGTGTGCGTGACGTTGTTTGGGCGTGGGCTTCCCTCTGTCTCAAACCCGGCGAATGGGGAGAGAGACCGGGAGAGTTTGTTTTGATAGACGGGATGGGTGGCGGGGTTGCGGTGAGCTGGCCAGGTTTGGGCGACAACCTCATCGCTTCCAGTGCCTGAGAAGAGGCGGTGGGGATGGACATTGTTTGCTGTGCGGTTCTCGCCATGATGATGATGGTGGTGGTGGCCGCTAGAGTGCACGTCTTGCGCAGTTCTTTGTTGCGTTGCATGTCCGCCTGATAGGGTGTGCATGGCGGCTTGCTGCATGGTCCAATCTCTGGGACGTCTGCGCCACAGGGTATTTGCTCGACACAACTTGCGAGACATTCACATTTCTTTTGCGGTCGGATCTTTCCGAAGCGAATGGGCCAATCGTTGTGATCGATTGTGCGCGGAGCCACGTTCCGACCGTGCTAGGCGTCCTATCCAGACAAATGTCAGTCCGATGCAGTCTTTAGCTTCGCGCCTGTGCGCATAGATGCTTCGCATGAGGAGGTGCAGGTTTGCATTCTTCAGAGACAATGTAGGTTTGCACACTTCAAAGACACGATGAAATTTGTTTTCACGCATAGGCCGGATGAGCAGCAATGCAGCGATGCTGAGGGGAGCATAAATACTGCGTCTGGTCGTCAGATTTCCCTTCCGAACAACTTCTTTCGATATCAAATCGTCCTTCGTCGATATTCCATATCTACTCTGATCGCAGACAATATCAGCACAACCTTTCCTGCTGCTCAGCAACCTACATCTTCCCTGGTCGTACTCAGTCTACGGTCCCAGGCATCGCATCCATTCCCTTCTCACACGTACATTCAACCCACTTCTTCTGCCAACGATGCCTCAAGTCTTCGAATTTCCGTCTCGCCGAAGACATGAACTATTCAGAACCAATTTCACAGATAGTGAGGGTGTTCCCAGATCTGCTCTCTATCTGCGCAGGTCACACACAACCCCAAACCACGCCCCAGGGAGAAGTCACTCAAGAGGGAGAAGACACTCAAGAGGGAGAAGACACTCAAGAGGGAGAAGACACTCAAGA